GATGATGCATCCATTGCGCTTGCGGGTTCTGCATGTTGGGCTGCTGGGTGGGCAGCTGAGGTATAGCTGCCGCATTCTGGTGATGATGCATCTGTTGCGCCTGCGGATTCCACCTGTTAGACTGCTGGACCCGCGGCATGGCGGATGCATTCAGGAGATGGTGCATCTGTTGCGCTTGCGGGTTCTGCACATAGGGCTGTTGTACATGTGACGCAAAGGATGTGGTCTGTTGATGCGGTATTGGTTGAGCTTGCGAAACCGGTATGTTGGGCTGCTGGATGGTGGGGACGTGAGGCACATGAAATGCATCCGATGTGTTGGGCGACGGCGTCAACAACTCGGGCAACAAATCATATGGAACCTGGTCTTGGAATAGCCTGTGCATGCCATCCCCGCGTGACGATAAACTTTGATCGCTTGGGGGAAATTTCTGGACTCTGTTTGTTCCTGGTCTTATCCGGGATAACGTGTTCTTCCCTGCGCTCGAAGATGGAGCCAAGGGATGAGGGCTATCCGCCGCTCTGTGTGGGCCTGTGCCAGCAGGAGAGATGCCCTCTGATCGGCGCAGAAAGCCCCTTTCTGCGTTCGGGGACGGGGTCGACAGCTGTTGGTAGTTTCGGGGTCTGTACTGTCCTGCTTGAGAAGATGTTTGTGGCAGGGGCCCATACTCCACGCCGGAGGGTGGAGTAAGTTCTTCTGTGGTTGAATCCGGGATGGATCCTGTACTTCGAGATGGGGTGAGCAATTGGGGGCCCTTCTGGGCTCCGTGCGCCATTGTCGCACATGGAAAGATGTCCTGTTGAAGGGGTGAGAAGCTGCTCCCTGTCCTCGAGGGTGGATAAGATAGCTGGTGTCCACTCTCGACTGTTTGTGGAGGATTTACGGCAGCAGCGACTGGTATCTGTCGTCGGGGCGGAGTTTGAGGCGGTGGCGGCAGCATAGACACTCCGTCGGCACCGCGGGCGGTGGTTGCGTTTGACCGGTCATGCTGAGCTCTGTCGTCGATTTCTTGTTGACGTTGGAAGAAATCGTTCATAGCAATTTCGAGTTCGGCCTCAATCTCTGCGAGATGGCGTGGACACGGTGCATTGACAGTCAAGCTGTCGTAGAGAGGAGCCCGATAGTGCTCTTCGCGGCCTTGCTCACTGTGCTCGAACTCAACCTCATCCACCCGTTGCGAGCATTCCCGGCCATCGAAGTTATAATTTGTCGCCATGTACTGCGGATCCCTTGGCTCGCGGCGCTGGTAGCTGCCCCCTCCCCATGTCCTGACCGGAGTGTGTCTGAGTGGTGGGGAAGACATCTCAAAATAGTGGTGCGGCAGTGTAGCCATGGTTGAGATGCCGCTGTGGGTGTCTGTGGGGTTTCTAGCGATTATTGCTGTTGTGCTGTGGCGTCTGTTGACTGCGAGTGCGAGGGTCTGCGGTGCAAGTGGAAAGGCGGGTGGTGGAAAGTCGGGTGGGAAAAGTCAGGTGGTAGTGCGCGGGTTGAGGACGTTTCYGCGCGTATGCCAGATTTTGACAATGAGGAAGCCGCAAAGTGCCGGTACTACACAAGTGGTGTCCTGTCGAGTGAATGAACCATGCATGAGTTGACGGTGATGGTCTGCAGGCGGATGTCCCCAAGTGATCTGCGCAGGTTGTCTAGACTGGGCCCGTGTCAAGTGCGAAGAGATGTTGAAGTGCGAAGAAATACCTTAACCCTTGGATTTCGGAAAAATTGGCGGCGGCTGCAACAACGCGACTTCCTCCACGCGCTTGCAACGTATGCTTGGAATTGTTCCTTCGCTGAAGTGGCGGTCGGCTTTCTGAGCATACCTAGGTATCATCGCAACTGCGCATCTCGTAACGCATGGACAGAACCTCGTGTGTGCTTCTTTGCCTTTGCAGAACTGTCGACATGAGGATTATCCATTGGGACACGACATCCTCATTCATCGCCACAATGTCCCAAGGCCTCGCTCTCTGCAGACTCGACGATTCTAGGCCTGCTGGAATCCTTACTACTAGCAGAGTGGCCCGTTGATGAATCGAGAGAGCAGTTTAGGGCGCTGCTCTTTTTGTTGATCTCTCCTCTCGACAGCTCTGCTCCTTTGCTCCCCACGGTCTCGCTCCGACCGACGACGCTGAACGAGCCGTGTGAGTTAATCAACACCATCTCCTGTTCCCGGCCTCATACATGTCCGCGGGGATCATGCAGCTGACCTCCAAATCATGAGGGTCGAACATCGGCAGGCGATATCTCCAACTGAAACGCTCCTGGCTCCCGATCTTCACGGCCGGAATTTCACCTCGACCGGCGCCGCTACCTTGCTACAATGCTTCCAATCGTTTGCAGGTATATATCCAGCATCGGGAAAGACTTTCGCAAGAGCACTCTTGAGCCGCAACAAAAGAAGGATACACGGCACCGACAGGCTCGCGCCACCATGAAACATACGAAGCATGTGCTTGATGGGCATGATACAACCCATCTCGCCCTCTTCGAGATCAATGCACCCAAACTCATACTCGGCCATGAAGCACAAGAAGAGCGTCCCCACCGAAACGCCACCGCCCTTTTCTTCTTGATTCGGGTCAGCGCCCAATTACAACAAGCTTTGCAAGAGCTCAGGGATGGAGAAGTGATTGCCGATGGAGCATGCCTCCAAACCGTGTGCAAACTAGGTCACAGCACATGGTCAAGCAAAGGTCGACCAGCCTTCTCTCGAACGACCCGCGTGGTCAGGATTTGAGCGACATGACCTGTCAAGCCAAAGCCTATTGCAAGACTCAAAAAGTGCTTTGACCGTCCGCCCAGGTGTCAAGAGACCTGCCAATATACCAGTATCGTTCAGAAGAATAGCCCAGGCCGTTGATCACACATTCCATCACAGGGTGGAATGCGGTAGCAAACTGGGCACAAAATTGTCCGCCTCGAAAGGGGGGAACTATCCACGAGTAGACAGAGTAACTCGCTGAGCCTACGTCAAACATGCCGCCGGAGTTCGTGCTCGCCAGAATGAGCAGAAGCCGAGCATTACGGAGTTAACTCCTCGCATCGAAACTCCCAGCATGGACTTCGTGAGATCCAGATTCGAGGAGATAGTCGCGTAGCGAACGATGCATGAATTCGACCTGGAAATGGAATGCCATGTGTTTGTTCTTCCACATCATAGGGACCACAGTGGCCGGAATGGCAGTGATGGCGTGCAAAGTACTACCAGGGATGTGAAGATCGYACTGCAAGTCCTTTGCAGCGACTGGACAATCTCCTCAATGCAGAGTCAAGCGTGTACACTAGATCATCCGCGCCCACGAAGAGTCGCAGGTATTCCTCTCGGGCCTCTGAAAGAGCGAAATCTGTGCCGGCATGGCTGACGAATGTCATATCTACCAGTCGCAGTGGATTGAGCGCGAGGATGTGATAGGATGTGACCCTCATCATGCAGCGCTAGCAGCAGGAATATTCCTGCTTCCAGCCTATGCTGTGGCTCGATCGAGTGCAGCAGCTGACTGTCGTTCAGTTCACCTGACACGATGTCAAGCTTCCGCTGCAGCATATCGAGACCATCGCCATCTCTGATGCCACGCATCAGGTCCCTGACGACCAACMGAGTCCATAGAAAGACTCCGTCCGCTTTCGCGATGATGTCGCGAGTCAGGACGTTCTTCCTGGGCATACTGCAGAAGCGAGGATGGGACTTGAGCYGAGCGCTGGCAACCTTCTCAATGCCATGGCATTGACGTCTTCCGGCTGTAACTGTGGGCAGAGAGCAAAAGCTTTCTGTCCGGAACAGCGGCCATCGTCTACTGGATACGCAGAGCTTGACATTTGGAAAAGTGCTCAGCTCCCACAGCAGTGCTACAAGATCGTCTCTCGTATCATCATCATAATCGTCATTCCCATCGAGGCCCCATCGATGAGAACGACGATTCTGACGGCGGGCATGAGAGTGGCCATTGCCTTACGGAAGCAGCGCCGAAGCTCTACATCGGACCAGGTCGTTTCTGGTCCGCCCAAATGTCGTGCCAGCTGGGTGATCTGGCACGCAAGGTAGCGGAGTTCCTGACGCTGCTTCAAAAGGCTCAGACAGGATAGTGCGTAGGACGCCCGCCATGAATTTTTTTTTCTTTTTTTTTTTTTTCAAGAGCATGTCCCGGGTTCCAGAAGTAAAAGCTCAACTGCAATACGAGCATGGATTCTTTCCAGGTTGCATATGCTGCACGGGTTTGAGCGCTTCCTCCAAGAACCGGATCAAGCCAGAGACCCCTGCGCCTGGTTTGGCAGTCACCCAGTACAGACGATGAGCAGGCTCGAGCTCTTGTAGCCAGGCTACAATGCTGTTCCATCTGACGTTGCTCGCACTCTTGGAAAGGAGTGCCCAGCGATACGTTCCCTCATGCGCACTCTGGACTTAGTCTCTGCGATCTTTCATTTGGGGAAATAAAGACTCTGCATGAGTCTGTCCATGACTTCTTTGTCTGTCTTGCGGTCGACATCGGATGTGGTGGTGGTGCGCCTTTCTCGGAAAACCGTTCTCCCCTGACCTCCCCGAGAAGCCGCGCTCTGGCCCTTTCTGCACCCTCGCCACAGTTTGCACCGATAGCGACGAMGAAGATACCAGAAAGGCAGTATGAAAGATCCTCCTCGCGAGTGATCTTTCTGTTCGCTGCTCATGCAAGCTTCTCCTCTATACGAATACCTTGACTTTCTCAATGAATATGTAAGATCTTTGGAGGAATCGTGGTGAGTAAGGCTATGGAGATCTCCAGCGAGCAGGCAACCTCCGTGGGGACATTACATCGATCGCCTCCTCTGTTTCCGACCACTTGCCATTGGAATACCATCAGAACATGGAATGAATAGCCCCCGAGACTTCCTGACTGCTCTTCTCATCTATACAGGCCGCATCTATCCAGACTCATTCAATAATGGCAGTGCGATCTCTTAAATATTGGGCGAACCGCAATACCTTTTGGTACGCGGAATTATCAGTATTGAGCTTTCTGAGGACACCTAAGTAAGGTTTGGATATGCCCGATCTCCGAGCCAGGCTCCATCTGTGAGATGCAATGGCATACTTTAGGACAGTGCCATGGTACTCTTGAACTTCCAGAGTGTGCGCATTGAGCAGTCGCAGTGGGCCTCCATTACAGGTCTCCCGATGTGATATGGTCCTCAGGATATGCTATACCGATGCAGATGAATGTGGCCTAGTGAAGGATGGAGAGCTGGATGCCAGTGTTTGCAGGTCTTGTCCCATCGGCATGATAGCAAATGTCCTGGGAGACGTTTCATCCATCCTCGATGAAATCTATCAAAGCATGGGCAACACGCTTCATGTCGCTCAGTCCCTACCAACGTAGATAGACCGATAGGTGATGACAATCGCTTCACAAACAAGGGAGGTGGAACGAAGTGAGGTTCTGAGGTATTCTGCTGATATTCCAGCGGCCTATATMTACCACTTATCACTATCTATTGGTTCCGTTAGTTCCTAGCTTTTCGACTTAGTATCTTACTTTTCGTAGGCTCTACCTGTTATATAAAGACTAAATATAGTTTAAAACTCTCCTTATAGTCTACTCTATAATCTAAGATATGTTTCTAAGTCTTAGTATCTATTATATTACTATAGGACTAGATTCCGAATATCTCGAGGAAAGTGAAGTTCTTCGTGATGTGGAGTAAATTTTAGAGTCGGGTATAGGTCGCGGCAATATTAGCCAGGCAAGTGCAGCCGAGAACAGGGCTCAACTCCGCTTGGCCCGCCGAGCCGATCACCAGCTCCGAAACACAATAACCCACCTAAATGCGCCTCTCGACACTCTCTCAGCACCATGATCAGCGGGCATGGACAATGCATGAGCCATCGTTGATCGTATCCGTGTTATCATGGACTCTGATGGCGAATACGCTGTCGAGAACGAAGCGCAGTTCTGGGCGGGTATGGCCTTCCGACATCTCGCATGTGAAAGCATGTGAAAGCGGCATTGAAGTGAATGAGACGCTGACTCGGATCTGGCTCCTAGGACTCGACGATATCCTTGCGGCTTCATACGACACATCCGAGCTGATTGACGACGCGCTGCGCGCTTTCTTGGCTTTCACGACGAACTTCAAACGTAGGCAAAGAGACGACAACGAATTGCATACAAGGTGGGACAAGCGCTGACCTGCGCGAAAGAGGAATATCTCCAGTCCGAGTATGATATTGCACGGTGCTGCTATAGACTGCTGGACGCGGCAATCTTCAAGGACAACCAGGACTATGTGCGACGGCAGATACTGTATTGCTTATTACAGGTGGGTCTGGACGGTGGTATTGGGTGGCACGAGCACTAAGGTTTTGGCAGGAGGACGATGCAGATACACTACACCTCACCGCAGCCGTGCTGCTGTTCGATGGGCGCGCGAATGAAGCTGCGTTTGAAATGATGCAAGCGGAAAGCGCATTTCCGCGACTGGTGGAGTTGGTACGRGCGAGACGAGACGACGAGATTGGCCTGCACCGACTATTGCTGGAGCTCCTGTTTGAGATGTCCCGCATCCAAAAGCTGTCGAGAGACGAGCTGAGTGAGTGGCCAGCCGGGAACCGTCCTCGCAAGCCTCGCTAACACAATACAGTGACCGTGGACGATGCCTTCATTCTGCACCTTTTCCAACTCATAGAGGAGCTTTCAGATGACGCTGATGATCCCTACCACTATCCCATAATCCGAGTTCTGCTGGTCTTGAACGAACAATACATGTGTCTCGCGAATGCGCCGAGTTCGCCAGGTGATGGGCCGATTGCCCTAACAAATAGAATTCTCAAGCTGCTTTCCATGCATGGACCTGCATATCGGACGTTTGGGGAGAATCTCATCCTTTTGCTGAACCGAGAATCGAAACTTGGTCCGCAGCTCTTGATCCTCAAGTTGCTTTACCTGTTGTTCACGACGCCATCAACCTATGAGTATTTCTATACCAACGACTTGCATGTACTGGTGGATGTGATTATCCGGAATTTACTGGACCTTGATCCTGTCAGCGACCATTCACCGCATCTTTCTGACGGGGTAGACAGAGACGGACAACGGGCACTGCAACACACGTATTTACGCGTTCTTTGCCCGCTGTTACGAAACACACAACTTTCCCTCGATGGTAATCATTATAAACGCGAAGAGGTCCGTAGACTGTTGTTTCTGCTGGTTAACAAGTCTTCGGCACATTTTGCACCTGTGGACGCCACTGTCCTCCGACTCGCTGTAAGGATCAAGCAGATTGAGTGGCTGAGAGAGGCAGGTGACGAGGAAGATGATGCGATGGAACAGCAATTGTTGGAAGCCGCTCCGACAGATGCACAAGTGGCCAAGAAGCTTCTCGGCATGTCGCTTTCGGATGCAGGAGAGAGCAGTCTCAGTGTGGTGGAGGTATCGGCCAAAATTGCAAAGGAAAAGCCTAGTGTACCTGCACCTAGGCGTCGACGACAAGGCTCCAAGGCGAATGGAGAATCATCAAATTCTAACGGTCCGGATACTGGTGATCTACTGAGAGTGCCACCAAAGGGTGTTGACTTACCCCGTGGGGACACAAGGAGCCCTTTTTCAGATGAAAATGCGGAGACCTGAAATTCTACGACTCTCAGGCTTCCGGTAGCCTACGATACAACTCTCTTCAAGCAAGCGGCCCGATATGTGTGTAAAAGCGCAATTGATCGAGAGTGTAGTCGGTACGCACGGCCGCTCATTGTCACTTGTGACGAGCACGCACCCAATCGTGCATCGACATTCAGAGGGCTCTTGTCTGGCTGGAAAAGCGGTCGATTCCGGCCGCCACCGGTAGCAGACAACGGCTCCAGGTCTGCTTCAGTGCTCTGCACCTATTGGCACTCTGATGCATGTCAGCGCTTGGGATGCCACCGTCTGATACGATCCATGGCGGATTAATTCCCCTCCATCTTAACATGTACAGACAGACCAAGTTGGGATTGGCGCTACAAGCCCTCGCGTGAAACTGGAGGTGTCATTATGTGGCAATCGACAAGGTGTACAAACGAACACAGATCGAGCATGAGGCATGTCACACGCAAACACAACGTCGAGTCTTTGCATATGCGGGCGCGAACCTGCGTTCCGGCTAGCACGTCCGAATCACCCGTGCTCAAGATGGGAAAGCTTGGGCAGCTTAGAGTTGACCGGCTGTGCAGTCACTGGTTACACTGCGTTTTCACGTTACACCGTGCCTGCAGCAAGGCCTATCGGACTTTCACCTTGCATGCCTCAGAACGCGTCTCCAGAATCTGTATCCAGTCAAGAACATCAAGTGCGTCGTCACCATCGCCTGCCGCGGGTCTTATTGTGGAGGGCCACTGGCCGCGACCTCGCGGAACTATTGCCATCAGAAAAGGCTACGCAGAGATATGTATCTACCCGTGGGTTTCAGCTGTCAAAACCCTCACATGCTACCGCCCGCAAAATCTGGAATAGCGAGCAAACGCTTGACATGCGCAAAGGGTTTTGTGCGTCGCATCTGACCGGGAGAGCGGTACCGGCCCTCCACGGTGTTACCGCAGATCCATCACAACTTCACTTCACATCACCACTCGAGAAGGGAGTCGAATTTGAGTCACGGCAAGGTGTGGCCAGACCTGTTGGTATGACATGATGAGTCTGGTCGACCTGGTTCCGTCAAGAGCGCGGTAGATACCACGGGCGTGTATGGTCGTGTCTTTTGTGGTACATTGCCATCGGCTGCCTACCTTGGAAAGACCAATCTCTGGAAAAGCTCTTTTTGCAAACAGCAGGGTTTATTCGCGCCTTAGACTGGCAATGGTTGCCACTCAATGCAACGGAGTCAACTGCGAGAACCAGGAGGTATCGGCCTCGCAGGGACCGCAGCCACTGCGACTGAGAGGAGCAGGCAAGGGCGAGTAGTTCGTACTTGAGAGGTACTCATCTCGATATGTGTCGCAATTGGGTGGGGCTAAGCCTCAAAGTTCCTCTTTCCGTCGTCGTGTGCGATGTCAAACGCAGTGGCTTACAATCTCCCTGGTCCGGTATCCCTTGTTTACAAACGAGACAAGATTTCATGCCGGTAGAGGTGACTAAGGATGGGCTTCCGCGCGGGAATCGCATGTGATGACTGTGAGAGGTTTACTTTGTGGCCGCTTCTGGTCTGAGTCGTGTGCCAGGACGCGTGGATCGGATGTGCCTATGGGGAACTGCGGTCTGTATGCCACCGTGTAACTACAAGGTGGACCAGCAAGGAACCCGGCGGCACATATTGGCGACTTATAAAACGTCTGAGTCTGCTGATGCTGGTCTTCTGCTCGGCGTCCTTCTCACTCTTTCTCTCGAAAGATTATCCCCGTCCAGCCACTCTCGTGTACTTGAGTACTTCTGGAAGTTTTACACTCGCTCTTTCTTTGCCACTTCCGACCATTCAGCAAAAGTCAAGATGAAGGCGACAATCATCCCGCCAGTTGCTGCGCTACTTGCTGTGGGTTGGGCTGGCCCAGTCATTGGTACGTACAGTGCTATTCACCTCCGCCGAACAATACTGATAACAATCAGGGCCTCGTGCTGCTCAGACGTACACTTTGGGCTCATACGGCCCTCCATCGTATGGTCTTCCTCCAGCTCCAGCATACGGCTACCCAAGTAGCTTCGCAACTGGAAGCGCCCTCACCACGACTGTCTACCTTTCCACTGCATCCTCTGTGTCTATCAGCTTTGTCACTCCATCTGCGAACTCTAGCTTGGGTTCACCCGTAGGCTTCTCCAACACCTCCTCTGTGCCGTACGCCACGGGCGCCACCACCACGACGTCTCTTCCACTCACTACCAGCACATACCCGACTTCAGTCCCGCAATCCTCGGTGTATACGAACTCAAGCGGCTTATCGTTGACGACGTACACCACTCCTGTCCCGTCTGGATCTTCGCTTGGTAGTCCCGTCACGGGTGGGTCGACCGGAACCGCTCCACTGTCCACCAATTCGACTTCCACCCTCACTTTAACGTCCACTAGCTATGTGACGGTCCCAGCCATTTCGACTCCATCTGTTTCTTTCAGTAGTGCCACAAGGAACGGAACATACTCCTCGCCATCGAGTACTATCTACGGCACCGGCTCGACGCCCGTCTCTCCTGTTACTACATCCAGGAACACCACATCGCGCACTTCTATCTTCCCTACTGGCACCGCACCTGTAGGATATTCGTACTCTATCACACTGAGCACTGGTGTCACTTCATCCACGGGTAGCAGAGAAGGCTCTCCAGTGACGGCAGGGAACTCTACTATTCCAGCAGCAACTCCCGTCGGCTCGGATTACACATCTGGACTCTCAAACACGTCGACTTCAATCACGACGACTTATGCAAACACCACTGAAGGTTCTCCCGTCACCCCCTCGGCCTCGGACACTTTCAGTCCTACCTTCAATAGCGAAACCAGGCTTCCAGGAACGGGATCTACCACATCGACGGTGACTAATCTCGAGACCTTTCCGACCATCATTCCAGATTCCACGACGTTGACAACCACTACCTACACCCCATCATCTGGGTTTGGAACAATCACTACAGCTCCATCACTGGTACCGTACGCTATCAACACTCCGTACGCTTACCCGCCCACGACTGCGTATGAACATGGAGGAACGGAACGCTATCACGCCTATGATACTGAGGCGGACTCATTCTTCAAACGTCTGTTCGGAGGCCGTTGAACATGGTCAATGTGGAAAGATTGTGGTTGAGGTGCACGGTTGATACAGATGCGATGTCTATCTCGCGGCGGCGACGCCGATGTGTTGTTTCGAAAGTTCTTGTGGGAATCAATGAAAGTGTCTTTTGCGCGTCCTGTTAAGCCTTTCCTTCCTAGTTAAGCTGGTCCTCTGTCGTTACATCCATGAATCTGTTCATGCCCGTTCTTTCTCCGACGCCCAAAAGCACCACGCCACCACAACGCAGAATTTTAGAACCACCGCTGTCCACAGAGCACCCGCCACGCCAATCTCGCTGTGTGCCCACAATCCCCCAAACATAGCTCCAATAATAAGAAGAGTAGGTGCCAAAATCCTCCTATTCCTTTCCGCATTATCCTTCAGCGGAGCAAACAATTTCCCATCGGAAGCCAAATCGCAATATAAGCTTGTCAGCACCACGMTCGTGAGGCTGTTATACTTCAACACGCGGCTAATGACTGCTTGACCCGCAGATTGGAATGCCAAGAGCGCAATAGGTACCAGTATCCACACGGATATGGGACTCTTGGGGGTTATCGCTGGTCCTAAAGTTACCATCACCGCTGCTCCCGTCACCATGGCAAGCTGAATGATGTACGATGAGACAATCACCCATCGTTTCTTCGCGGAGAAGTATCGATGGTATCTCGCAAAGATGAAGCTGCCTAGTAAGAAGCTTAGAATGGATACCAGAGCTCGGAGCCATCGATCATTCTCTCTGGGAGCTATGATTCCCACGCCGACATACACGGAGTTTCCTATTACGGGCATGTTTAGTTATTATTTGGCCATGAGGTAGACAACAGATGAAGCTGCGGGAACTTCTTCTTCTTCTTGCTTCCTTACCAGTTTGCATACTAGCGAACGATCCAAACGTCGCAACGCTAGAGCTATCCAAGAGTCCAGTGATAACATAACAAAACAGCAAAGCGACATCTCCCCTTGTGCTGCTCACATTAATCGTAAAGTGCTGGTGCAGACGAGCGCTAAGACTGCCTTGTTGTTCTGGTTTGCCTTGTAGTAGTAGTAGTCCTGCAGTCTCTTCATCCGCGGGTCTACTAATCGTTCCATTCTGTCCGGTTCCTGTTGTTGTCCCGTAATTTCGATCCGCTGCTGAAGCCATGATGATTGCTTGTGTAACGCGTCCAGTAATCTGCGATGAGTTGCTGTGTATGTATGCTTCGGATGGGACGGGTGATGCGGTCGAGCTAGAAGTGGTTTCGTTTCCGAGGATTGATGAGTGTAAACACCGCCGGCAACAGAACAATCTTGAATATTTCGTCTGCTCTACGCCTCTGGCCTGGTCTTATCTTGTTTGGGGGACATGAGCCTTATATGTTCTTTCCCCCCTCGCGATATAGCCGATTCTTGACCTCTCCGTCATTCCCGCGGCTGCCGACCTTGTTTGCCTCTCCCTCGCAAAATAATCGCGACGCGTCTCGGTAATTTCATCATGTGTGATATTTCGCTATAATACTATCTAGCGGTAGATAGTATGACAGGCTGTTTGCTTATCATTGTTTGTATCGTTGAGACGACGGAGTTGACTGCCTTGTAAGCTGGCCTTGTGGTGGAGCGCACATGGCGAGACTAGGGTTAGGGTTGGGGTAGTGAATTATCGAGGATTGGCGTCTACACTCGGGGACAGGAGGCTGTGGACACAAAGAAAGGGAGTCTCGAGGGGAGTCTGTAGAGAGCTCATCGTACTGACTGCCATGTAAGACGATGACCTTCACTTCTCTTGGTCTTTGCTAATTTCGTATCAAAACCAGGGGCGTCCGAATAATTTGACATCGTCTATACCGCTTCTTTGAAAATATCAGGCGAGTCTTGGTTGTCATAAATCTGGCAGAACACTATTGGAACTGATCTTCGACATGAATACATTAAATATCTCAGGTAGGCTCGTCTATCATCCTCGATGTCTTCACGAGCTACCCTCCCATCTACGGGATCATAACCGAATCGCCTCCCACAGTAATTCCGCCCCTCCCAGTCCACACGTTCGACATGGCATCGTGGTGCACCGAAAGATCCAGTGATCTCCGCACCGCATGCGGCTTGGCGGTACGCAAGCCGCGCTTGTCATTGCCATATCCTCCAGGGGACATCAAGCTTCCAGCCACACAGTGTTCCACACCATTGAAAGCGGCATCCGCATATGTCTTCCATGCTGCCACTTGATCGACAGCCATAGCTGGGGTGTAGTAGATTCTGCAGTCGGCCTTTTCGTACACAAATTGTAAAGGCACATTCTCTTCATCGCCCTCGCGATAGCCGTCCCTGGCGTTGGTCACTGAGCTGATGGTTCGCGACAATACTAGGTCGGTGTACTTTCCAAGCTCAGTGTTCTGGTAGAATTCTCGCGAGTGAATGTACTCGTACGTGAAAGGGACCAGTACGGTTGAGAGGATGAAGTCCATGGGGAAGCTGTTAGTTCCCTTTACGCCTCCAATCGCCTGGATGATATCGGTATTGGGTCGTCCTCCAAGGGCGATGCTCTTTACACCCGCTTGCTGCTTCATCAGCTCGCTGAAGATAGTGCATGTGGACGCGCAGTAGCCATCGGTCACAATCACAATGTTTTCAGCGGCGAACGGTTGCTGAGTGATGTTGGTGCGATTGTTGTAGCCCGAGATGTAAATTCCACCAGAGTTCTCGGGAGTCAAGACATCGCTCATGTTCCATCGAATGATGTTTGTGAAGTTATCGTCTCCCGGGGTGCTGAGGAGATGCTCAGGCCCGTACTTGTCGGCCCACGAGTCAAAGTTCTCGTAGTTGACATCCACATCGGTCCGGTAATTGGCGAATGAGCTGACAATTGCGCGAGTCGATTCGTTTGCTTTGAGWTCTCTTGGCACTAGCCCGCTGAAGTAGCTGCTCTCCTGTCCAATGTAGTCGAATGCTTCGTGTGCACGGAAGCGAGTGGCACCGTATGGCAGCTTGGATGGGAAGAGTAATTTGAAGAGGTCATAGCCCTGCAGAATGATTCCACCACCGTTGGCCGACAGATCAAGAATCAACTTTGTCTTGTTATTCGCAACAGCTTGGTCGATCAGATAGGTGTTGACGGCTTGGAAATCACCGGGATCTGGAGTCGATTGGCCGAAAGAAGCGAGCGAAAGAACGGCCACGTCGTCGTAACCTTCGCCCTCTAAGAAATAGCCAGAGTTGAGATTGTTGCCTGTACGTGCGATGGGAGATGGGAAGCCCGGAGCTGGAATTGACGTGGCGGTAGACGAGCTTGTAGTAGAGCTGGTCGATGTGGCTGTTGCAGAGGTCATGGAGGATGACGACGATGTAGCAAGCTCAAGTGCCGAGTTGATCTCCTCAGGAGTGAAGTACTCCGAATAGATGTCAGCGCCGCTCGTGATGTTGTCGAAAGGCACAAGAACTCGCGCAAAGTTCTCGTTGGTAATGGAAGATCCATTTTTAAAGGTCAAGGTCGTATCCGGACCTGGGTAGATCCAGCGTCCTCTGCCACCTCCGGAGAACGTGCCCATACCGGAACCGGCAGAGCCCAGCGATACAGTCTGCAGCAGATAGAACATGTTGTTCCATAGAGCGTCGCGATCTTGCAGACTGCCATACTGAGACCATTCGAGGAGGTATTCGGTGGAGTCGCGGCCGTCAATGAGTGTAATTGGAGATGGCTCGAATGTGGCATTGCCCACAGTTGCAGCCATAATATCGGAATAGAGATAGACCTCTGGTATGCTCTTTCCATCAATCGAGACCGAGACAAGGGGGGTAGTTCTTCCGAATGAGAAGATTCCCTGTACGCTGTCCGGGTATATTACCTAAAGTGAACGAACCAAGGTTAACAAAATCGAAATCAGACACATCCTGGTATACTCACAAAGTGACCATCATGAGTCCTCTGGAAAGCACGGTAGAGCTCGTAGCCAAAGGCGTACTCGTTAACATAAGAGCCGCTTTTAGCCTGCTCGTAGATCCTCTCGTACTCGGAGGCGAAGTCGTAAGGCTCTTGTACCTTTTCGGCATATTCAGCTGGAGGGTCCTTGATGTATTGGATGGTAGTTTGCCAGTTTAGGTAAGGTCTGATCGAGTCCATGAGCGCGACTGAGCGATCCGATCAGCTTTCCATCATGAATGATTGTGCAGAAAACATGAGTTGCTTACCCGCTGCGGAGGCGTTGAATGGGACACTGTTGATGCATTCATATGCAAGCTTGGCTGGCACCGTTGCTGTAGCCGTCGGGGTCGCATCTGGTATAGCAGAGCCAATCTAAGAGCCCATCAGCGAGAGCTCGAAACCAGCGATGAACCGTAATCTTCTAGAGATGGATTATTCGAACACACAGAGGACAATGCAAGCTCACGAATGCTGGCACAAGCATTGCCGGGAACCACAGTACTGGAACTTGGTGATCCGCTCGGATAAGTTGAAGGAATTGATGGAGTTCCATACGACGCAGTGGAAGTCAAGGTCGTGATCGTAGTGGCTGTGATAGTTGTCGTAACGTTGCTTCCATGCCATGCAGGCGGTAAAGATGCCGTGGGCTGCGCTGGAGTGTACACACTCGGCTTCGTTCTTGCACGGGAGTGTTAGCAAATCTCGTCTCGGATAGCATATTCACCGCCACTTACAACACATATGTTTGACTCTTGTACTTGGAAGGATATTGTGGTGGCGAAGCATGAACAATGCCGGCAAGCAGCGAACCCAGAAGGATGAGGTCCTTCATCCTAGCGACAGACAGTCTTTTTTTGAAAAGTGGTTGCTGTCTTTAGACACTGTGTAATCCTACATGCGAATTGGGAATTCACAACAGAGACGTGGAAGAGCGGAGATGGGCGGCTATAAGTTTACCTTTCGTACTCCCATAGATAGGCAAGTAGGTACCGCCTACATTTTCTTTGCCGGACCAAGCCTTACCTAGGTAGCATCGCGCTATCATGGGGATGCCACGCCATCATCTCGTTGGGAATAACCACCGCTCGCGCTTCGCTCGGACAGGAAGGAGAATCGCGGAGGATCTCTGGGCATGCGGGCTACTGCATCGATGGACCTGTCGATCACGAAGACCGTGTGTGCCCTCATTTTTGCCACTCGCGGACACAGCCTTGAGAATGGTCATCGTGAAAGGCCCGGAGTCCTGGAGTCTCTTGAAGCGGTCTGCATTCATGCACTCTCGGGAAGCATGTCGCGCGTGTATGCAGCTTAGGAGGAGGTTGGAGGCATGATGACGGAGGATGATTGAAAAATAAGCTCCCGCCTTGTGGAGCTTATCACTCCCGGCTTCCGCGAAAGACTCTTTCTTGCTGAGGTACCCCCGGACCGTGGTTTTTAGAACGGACCGTCAAGACTCAAGAGAACGGTCTTGGGTGTACATACAAGGTTACAACGAGCATGCCGTGATCATCCTCGTGCATGTCGCGTGGGGCCACAGCACAGCCGGAAAGTAGAAGGGAGGAAGGAACCCCGGCTTTCTCAAGCTACATGTAAATCACAACCAGTTTGTCRTCGGCAATGCCATGTGTGATGGGCCACACTAAACAACATATCAATGCCGCATTGATTGCGAGAACCCATGAAGAATCGTTTCGTGCATGACATTATTTATCATCCTCCCACCTCCACCCATACGACTCTAGAATGCGAATACTCCAGCGAGCGCATGCTCATCATGACATTGACTCCTGCAAGTGCCCTGCAACGCTCCAAAAACCACCGACCGTATCATCCACACCTACCCAAACATCGTTCGTACGGTGTTTTGCGTCTCAGGAGGCAGTCCAGCCAAAAGCTGAGTCGAATCGAGCCCGGCAGTACGTATAAGTTTGCTGCCAGCCCCGACTATCCGCTGAGCCATTTGCCCCTGCAATGTCTCGGCTTCAAGAGCCTGCGCAATGTACGTAAAACATTGTGCTGCTTTGGTCATGACGGCAGGAGCTTGTCTGTACTCACATGTCAGTAATGATTTACGGAAGCAGAATGATTGCATGATAACTCACTCATCGATCAGTTGCGCCAAGAAGGAGTAGGCGAACGGCGCTGCCTCCTCGTCGTTGACTACTGGCAAAGTCTCAACCCATGCGGCCACAATCTCGGGAATGTTCTGCACCTTTTGGTTGTTGAAGTGCAGAACCTTGGCAATGGCAGCACACGCATTCTCGGTTGCAAATGCATCGTCATCGCTCCTCGCGTTTGGCCGCTGTGTGACATCAAACAGCATGGGCAAGCTGCCGGCGGCGAATTCGGCCCACTGCTGACCTCCCTTGTGTGCCGCAACACCGACTCCGTAGCATGCAGCTTGGCGGTTCGCTGCTTGGTCGTCTCGCATGCCGGTAACAAGAGGCTGAGCGATATGGGAGTAATAATTCCACGACGCTGGTCCGCAGAATTCTAGCACATCATCGAGAATGCAGAGCGCCCATTGGCGTTGAGTAGGATCTTGGTTGGACACAAAGAGGTCGTAGTAATTGAGCAGACGCTCCCAGTGCGGAAGGAATGTCTGGCCTTGGTGCTTGAAGATTGTGTGGAATGCCTTGTTCATGTCAGAGAGCAGAGTTTGATCGTCTTCAACGGCAAACTCCCACTCCTCGCCAGGCTCCTCGCCCTCTTCGCGTTCGGCGGCCTCCTCTGCTCGCTCTGCGACACGCTGCTGGYAATCCTTGAGTACACTCTCAGCCGAGGTGATAAAAGTGCCCATGTGATCATTCGAGAGGCAGTCCTTGCCCGAGACTTCCACGGACTCGTAGAAGCACTGGTACATTTCAGCCAGGGTCTCAATTGCGGGCTCGGTCTCGAGCACTTCGAGGACTTTCTCGATCGTGCCTTTCCACAAGGTGAGGTACTGTTGCGAGCTGACACCATAGGCGACCTTGTATGCGTTGAGAAGTTGCGGAACGGCCTTTGCAGATGCGACACGGACGGGGTCGTGAAAGAAGAATGCAAGTCCTGGGATTGCGACCTTGTCCATGATGTCGATGACATATGGCGCGAATCCGGCCTCCAAGTTCTGAGCGTAGACGGTGATGAGTTCAATGGCCATGAACTTGTCATCGAGTGTGCTGGTCTTGATACCAATGTATTTGCCCTTCAGAGGAACAAGTTCCCAGCCCTCTTCCTGCTCAATTTGGGCCACGTTCTCCTCATCGTCCAGCAGYTGGATATCGGCTTTGGCCTGAGCGAGCTTCATCAAAGGTGGCATAACAGTCTCGAGGTAGGGGACAAAGTCCTGGCCGAGAACGCGGCACATTCTGCCCCAGCAGTGCAAGAGATAGCTCTCCTGCGGATCATCTTCATCGACAATGCCGGCCTGGACATTGGCGAGGAGCTGAACGAGGTCAAGCGCATCCTTTTGCATTCGTTCCTTACCGACTGCCAGAGCGATGAGTGTGGCACACTCCATCGCCTTTGCTCGTAGCAGTCTCTTGTCACGGTCATTTGGCTCCTGCAGGACAGAGAACAAGGCCGGCATGAGCTCTGGGTACCACTTGCCGAAAGTGCTCTCGGCAGAGTCAGCAACGGTTGCGATGGTCGACAGCGCCTGTTCCTGGACGAATCGTTTCTCGTTACGTAGCAACTGCATTAGGTTCGTGWGTAGTCGGTCCAGGTATGGTTCCAAAATCTCCTTTTCAGCCTCCTCGCAGAAGTTGACCAGTGCCGCAGCCGCATGCGACTGCACTCGCGGCTCAGGGGCAGCCAAAGTCTCGATGAGCGCTGKCAAGACCAGAGCGTGGTACTTGGTCTGCATGGTACCCTTGAAATCAGTGCTCATCTGTCCCAGTGCGTTGCAAGCAGCCCATCGAACTCGTGGGTGTACATCACGTAATGTAGGCATGAGGAGGCTCAAGACCTGGTCCAGCTCGTTCTCCATAATCTCAGCGCATCCTTCCGAAATGGCAGAAATGCACATCAGCGCAGCGTGCTTATCGTTCCACGACCCCGATTGTAACATTCTCGGCAGCCAGGTGAATGTCGGGGGAAGTAAATCCTTACCACCGATCTTGTTGGCAAGCCGATCCATGGTCTGCTCTCCAGCAACGTGGTTTGAGTCGCTCTCGTCAAAGTCCACGTCCTCCTGAGCATTCCACTCTTCGGCGTCTGGATCGTCTGCGCCAACGTCGGTCATCATAGAAAGACACTGGGTTACCATAGAGTCGATGTAATTCTTGTCCTGCTTGCACATCTTCGGATTGTAGTCGGCAAAGGTGGCCATTAGTTCCAGAGCGTTCTGACGCGCCTGATCATCCAACTCCTTGTCCGCAATCATCTCCACGGTGATGGTGACAAGAGGGCCGAACACGCCCTTGAATGCTTTCGAAGCAACTTCCGCGAGCTCAATCACCGCCATTAGCGCCTTGGTCAGCATTTCCGACTCGCGAGCCTCCTTCAACGGCACAAGCACTCCAAGGATGTCAGGTACGAGGCCGTAGTACTTGGTTTGCGACTTCTTAGTGAGCGACTGGAAGAAGGAGGAGAAGGCGGTCATGGTAGCGATCCGCACGTGCATGTCGTCGTCCTTGATGYCTTTCTGGAAAACAGCAGTTATGACTTCCTCATGTTGCTTCTCGATGATGCCAGGCGTCGTCTCGAAGATGCGGAACGCCGACTCGCGCAGGGCGGGATCTGGCGACTGACTAGCTTGGTAGAGACCACTGAGCAGGTCAGGCCAAGTATCGCGCGTGCGGTCCGCATTGTAGATGAATTCGTCGGTGTATTGGCGTGCGATCTCAGCTACGGCGTCGGCGATCTTGGAACGAACAGGCTTCGACGTCTCGCGGGCGTAGCATTCGAGCAGCTTGCTACGAACAGCAACCTGGGTAGGGATGTCGAGCTGGAGAAAAATCTCCTTGTTGTCGCCAGACGCAGCCTTGGTGGTGCGTGTGGCTATGCGGCGGAAGATGACGGCAGCGAACGAGCGCGTCTGAGAGTGGAGGCGTCAGATTTCGATCCCAAGCAATGAAGGGTGAAGCCTCAAAGGGCTTCATCTTGAACTTCAGACGATCGTTTTCTCACTCACCCCATCATCGGTGGAGCCTGCCATCTGCTCGCCCAGACCCATGAGCAGCAGGTCGGGCCGCTGCGCGACCCATTCTGTGTTCAGCTGCTCTTCCGCAGTACCTCGTATGGCGTTGTCTGTGGACTGCAGCCCGCCCAGGAGTTGCGCGAGAGCATTGTGTACTTCGGTCGGGATGCTGGCCATAGTGTGGGGAGAGGCCTTAGCTTCTAGTATGAAATGTTGATATTCCTGCCCACTGCCTGCCCATGCGGCGAGACTCGCGTTTCTAGACGCAGACTATGTCGTGCTCGTCGGTGAGGTGCCTTGGGCAGGTGTCGGTGGTGTTGCGTGCTGTGATGAGGATAAAAAGGCTGGGCGCGTGTCTGTCGATGGAGGGGACAACAATTTATTTCAAGARGCCAGGGTTCCGTCCGGTGMACGAGCCACTTCAGTGTGAGCGAATGACGATCAGGACCAAGCAACAAGCAGTACTTTACAACTGCGCAACGGAACGGTGAGAATAGTAGGACAGTTCATGAAAATGTAGAAAGGAAGCATGTGAAAATGCAATTCAGGTTCAAGTTGGGAACACGGTGGTCTATTCATCATTCTTCACAATCTAGGTTGTCTAGCAACGCTTCGCTCCCTTGCTTCAGGTTCTGCGGCCCCACACCGCTCGAGAGCATGAATCAGATATAAAGGCAGAGTGGTATTCGTGTTAAGACTGGCAGTGAAAAGATGCGGCGAGGTGAACCAAGACTAAAGGTTCCTCCAAATGCTCAAAACGACACAACACAAAGGCAGATGCAAATTTCCAGAGCAAGCAATTAGCTCATCTACTTGATCGGCCGACCACGAATGTGATGACTGCCACAGCACCAAGAGCAGCAATCGCACCTGGTAGGAGTAGTTCGTTTGGTACGCCAGGAATCAACTGCTCCGCCTGCTGTGGAGGCTGAGCCGACGCGGCCTTTCGCTCTCTTCGGCGAACACTGCTTTGCGCTTCCTCTTCCTCCTCCTCCGAGTCGGAATACTGCTTGCGGCGACGAATTGACTCTGGAGGTTGGATCGGAGGCAGAATCGCGGGCTGCGGATCGACGGTGGCCGTCATTGCTGGCTTTTCCGGATCGTGGACGAATAGATCGACCTTGTCCTTGTTGGCCCGCCGAGCAAGGGTGATGGACTCTAAAAGATCGTGATCGGTAGTGATGGAGACAGTGTCGCCTTCATTGTCCATGTAGCTCAACGCAAACCCGGCGTGGCCGAGCTTGCCGTTTTCAAAGGTCGGAACGCCACCGATACCTTCAGCCTCGTTACCAAGCTTTTCGCCGACGTCTGTGATCAGCTCGGATAGGCCTGCCGCCGCTACAACTTGGAGACGGTGGATGCGGCCGCTCGGTGCTTTGAATTTAAATGTAAACGGCGTGTCCTCGATAGCTCCAGCGAGCACGGACTTTTCCTCAGCTTCGTGGGCCCCTAGATGGGACGCCGAGTCACCTGGCATGACGCTCTCACCTCTCTCAAGGTGGCTGATACGGTGGCTAGCGTCGGGCGACATCATGTGTGAGCGAGCATCGGGAGTGTGAGGTGCATGGCTGTTGTCGCCAGACATCATAGATTCCGTTTCAGCCTCCATTGACATCCAGAACTTGTTCCAAGCAGGACCTTCGTTGTCTCCCGTTGACATGCTGTTGATCTGATCGAGAGTGGCATATGTGAGCTTCAGGACGTCCACCATTCCTACGATTTCGTCGTTCTCTTTGTTCATGACTGGTAGGTTGAGGTAATGCCCATCGTGCATCTTCCGCAATGCCTGTTGTATGCTCATATCCATTGGGGCAAAGTCGGGATGTGGCGTCATGACTCTAATGACACTGCAGTTGGCAGGATCGAGACCGGCTGCGATGACACGCAAAACCACATCCTTGGACGTGAAGATTCCAGTGATTTGGCCCTGATCCTGCACCAGGACTGCAGTTGTGTGATTCTCTTTCATCATTTGTGCGGCTTCCTTGACACTCGTTCGGACGGAGACGGTGACTGGGGGGAGACCATTCAACACAGACTCAAGTGTCGGGCTAGACATGCGCTGTCTCACAGCCTCGACATAGTCAATAACCTGCCGGGGTTGACTAGAGCCAAGTTCAGCCTGCACACCTTCCAACGCATCGTAGAGCTTCTTGGATGAAGTGTACGAGCGTTCCAATTTCTCCATCGCATCGTAGAAGCATTTGGTGATATCCAAGATGCCCGATATATCGTGATTCTCGTCCATGACAGGCAGATGCCTGAAACCTTTCCGTACCATAAGGTCCAATGCATCGGTACCACTGGTGTCTGTCTTCGCGCATAGGGGATTCTTCGTCATGATCTCGGCAACGGTCACATTCTGAGCCTTCAGACCAGCACCAACTACTCGAAACGCAAGATCCTTCGCGGTAAAGATGCCGGCAATCCTGTCGTCGTCGTCGGTGACAAGTACACAATCCTCCCGCTTCGCAGCCATCAATTGCGCGGCCTCCGTGACGGTCATGGTTGGTTTGATCTGCAGAGCTTGGTTTGGTCGAAGGGCTAGGACGGTCCCAGGCGGTGCTTTGCGAGTCTGACGAGATCGGTTCGCGGGACCTCTCTTCTTGTTGAGGTCCTTTTCTATCTTGCTTCGTATGGCCTGTATGCATGCAATCAGTACGAGATGGCAAGGGGAGGACGGCAGGCATGTACCTCATCGCGTTTTGACTGTTTCGCACGGCTAGTCATCAAGGACGAATTGACATCGCTGACGGTCGACTCGAGCTTCGGGCGAGGGATGCTGGATGAGCTGCTTTCAGGGAAGCTCATCTGAGGGCGAGCAGTCTTGGGCGTGCCTCGTTGAGTCCCGCCGGCGGTAGACATGTTGGAGAGAGCAGCAGTAGACGCGTAAAATCCAGAAGCAAAAGCGCTTCACCAGATGCCCGACTTTCAAGCAGGAAGGGCGCGAGAACGATTTGCGTTCGCAGTGGGAGAACAACGGTGAGGTCAAGTCGTAAAGTAAACAATCCCTGGAGTGAAGCGTGCCTTCTCCCGAGGAGGTACCGATCGTCGGCGTACCTTCCGCGCCAAGAAATCCACTGTCCGAAATGCACGCTGCTAGTAACATTTCACCCGCCTTCAACGACGACGTCGACTTCGCACCTCGAACCGGACCCTCGCACACCCACCCACCGCAATCATGGTCAAGAAGCGCGCATCCAACGGACGCAACAAGAAGGGCCGTGGCCACGTCAAGCCGATCAGATGCTCAAACTGCTCGCGCTGCACACCCAAGGACAAGGCCATCAAGAGATTCACGATCCGCAACATGGTCGAGTCGGCTGCCATCCGTACGGAATACCCTCCCAGATTGTTGATTGCGCATGTCGACCAGTTGCTAAGACAGAAATTCGTGCTGCAGGTGATATCTCGGATGCCTCCGTCTTCGCTGAATACTCCGTCCCCAAGATGTACTTGAAGCTTCAGTACTGCGTCTCCTGCGCCATCCACGGAAAGATTGTCCGGTACGACCTCCTCGAATGAACGGCAATACCCTGGCCTCGAACCTATATACTAATGCGAAGAGTAGTGTCCGATCGCGCGAGGGTCGTCGCAACCGTGCTCCCCCACCACGTGTGCGATACAACAAGGATGGCAAGAAGGTGAACCCAGTCCAGGCTGCCAAGGCCCCAGGTGCTGCTGGTGTCGGCGCTCAGGCATAAGGGAGAGCATGGATTCGGCGAGGTGCACGTTACGGGAGTTCAAGGGACACGCATTGACTTGGTGATGGCGTTCTGCAGCCGGYTGTCTAAGGGCAGCTTAAAAGATGTCGGAATGAACAGCAGCTGGCCAGAGCAGGCGCCGAAGTCTGTCTACTGGAGTTACGAATAGCTTCGAAATGAACCACGTTCAAGCACGAATCATGAGCACACTGTTGAAAGCATGGGCATTCTCAGTGGAAGGGACGAGGATATGTCGCAGTGTGAATGTGGGAAGATGGCATGCACGTGGAAGAGCACGTACACTCACGCGATTTAGATGCACACCTCTTCCCCTGACCTCTCTGAACATCTAGAGACCAGACCAATGTGGGAGAGGCCTGACTCGATTGGCCGATGACAGGCAAAGCTGTTCCCAGTTGGAAGTTTGTCGTAATTGCCTGTCATCCACGTTGCGATGGGCGTCTATACATTGCAGAGAATGTGAAGCGATGCTGAAGACAGAAAGCTACCATTCCGACCGGATCTGCCAGTCAAGATATCGGAACCCTGACCCTTCAACTGTGGTAGACGTATGATCGTATTCGTTATCGTGTCATCATGCCCACCGCCATATCATGTCAACATCAATCAGTCCGTTTCTTCGTATCATCCTCCACTGGAAGACTAGCAACCACCTTGGTGCTCTCTGCGCCCTCTTCTTCCCAGTCCTCGGCGTTTTCGTCCCATTCGTCAAGCTCCCTCGTAACATCAACCGTTGTAGTCGCCCCGGCAATAGCCTGATCACGCACAACACCAGTCTCCTGCGGCCCAACACCGACTTCGCCCAATTCTACATCCCTTTCTTCGTCCCCCTCAGGCAGCTCATCGCCAGGGACGATATCGTAATGCTTGTTCTTGCGTTTCCGCTCTAGCATTCGTCGATGATACCAAGAGCACAGCGACAGGGATAATGCAGACCCGACGACGTTGGCGAGAATGTCAAATGGGTCGAAATCCCGGCCATTTGGCAGTAGTCCTTGGACAACTTCTGAGCCAATCCCTAGACCGGCGGTGCAGGCTATGAGGGTCAGATGAATGCAACGACGGCGTGGTAGTTCAAAGATCCAGTAGAAGGAAAGCTGCAAGACACACACATTTGTTAGCTGGGAAGGCCAGCGAGATGCAGCTTGGTATTCGACGAAGGCCGGGACTATCGTCTGGCCGAAGTCAGGGAACTTACTGTCAGCAGGAAGAAGGTGATCAGATGTAGCCCCTTGTCGCTTTGTCCATATTGTGGCAGCTTTTGAGTCGACAGACCCAAGTACGCCGAAGCGAGGACCAGAACAGCAAAGGAAGCTATGAGCGGCTCTGTTAGCGAGCGATATGTTGGGGCTGATTGGACGTATACGTACCTGCAATCGGCTWGCGAATGTGCAAGGAAGACATCAATTCATCGTATCCCATGCTGTGCGCAGCACAACAAGCAGCAGAATGCGCGGAGCGTGTGTTTGGGCAAAGCTTGGGGCCCTCGGAGCTTGGAGAGAGATATCCCGTGTGAAGGCTTGCGACGAAAGATCGTAGGAGAGGAGGCTCAAACATCCATCGACTTCACATCGATTCCACGAGCATTTTAAATAAGCAATCGAATTCCGCGTCGCCTACGAGTAATTGGTGTTTTCTTCGGATTCTGCACACGCATTTACGTTTGAATCTTGACGTTCTGAGGTCCACGGGTACTCCTCGTCCAGACAAGACCACCTGCAAGCCCTCACCTCACCCGCGACACCTCACGTCGTGACCCGGGGGCCTTTTCATCACCCACCACMGCCCCGCACCACGTATTGTCAACCAAACCACACCACCGTGCTCCGCGCGCCGAGATCTTTCACATGGTACCCATATCAGCCCAGCCCGTCACGAACCTGGCGATCGGCGCACTGGAGGCGCACACCCTGTGCACCACGCGCAGGCGATGAGCTCGACACCCTCGCGGCCTGCAGTCAACGGCTTCCACCGTCCCGCCAATGGAGCCCTCAACAGCGCCCGCCGCGCTCCAAGCATGACTCGTGATGGCTCCTCCGCACCCGGGCTTGCGCCGGAGGAGGGGCCGCCGGAGGAGGRCCCGACACACGATGCGCTACAGGCGCGATGGAAGCTTGCTGAGAAACACATTGCTGTGCTGTTCAGCGGCGAGGATAAGCACAGCGTATCGCGACGCGCGTCCTCAAAGGTTGCTGATATTGTGGTGCACGAAAGCAGCGCGGAAGAAGGTGCCAAAACCACCGCTCTGCCGAAGAAAGCTGCGCGCCAGATTGACGACGATTATGGAGATGACGACGACGASGAGGATGAGGAGGATGTGGAGAAGCAAAGCCCACTCAAGGCGAAGGGCAAAACCAGCCAGATCAACGGCACATCCACCGCGTCCGGGTTGTCGACGCCGGTACGTACTGGAGTTCCACCAGGCAAGCCGCTGGGAGCTGCTACTGGTGCTGCTCGGCCTGGTACTTCAAGCACCTCTGAATCTGGGCAAACCTCTGAGGATGTACGTAAGCAGCTCGAGCAAGACAAGAAGGCCGCGGCCGAGGCTGCTCGACAAAGCTTCCAGAACATGTTTTACACCCTGGAGAGCGACCGTGACGCCATGATTGAGCAGCAGAAATTGGACGAGTTGGATCGCGAAGTGGAAGATGAGATATCTGGTGGACCGAATGCTCCCGCTGCCGCTCCCAACCCTGGACTTCCTGTGGGTGCAACGCAGGGATCTCTGGGCAGCACTGATCTGGGTGCCTCGAGTTTGACCCTCAAACATCTTATTGCTAGAATCGATAAGAAGCGTGACATGGTCAAAGCCTCGGACAATCAGCTGCGGACCCTCATTTCGGAAGTCAGAAAAGGACGAAGTAAGTGGGCTAGCGAAGACAGAGTTGGGCAGGAGGAGCTGTACGAAGCGGCCGAGAAGGTGCTCATGGAACTCAAGGCCATGACCGAGTACGCGCAACCGTTCTTGCAGCGCGTCAGCAAGCGAGAGGCTCCAGATTACTTCAATGTGATCAAAACACCGATGGATATCGGCACGATGATCAAAAAGCTCAAGCAGTACGCTTACAAGAGTAAGAAGGAGTTTGTCGACGATATCACTCTGATTTGGACGAACTGCTTGAGGTACAACCAGGACCCCGGACACCCCCTGCGCAAGAAAGCCCTGTACATGCGCAACGAAACAGATAAGATCACACCTCTGATACCGGAAATCGTAATTCGAGACCGCGCTGAAATTGAGGCCGAGGAGCGCCGACTTCAGCTAGGCGACGCGGACGACAGCGACGACGATGATGCGCCCATCATGGCCTCACGGGGTCGCAAAGCACCCAAGAAGGGTGTATCGTCATCTGCAAGGAAAGCGCCCCTGGCATCCGTGGACGACAAGACAACACCAGCTCCTGATCAGAAACCGGCGCTGCATGCTTCGGCCAGCAACCTGCGAGGCGAATTTCTCCGAGCTGAATCAGATGCACCTGATGTCAATTCAGCAGGGTTTAACACTCCGCCACCGCCGGGCTTTGCTACTCCTCAGGTCAATGGGGCTCACGGCAATGGTGCGGCTGGCAGTCAGGCAGACGTGATGGAAGTGGATGGAGTTGGAAACACCATCATGCCTACTACCGAGGTGGACCTTGACGAAGACGACGCTGACTTCAAGACCTGGAAGCAAGTGACGAAGAAGGACCGTGCGCAGGCCGCAGCTGAAAGAAATCGTCTCTTTCGAGGGGAGCATCTGAACGCTGATGAGCCGGCATTGCTCCGCAGCAAAGCCATGATGAGAAGATGGACCCGGCAACAGAAAATGCTATCATCCAAGCCATCGATTGATGCGGACACGCAAGAAGGGATGGAAGGCACCGAGCCTTCCGCTGGAGGCGAGACGCTTGCTGAAGGCATTGAGARGGATGAAGATTCAACTCTCCCTGACTATTACAACCCCGTGTCTGCGATTCCTGATTTGGACGACAGGCTGAAATGGACGACAGACTCGGAAGGCAATGCAGTGCCGCATACTGACGAGTACATGCGCATGTACCCTAAAGGGCGATATTTGTCACATCCAGGCGACTTGAACAAGAAACTCGAAGGCAACATTCGGCAAATGCAGGATACACGTAAGGTTTGCGCAAAGATTGGCATTGTCAAACAGATGCAAATACAAGCGCAGGTACGAGTGCACGAGGAATCGCACAGATGTGATGATACTAACATGTGAACAGACCTATCAGAATCAGTTCCAAAAGTACGAGCCAGAACCCTTTGTCGAGCACGATGTGGGCGCCGTGGTTGTGTCAGAAGAGGGCCCTCTTATGGCGCCCTGGGTCAACCGCGCTGCGTTGCAAAGATCCATCGGGAAGATCTTCTACCATGCTGGGTTTGAAGATTTTCAGCCTTCTGCTATGGATACCATAACAGACGTTGCCACGGACTTCATTGCCAAAGTCGGCGCGAGCTTGAAGCTGTATAATGAGCAGCCGATGATTGATCCCACAGCGCCTCKATTCACATTTGAGGAGCAAGTTCTTCACACGCTGGACGAGAACGGCATGGATMTTGAGGCGTTGGAGTCTTACATCCGCGATGACGTGGAGCGACTCAATACGAAACTCGGCGTCGTCCACGAACGGATGAGATCGCACTTGGCGGACCTCTTGGTAAGCTTACTTTGCGTTCAAACTTTCTCAATTCGTACCTTGCTAATATCATTCAGCGGCCTGCCTTGGGCGACCATGCCGGTGCGGATGGAGCTGGTGCTTTCAACGACGGCAGCGATCAATTCGTCGGCGGAGACTTTGCTGAAGACATGGACGAGGACTTCTTCGGCTTCCGCGAGCTGGGCTTGATGGCAGAATTTGGACTGGAGTCGCTAAGCGTGCCACTTCATCTGCTTCAGAATCGTATGCACAGCCACTACCAAGCACAGAACCAGGGTCCTGTCAGCAGCACTGGCCTGATCTTTGAGCCTCCGCCGCCATACGACCCCATCACTGTGCAAACTGTTGGGGACCAAATTGGTATAGTGCAAGACTTCTTCAAGGCGAAGCTGAGGAACAATCATGACGATCCCTTGGTCGAAGACGAGGATCTGCCTCAAAAACAGAGATTCCCCAAGCCCAGACTGCCACCCACAGGCAAGATTTCGAGTCCTAGAAAGCGGCCTTTGCGAGAACAGCAGCAAATTGCCAAGAAAAAGAGGAAAATGGAGGAACAGGGTGGGAGCGGCGAGAAATCAAAGGGCCTTGGGAAGATCCAACCCCTGAGGTTGCAAATGCCGGAGCCGCAAGAGGCGATGGACCCAGAGAAGGACGGCGCGACTATGATAAGTCCTGAAAGTATCAACGGAAATTGATGCAGTCCAGATCTTGCATAGCAGCAGTGCGGGTGGAAGCAAGCCCATCGCGACCAAGTTGCCCCGAAATTTCTGCATGTCCATGGGGGAGGCGGAAATTTTTACGACAATGAAGAAATATCAGTTTTAATTGATTTGAGAGCATAGTTTGTCATCCCAGGAGACGGCCAGTCAAGGAAAAGAATTTCTACAAATACCCACACACACACACACACACACACACAGACTAGGGCACGGGGGATTGGCGAGGCGTTTTTTTTCAAGGGGCGGGGGGAGGGTTTTGTTGTTTTTATACCCAGTCTGAGCATCGGCCGGAGTGAGAGGGAGGAAAGGGGATTTTTTTTTATATCTTATCTTTTGGTTGGTTGCGTCCGCGACGTGAGGGCGCTTTTTATGGCTAAGTTACTTACTTCCTGGATTTGTGAGATGAAGGATTGGACGGCGCATGTTCGCTGTGAATTGTATAGCTGCTGGATGATGATGGGTGGAGTGAATGATCATATTTCCATCACATGACTGTAGTAGATCTTTACATATCGGGTTCTTCTTGAAAGTGGCGAGGAACTATCTTACATGTATCTTATCTCATGCAGCCTGCTGACTTTCCCTTTTCTTGTTGCTGCATGCAAGTACCTTATGCTGATGAATGGAAGCTTGGGGAATGATTGTCCCGGCTAATTGTTTTAGCTTCGATTCATCAAGGTCAAGATCACGTCGATACCCCATCTGAAACCCTGACCTATTCACGGAGAACGAACAAGAGAAGGCGACGCCGCGAGCCATGAGGAACAATAGGCAAACAGTCAAGAATGTCAGGCTACTCTTCACCTGTAGCCATGCGCAGCACGATTTGCAGTAAGAAGTAATGTGCGGCATTCGCTAGTCTGTAAGCACTACTTTTCATTGCGGACATCTGTTCCACAGTTCGAATTTCCCAACTTCCCTCTCCAATCTCCTACTATCCCTCGAGATCCTCATACATTTTGCATCAGCAATACACTTTCGCCTTGCGAAAACTTGGCAGGTTGCTTCTCGACTGCTACGCCTTATAATGCCTGCACTTGGGAACACGAGAATCGATACTTTCGGAATTGCGTGGATAGGTTGCGTAGAGTCGACGAACCAATCGCGAGACATATCTATATTCGTCTTACTTGCATCGACTCTGCAAATCTTACAACAGAACGGTATTGTCAAGCCGCTAGTAATCATCGCTATAGAGAAAATTGCATGTTGCGATATTCCGTTTCTTGACAACTAGACTCACGGGCCTGGGTGATGCTACATTGCCCGGCTTCGACACTTTGGATTCACATACCAGGAACGATAGGCTCTAATTCAGGGAGGTCTACCAGATCTAGGATTCTGGACTTGAGGAGACGATGACTGGTGCCTTTGGCTGGATTGACAGTGTAGGTCGCAGTGAGTGAGAGTCTTACCAACTTTTTGTGGTCCAAGGAGAGGTAGAAACTTCGCTTCGAGGATAGGATTCTGCGACAGACTATGCTTCGGATTACTTGCCTAGGAGGTAGAGCTGAGCGTGGTGGAAGAGCTTCCCCGGTATAGCCAGAAATATTACCAATTCGAAAGTTCACGAAAGTGGATGTGTGAGTGAAGTCTCAGTTCACAATGATAAACGCAACTGTCCTTTGTATGTCGCTGTATCTCTTCCGTTCCATTCGATCAACATTTCGATTTGCATTTCACTTCGTCGTCGCCCACTCCTATTGACACGTGATCTTCAAGGATGACTCAAGTCCGGCAAACCTTCCGCCGACAAACATCAAACTTTCCGTCCACCTCTCGCCTCAAAACATACCCTCCGGATCTGCTTCACTAAGAACTCGCACGCATGGGTGCCAGTCAATCCGCAAATACTGGCGGAGGAGCCGCTGACGTCGAGACGAAGACCAGTTACTACGAACTTCTCGGGATTGAAAAGCAAGCAACTGAAGACGAAATCAAGAAAGCATATCGCAGAAAAGCACTCGAATTACATCCCGACAGAAACTATGGAAATGAAGAGTCTGCCACCAAAACTTTTGCCGAGATTCAATCCGTGTATGAAATCCTCTCAGATCCCCAAGAGCGAAGTTGGTATGATAGCCATGAGCAATCGATCTTGCGCGGCGACGATGGCCGTCAAGACGACTCCGGAGCATTCGCTGCTCCGTCCGGCGTGACAACTGCAGACGATCTCACAAGACTTGTGAGAAAGTTCAATCGTAATGTGGAGTTTACCGATTCACCTTCTGGATTCTTCGGCTTCATTCGTGAAACTTTCGAACAGCTTGCAAAGGAAGAAATGGCCGCTGCATGGGAGAATGGAGATGCAGTCGAGTATCCTACATTTGGCCACAAGGATGACGATTATGGAGATGTTGTCAAGAGCTTTTACGCTGCATGGTCGAGCTTCTCCACTTCCAAGTCATTCTCCTGGGAGGACAGATACAGAACGTCAGAGGCACCGGATCGATTCGTTCGAAGGCGTATGGAGCAGGAAAACCTACGATTGAGAAAGGATGCTAAGCAGGAATTCAATGATGCCGTGCGATCGCTCGTGGCGTTTGTTCGAAAGCGAGATCCTCGCTATGTACCCAACACTCAGACTGAAGAGGAGCGCCAGAAGACTCTCCGAGAAGCCACAGCGGCGCAGGCGGCGAGAGCAAGAGCTGCGAACGCCGCCAAGATGAACGATGAAGTACCCGAATGGACGAAAATCCGAGATCCGGAAGAGTTGGAGGAGAGCGAAGAGGAAGAAGTTGATGAAGAGGTCATTGAGTGCGTCGCATGTTCGAAAACTTTCAAGAGTGAAAAGTCGTGGCAAGCGCATGAGAAGAGTAAGAAGCATCAGAAAGCTGTCCGATCTCTTCAGCACAGGATGCGGAAAGAAAATGCTCATCTCGATCTTCCCGGGAGTGATGAAGAGAATGGTGTCGTGGATGAGGAGGATTTCGAACTGATTGACGACGTGGATGGTGAGGAGCAAGATCCAGATCCAACTGCGAACGGCCATTCTCATCGTCAAGATGAGGAGACGCAAGATCATGATGATATCAACGAGCATACCAATGGCAGTGCTGCTCCGGAAGAAGTCGAAGCAGAAAACACGCCAGTACCCCAAAATAAACCCACCAACTCTCCCGAAGACGCAGAATCCGAAGACTCAGACTACGCCCCGATCGAATCAATCCAAGCTCGCATGCAGTCCGTAGCTCTAGAGAACTCCACCGAGCTTTCCGAAAGCGAACCCACTACCAAAGTCGAACCGAAAATGGGAAAGGCAGCACAGAAGAGAGCGAAAAGAGCTGCGGCAGCTGCGGCGGCGGCAGAACCGGGTGAACAGTCTGCAGCTGATGCAAGCGCGACGTGTGAAGTTTGTAAGGAAAGCTTTGCTTCTAGGACTAAGCTTTTTCAGCATGTTAAGGATAAGAATCATGCTGCGCTTAAATCTGCTGTTGGGGGGAAGGGGAAGAAGGGGAAGGGGAAGCGGTAGTCGCACTGTTTTTTGGTCTCGACTCAGGCAACGACTGTCGACATATGCAGCGGTGTTTCGAGATTCCATGCATTGCATAGCGAAGGCGTAAAAAGTTTGTCTTGGAGATACCCACATGCGTTCGAAGACATTGGTTTCCACCCATGTGCGCATGTTCCCATCCCACCGACTTTCCAAGAAAGGATCCCCAGAAATTGCATGGACAAATGCAGCTTGCAACCCTTATGCCAGAGGAAAATGTACACGAAACAAACGCTATCATCAAACAAATAGCAAACGATGCAGTCGAAAGCCAGCTTCCACACAATGCATCAACCATAACAGCCGGATCAATCATCTGCGTACAGAATCTTCTTATACTGCTTTGTCGCCGGAGATCTTGACCTCATTTTGACGCCATCTCTTCTTCTCAGCTGCAACTTATCGGCTTCAAGATCAAAGCACCCAATCTTCCTATCCAAACTGCAAAGTGGATGCAACGTCTTGGTCTCCATGTCACACAGAAGAGTCCTTCATCAACAGACACGAAGTCCGAGCCTCGCGATGTCGGCGAGTTGCACAGCTTCACGGCTGACTGGTATGGCCTAGAATTAACGACGAGCTCGCTAGCGGACTTTGGGCTTCGCTTGCGTATAGGTCCTACTGTTCCATTTTGCGAACTGGTCGAGCGTGGTACATTTGGCGCTCCAGTATCCACAACAAGCTGGCCATCGATTTCCTGAGGACCACGAGGTGTTCTTCCAGGGATAGGGTCATCCATATCGTGGCTGAAAATTGTGGATCCGCAGTAATAGTCCAGGTCCATGATTCTACCACCTTGATCTGCGTAGGCCCACATGTTGATTTTCATCTGTCGGTTGGTGATGGCTACTGGGTTCTTGTCGATATCTTCGCCGTGGTCTGCGTCTAGCCATGTGCATCGCGGAGCGTACAGCTGGCTGTTACCTCCGTTGATGGTGTAGAGGCCATATTGCCAGGCTTGGCCGCAAGCTGCTCCGACGTCCCCGAGCCAGGTGTAGGGCTTCTTATCCCCGGATGCCTCGTATGCCACTGAAGTTGCGAGTCAGAATATCGATAAAAAACAGAGCGGCGCGGAGTGTTCTTACTGATCCATGAGATACACACTTCGTCATCGCTGGTGATAACGTCCAGGTACTGTGCTTGAAGACTCTCTCCCATCTCTTGGTGCACTGTGATCTTACTCTGCGCCCCAGCTTTGGTCTCATCAGGATCTAGGAACTCATCAGCTCTGGGTCTCCAATCCTAGAACGCGGACAACTTACCAACGTCAGAGCTTCCAAGAACGTGGTTAAAGACATCAAAGGCCCACACTATTCCGACCGTTCCCTCCTATTTTGTGATTAGCGGCTGGCCTTCAATGACAGCAGCGACGGACATACCTGATCCTCATCCTTATCCCGCTGTGCATTTAGCCCGATCTGAGCTTTCGTCCCGGCCGCATTGGATGGTGCCAATAGATTGATGAAAAAATGATACTGCTCCGAAGATCTCTTCACCAATTGCTATTGTGCCGGTGACTCGCTCCGCCCCATCTTCGAGAAATCCCATTGAGGTCTGCGCTGTTGGCGTTGAGCTTTCTTCGGCAACGGATGCATTGAAGAAAGCAAAGGAAAGTACGAGGATAGGAAGCAATGAATGGAAGGTTGAACGAGCTGGAAGCATGGTGATGAGTGTGAGTGGATATCAGTTGGTGGGATATCGAGTTTCTGATTGTTTTGCTCTCTGGCCGCGATCGTCTCGTACTTATAACAGACCACAACAACCACGCAGACTCATATCTTCCATCTTGGCCCGCTCCAAAACGAACTGCTGATTGAGACTCCGGTGGGTCTTCGATGCATGTGTGATCTCGAAATACTTACAATCGGTGCGTCCCGCATTCGCAGCTCGCATGCTGTGTATGCAAGCGCTGTAGGTGTTGTTGGTGTTGGTGTTTCGAATCGCGCTGGATTGCCTAGAGAATGTCTCGATTGTGCAAGCGATGAGCCAAAGCAGAAAAATCGCCAAGGGTGTGTAAGTCTATTCTGGTGAAGGGGGAGGCACAGCTAAAGCAATATGCAGCTAAGGCATTCTAAGCGCCACTGGTATCCACAGTGAGTGATGATGAACTGTTCTGCCCTGAGCCCAGGAACAGAAATAACGGTGATCAAGGGAATATTCATCTATACAAAACGCTCCCATCTCTCCCCTCAACATTCGACACAGGCATGCGTCGTCCATCTACCTCAGAGCTCCTTATCGTCCTCGTCCCAGTCGCCAGCCTAATATTCGGCATCGCCCAGGTAGATTCTGTCCAGTCCTCGGTGCAGCATGCAAGCCGCGATGTTACGCTGATGCAGTGGCCGCCGGCTCCGATATTCGGGAGCGACGAGCTGGCAAGCGTACCTTCAAATTTGGCACGGGGCGTCATTGACGGTCTGTTGGCCGCTGGAGCCATTGCCATCGTTGCAAGTATCTCTGCAGTGTTGCAAGCAATCAACAACGTTCTTTATCCCGTGAGTCTACGAATTCAAGTATCCGCGGGCGGTCACTGATGACCCACCCACACACAGGGCTCACTTCCTAAWCAATGGCATATGATTTATCGTGGAATTCTATACCCATCGATATTGGTAATCTTGGGCATTTTTATATATGCATGCGTCGAGGAATCCAGGAGTTCCAGATGGCAATTCAGCGATACCAATTCTACGGTGGGGAGATTTGCTCCTGAGGCTTGGAGTTGTCAGTTCAAGTCTTACTTCTCGGAATTGACCAGTGTCTGTGACTCTGCGGTAAGTCATCCGATCACGCCTTTGCATCGGTGAATATAGTCACTGATCTCAAGTCTTGTTTACAGCGAGCCGGTCGGTGGCTTTCGATACCAATTCTGCTATGTTTCTTCGTCCTCGCATTCATTGATTCATGGCTGCACCCACAGAGAGACCATAAACGAACCACAAAAGGGTACATACCCAGATGATCAGACTTCCCGCTAGTTCCAGGATACGCAATATCATTCCATCCTATTTTCCTAGAGATATTCGCGGCTCATCAAATCGTGTATATCGTCCAGAACGCCAAAAATCTGTATCCTTGTGTAGCGATCCCATTGTCCGCTCGTGGTTCAAGGAGAATCGTCATACAAATCCCCATCCTCCAACTTCCTCTCAATATCATCAGCAGCCTGCTCAAACCCCAAAGCTCTCGTAACATCCCTTGACTCCTTCAAAGTCTCAAGCTTCCATCGTTTCGACGAGTAATTGACAGGACTCTCCCCGCCCTTGAAAATACACAAATCATACACCAAAGCCCCAACCAGCGTTCCAGTAATAGTAGCACACCAAGGACCCCAAAGCCACCAATTCTGCCGAGCCGTGAAAATCTCCCTAGGATACCCCACAGCCAAAGTCGCCAATCGCGGTCCAAAATCTCTAACAGGGTTGAATGTACCACCAGTACTATAACCAAACGACATGGTAACTGTAGTGTACAGCAACCCGATGATGAAAGCATGCATACCCGCTCCCGGAGGACTATTCCCCGAATCTCCCAAGGCGAGGATGGAGCAGCCAATAACTGCCGATCCGAGAAATTCCGTGAAGAAAGCCGTGGAATTGGAAATCCAGGCTTTGGGTTGTGTGTAGAAAGCTATTCCTGTCGATTCTGGAAGTAATGCGCCATCTAAATGTAAGATTCCATCTCGATAAATTGTATAGGCGAGGAGCGCTCCGGTGAAAGCGCCTAGGATTTGGGAGAGGATGTAGATGGGAATTCTACGGGCGGGAAATCCTCTGAAGACGGATAGCATAATCGTCAGACCGGCTGGAGAGATATATATGTCAGTAGGGATATTCAAGATTTTCGTAATGGGTCCTTTGGACTCACGGTTCAGGAATGCTCCACTTGAGCCACCTGCTGTGTAGATGGAAAGCATGACTGCGAAACCCCAGCATGGAGCTTGTAGACTGCTTAGGCTACCTGTTGATTGGCCGGATGTTATGACGCTCAGATTACTGCAAACGCCAAGGAATCTGTATACCATATTAGCCATGGCGGTTGCGAGAATTTTTCAGGTCAGACATACATGAGTAAGGTCGTTCCAAGCCACTCCGCGAGCGGAAGTTGAAATCTCCTGCGGAAAAGCGCCCAATGATTGTATGGCAAGTCATCTTCATCTGGATCGACAGTTGCTTCCTCTGCCACGTTCCCCACGTTTTCGCCGTTGGAATTGTAGGCGTCAATGGCACGTCGCTGGACATGTGTGTCGGAGGGATCTTCTTCTTGTTCTCCTAGCTTTGTCGTATCGGTATCTTTCCTACAAGTTTAGAATACGTTCGTCAGGAGTGAGTCAGTAGATTGGCTTACCATCATCTCCTGCATCATCCGTATGATCGACCTGTCGAGTTCCTTGATCGTTCGCTTCATTCACCATCGGGGCCGGCTCCGTGCCAATCTTTTCCGCGGCCTCTACAGCCCTGGGCTCGCCGTCTTTTGGTTCTCTCTTCCCCCATCGAATTTTATGCGGAAAAGTGCCTGCGAGGGAAAAGTTCTCGCGGGGGTTCTCCGTGTTCATCTGAGGGTTGAGTCGGTGATAGCCTTCTTCAAAGTACGTTCTATGAGGGTCGRGATTTGTTTGCGTTTGTTGAGGCGGACCGGCCATGTTATATTCGACATCTCCGTTAAGTCTAGCAGTTTGCGATGTTCCCATTGTCCCAATCGTTCTGAAAGTTGAATGTCGTTGCTGATTTGTAGGTCGTGCAGTTTTTGATCTTGCAGTGGTCGATGCCCTCTGCGGGTTTGCAGGTCTAGCTGACATCTTCTAGGAGTGAAGAGAGCGAACCAAGAAGGGTGGAAGAAAGAACGGTCTGGAGAATACTCGCCACTGAGGAACTCGACACACTTATAATCCTGGCATATATCAATACCATGATGCTACACTGATGACGTTGAAAAGCTATAGGGGAAGATGTGGCGAAGATGTGGCGATAGTCGTACTCCAGACAGGGATTATGTCCAGCATCATCCTGCAAACAAGAGCGGCTCCGAAGACAGTCCGTGAAGCCTGGCACAAAATTCTCCGGTTTTGCATCATTTGGTCGTTGTAATGTGGGTCCGTCTCGATAAGTAATGATCGATCGACGCATGGAGTGGAACTCCGTACCGATCTCCAATATAAACCAAAGATCTCTTATTCTCGTGACACTGCTCGCTCARCGAACCGTCAGTATTACCCTCTATCGATAAAGGATCCTCAGGCGCGTACACCTGCAAGTTTTGATATCGCCTCTTCAGCTGTGTGAGGAAACTTTCATTCTGACAGCTGCGATTCAAATCGTCTGCATCTGGTCGACAAATTGCATCCGAGTCGCGAAACCCACCACCTACTCGGACGACAACTGTCTCATATCGCCTCTCAAACGTATTGGAAGACCTCAGCTAGGCTTCTTACTTCCAAATAGTCGGAAGAATCCGAATCTCCTGTTCTTCTTCTGCTGGTCTATCTGACCGTTGTCAAGCGGCCATCCATTCTCTATGGCCTCTTTGTTCAACATGGACATTGCTTCGAAATCGTATGGCTTATGCCACTTGTGCATGGGGATTTCGCCGAGCTTGGTGCTGTCGGACTCGATAGAGTAGTACGTAGGTGTTGGTCTGCGACTACGATTGTTGAGAAGTGGCGTTGATGGAACTCGTCGAGAGGACCTACAAGGCCCTGCTCCAAGGTCTGTTACGGAAGCGGTCTCACGCAGCACATCCGGTACAGGTGCCAAGCGAGGTTGGCGAAGCTCCACTGCGGATGATTTTCGCSGTGATACCGAGGGATCAGACGAGATGGGCAAAGGATAGCAGACCGGTTGAGTTGTGTTTTGCTGAGGTGTATGCCGCACCAGTGACGAAGTCTTGACGCGAGATTTACTCTGCTTGGTTTGCTTGGCCCTTCCACCAGGTCTAACCATCGCGATGCGGCCGGCCTTGGAGGAGTCCGCGATTACCACTTGAGCTAGTGTCGGACGGCGGATCTTGGAATGCTTATCATTTGTCGATATGTGCGTCTTCTTTTTTCGGCCATCAGGCGCCTTGGTCTCAGCATGCAGACCACCCGAATATAACTCCTTGGGCGAAGCTAGAAGCACCAGACGGCGGCTGAGCTGCCGGAGGGCGTCGCAGGTGTCCTTGCGAGCGCACTCCGAGGTATCAATCAGGGAGCCATAGTCGACCCAGACCTCTCCTCGACGTAGAAACTGATTTATGATGGTCACAAGACTCGCATTGAGTCTGAACAGGACCTCTGCAAGTGCAGTATGCGCGATAGCTAAACTGTATCAGTCTGGGTTGGGCAATACATGATTACAGATGCTTACCGTCTCCAACCACAAAACCTTCTCCAGCAGCTTCGAGACTTCGCTGATACTCTTGGACGATACTCGTGGATCCATGCGTCAGACTGGCGACCAATTTTGTTTCCTCATCATCTGCTTCACCGGCTGTCCGCGTTTTTGATTTCCTGGACTTCCGTCTCGTCTGCTCGATTCCCTTGACCACATCGATAGCACTCGAGAACGCAGCCAAGATCGATAGCACACAGCTGGACACATCTGTCCTGACCATGCTGCTGATATATCGGTACAGAAGAGTGGGGTCAGATGTTGAAAATAACAAGCAAACAAACAATTTCAGGCGGCTGGAGGCTGCTCAGCAGTATGCGAGGTTGCACAGGTCCGCAATGTGCTGTTGACCTCACGTGCAACCGCGGGCGGCAGTAACGCTGAGAATGCTACGCGATCTCGACCTGCGCTGATGGATCCCACTGCACCCCATATTCGCCTGCGGATAAGCCATAGCCAGTGAGAGAGATGGCGTCTGCAGGGACACTGCAGTAATCTGCAGGTCCTCGCATATCAATGGTGTTCGTTGGTTGAGAGCGCAGGAAGAGAAAGGCAACATCACTGTGCAAACTCTCCGAGAAGCTAGCCCTTTTCCGGAACAAGTGCGGAGAAAAGTGGGTCCTACATCACATGTGAGGGAACTATCATTGCACGGAGTTTAGGAGGACGACATGTCTCTCTGAACTTCTTCCATTCGTTTGCGGGGCTGCTAGTGATCTTACGCTTTGAGAATTGCGAGATCGTGCTTTTTCGTACTGCAATTGCGGGCGATGAAGAGCGAGTCTACAAACACTCTTTGAGTTGAAGACGAAGACGCGTCGATCTCAGCATGTATCTTTGCCGAGCTCTTGGAGCGACGGGGAGCAGTCCGGACTGGACAGTCGACGAGGTATATCAATGCGAAGTTCCCAGCTACAGGATGAAACCCGCCGGCTCTAGCTGTTCGTGGACTACTTCGTAGATGAACTGACATAGTGAAGATTCTTCTCATTGTCGTCAGTTTAGCTCTTACTTGGCTCTATTGTCTGACACACTTCTTTGGAGAACTTCAAACGCTTGCCATAGTACCCATCGAGAGTACGCCGGCTTGTTTAATCGGAGGAGTCGATTTCGGTCGTAGGCTTCAACCAATCGTGAGATCGAATCGAGCGGGACGTTTGCGCAATTCGGATTGCTTCAACCGTGGTTCCATACTTGCACCCTTTTTATTGCCAATGCTTTTCTTTTCTAGGTCAATATGGAGGCAGAAAGCAGTTCTGACGACTAGTCAGACATAATCATGTATATCGGGGCCTACAGCAGAGCAGAATGGAGCCTCATGGTCAGACGCGACGTGTCTGGTTCGTGTCAACTCATACATAACCGCTTCATCCATGCTCACCATGGATGGAAAGAATCGTTAAAGCAGAGCGCAGTGCTAGTGTTCTTCCATGGTTACGAGCAGCYAATTCGTAGGTACCTTGTGTAGGCTTTCAACCAAGAAACGAAGAGTCAAGAGTCAGAAGGGCGCGGATCTGATGTCGCATGTGAGATGAGGTTGCTTCTCCCATGGGCCATCCTGATGTGATAATGATTGTCGCCGGGAGTGGAAGGTCCGGATGCCGAAGACGATGAAAGATGGCGATGATGTCCAGATCCGGGGCAACTCTAGCCGGGGTTGGATGCGCTTGTTCGAGGTGGGGCTCACCTTTTGCGCTGACGACGACGATCATTGCATTACCTTACCTTACAGTACCTCTATCGATTGATTGTCMTTTTCTTCCATTCCACCTTGCGCCTGGACGGCAGCGCGTACCTTGATTCATGGCGGGAAGCTATCTTCCATCCACCTCGTGCACATAGATCCCGCCTTGTCATGCACTGAGCGCATTCTGTTGCGAGCGAGAGCTTCGACCTGAATACCCAGCAATACGATACCTACATCACCTACACTACATCAATGGCCGGCAATCCATTCCGCCGCTCCATGGTGGTGGGCCATTCTGCAGATGCCGCACCGCCATCGACCTTGTCCACCACCGCCGATGCGCCCAGTAAGCAGCGAACCACGACTTGACTTGACTTGGCGCCGGCGGGGTGAAACTGATTGATTGACTCGGCGCAGCGACAAAGACGAAGCGAGTCAGGATCGAGAGTCCACCGCACCCGACGCAGTGGCACGGAGGACGGCGATTGTCGGCCTCGGACTCGGCAACGCGTGCGCCGTCCCCTCCTCCTCCACCACACCAAACCGACGTCGGCGACGACAACAACAACGAGGTGGCCGGATCAGATTCTTACACGTCTGCAGACTCGGGTCTGGATCGGGCATCTCTGAATGCAAGGAGGAATTCGGGATCACTTCCCCCTCCTCTGGCCATGGGGAGCGGGATGAAGGCACCTTACAATCCCTTTGCTAGGACATTGGCAACGAGCGAAGCAAGTTTCGGCTTGCAGCAGAATAATGACCCGGCAAATGGGCAAAGACAGAGGCCCGCGATGGATGTGGATGCGTTCAAGAACATTCTCTTGACTGGAAGTGCGATAATCAAGGAATCCACCACATCGAGCCTGGACGGAGGACCTTCTTCGGCCGTCAGAAGACCAAATGACAGCATCAGCAGTGCGGGAACGTCCTGCATATTCGAACACGCCTACACACTACATCCAGAGTCTCCACGCGTGGATCATTACGACTTTCCCTCGGACTCCGRTGAGGATGCGGAAGACGACACCCATAATGAGAATGAAAGGACAAACTTGATGGGCCAGGGCAGGCTGGACGATTTAGCACCACCAGCGCCGCCCAAACCCAAATCTACGCGAGGGCCACAGACTGTATCATTCGCCGACTTTGACCAGTCAATACCGCCCGACTTCCAGGCTCCGGGAGGAAGGGGAACTCCTCCATTGAATAACCAGCATAGAGGTATTCTAAGACCAGCAATACAGAGGTCCAGCAGCGATCTTAATAAGCCACTACCACCGCCTCCGGAACGTCAGTCATCAGACATGTCGCTGCCGCCGACGGTGCCCGATAAGGACCTCCCAAAGCCGCAAGAGCAGACGGAATCAACGCCAATCCTTGATGGCGAACAGTCAACCCCGAAAAAAGTTCCGCCTCCTCCACCCGTATCCAGACGGCAAGCTGCTACGCTTGGTCGACCGAGGAGCGCCTCGAATTTGAGTGTGCAAGAATCCATTGATGATATTCCCGAACCCAAAAGCTCCACCAACGCACCGCCCCAGGTCAAAGTCGAGGAGCCTCCGAGCAGTAAGCAGTCTCAGCCACCTCCGCCGCCTCCAGCGCGGAAAGTGAATTCGGTCGCTCCCTCACCAGCATTAGCAGACGCGCCCTCTCAAGCACCTGTAGACACGAAACCTCTTGTTCCACCTCCGCCGCCCCGACGGCATCCCTCCACATCTGGATCGATAAGGACAGCAAGTCCAGCAAACAGTCTGAGAAGAGATACATCAACTTCGCTTCCTTCAGGAGGAAACGTGCCGCCACCTCCACCACCAAGGCGAGCCGCGGGCGGCGGAAGTTCCAGCCAGCGAAGTAGTATAGATGGCCGACCGAGCTCATTGAGAAAGTTCAGCGGGGTGGAGAGTCAGCGTCGAGCCAGCAAACAGAGTCTTGAGAGTACTTCTCCACCTTCAGCTGAGTCTGCAAAGCCAGACGTATTGGCAGACATGGCCGCCTTTCAGGCCGAGCTCGATGCTCTGAGGTTGCAGGCTGGAGCTAGCAAGTGAGGTTTGAATAGATGATGTGATGAATCTGAATGCATAATGCTGCATTGCTATGACCGGCTTCAGTGTGTGAAGTACTATTTGGCATCGATGGCGCCCGGGGCGACTCCCATCACTGTGCCACTCTAGCGCATGACAGATAGGTGTGGTTGCCCACGTGGTTGGATAGAGGCAAGTTCGAAGGCTTTGGAAAATTCCATATTGCTGTGATTCCATACTCCAAACCCTCAACTTCACGACAGCATTCGTCTACCGATTCAAGAAGAGAACTTTGGATGCCGAATGCACACGYATTCTCGGTCATCACTCAACCGAAGAAGCGTGCATTGCAGATCCACCCATCTTTTAGGCAATCCCAACTTCTCCTCACCGTTCATCCCCCACATCTCGCGTACTTGGACCGCATCAGCCATCTTCGTCATGCTGTGCAGACCTACACCAAAGAGCCCCATCCCATCCAATTCTACATCCTCCTTTCCCGAATTCTTTCCCTCACACATGATATGATCAATGACAAGAGGATCCACCATGCCCGATGAAAAAGATCCGGGAGAGTACGAGATGGAGATCGAGGAGGCGGATCTCGTTGAAAATGTCGTTCTGAAGAAACGTGTTCTTAGAAAGATTGATCTGCGATTATTACCCATTCTTGGAGCACTCTATTGCATCGCGCTCATAGACCGAACCAACATTTCTGTGGCGCGGATATCTGGATTGGATGAGGATTTGGAGTTGAAGGTTGGGGATCGAGCTTCGGTTGCTTTGCTTGTAAGTCACTCAATAGGACAGGACTGGTGAAAGGTGGGCCGTCTAATTGAGTTATGGTACAGGTGTTTTTCATCGGATATGTTTTGTTTGAGATTCCGAGTAATATTCTGATTCGAAGAATTGGACCTGCTGTGTTGTTGTCGAGTATTGCGCTGGCTTGGGGCGCTGTGAGTTTGGGGTTGGGGTTTATTGATACGTGGGAGCAGTTGGCTGTTTTGAGAGCTATCTTGGGGATTCTGGAGGCGGTGAGCTTTATTACCTTCCATTATCAGGTACTCGTCTTGGATGTCTCGTTGGAATCTCACGGATGGAGCAGTCGAGAGACCTTCAGAGGAGCAAGGCGTCTGCACCTTGGACTGGGGTTCCAAACCATGCCGAAGAATCCTTCAAATAATCACATGCTTCATTCCTGCTAACTATCCGCATTCGCATAGGGCTACTACCCCGGATGCATCTACCTCATCGCCTCATGGTACCAGCGCTACGAGCTTCAGAAACGCATCTCAGCGTTCTTCCTCACAGCGACCGCAATCTCCGGCTTCGCCAACATCTTCGCTCTCGGTCTCGTCCAGCTCGAACGAGTTACAACTTATAAGGGCTGGCGATGGATCTACATCATCGAAGGCGCAATCACCATGGTAGTCGCCATTCTCGCCTTCTTCATCATCGTAGACTTTCCCACTTCGAAGAAGAACAAATTTCTGACCGATGAAGAGAAGAGATTCGTCGTTGCGCGATTGGCTCAAGATCGTGGTGCTGGAGACGATAAGGCAAAGGTCACTTGGTCGGTTATCCTGCATACTTTTCTTGATTGGAAGATTTGGTCGTTTTCTATGATGTACTTTGCTGGCGCCGGGTATGTTCATCTCACATCTCTTAGATTGTTTTATCTGTGCTAATGATGATGATGATCAGCGGCGTGTATGCATTCGCGCTGTTCCTACCCATCATTCTACGCAATAGTCTGGACTTCTCCCTGGAGCTCTCTTTCGTGCTGTCTGCATTCCCGCCCGTTTTTGCGATTTTGGTCGTTATGCCGATATCGTGGTTGKCGGATAAATACCATCAACGCRGGATTCCTACCATCTTCCAGGGCGTGTTGGGTGTGATTGGGCTTTGCATGACGGGTTTCTTGGATGATCCTATTCCCAGGTACATCGGTATGTTCGTTCAGCTCGACTGGCTGGTATCAACAACTCGCATTGGATGCTAAACACTTTCAGGAACCTTCTTGGGATACGCCGGAGCCATTGGACTTGTCGTGACTTCCATGTCATGGATGGCAAACAATCTCCGTGGCGATGGGAAGCGGGCCATTGCAACTGCTATTATGATCAGTATCAGTGGAATTGGAGGTATCTACTCGAGCTTGGTGTTTCGGCAGCAGGTAAAGTGCTCTCTACAATATATTCACAGGATCTGACCTCCGGCTAACGATGCTTCTTGTAGGATGCCCCTGATTACGTTCCCGGAGTCATAGCCATCATGGCTGCCAATATTCTGGCTATTGCATTGGCGATCATCACAACTTTGATTTTGAGACGACAGAATAGCTTGGCGGAGCAGGGAAAGACGGTTCTGGAGGGGCTTGCTGAGTTTAGATATACCCCATGACCAAGGCCCGGTGGAAACTCAGGGCTGCTGCTCTCCCTGCAGCGATTTCAAAGATGTCGTGTTTTCTGCGACAATGGCAGCCCGGCTAAGATGACTCTGTGCAGCAGGACACTTGATAGTGTATAGCTTTGTAGACTACACCTCGTGTACATGCCTTGGCTACGGGTTCCGAATGACATGGCGATCCTTTACAGGTTGTAGCATAGTAACCTCGTCTCCATCTTCCGAGTTTGTCCAGCTTCGAGAGCGTCGTGCTGGACAGGACTGCTGATCTGCTATGCTGGCCATAACGGTAAACCGATAAAAATGTCCGAGTTCAGTGTATAAGATGTGGAGGGTGTAGTGATGTTCATTTCAGACTTCWCTTCATCGAGCCCAGCAAAGCGGTCTCCAGGCGCTGGTTCGGCCGCTAATGCAGGGTACCCGCTTCCGCCGCTTCCCCTAACGCGCTGGTGCGTTGTTGGTTTCGCGATCGCTGACGCGACGTTTTCGAGGGCAAGTGTTCTCTCCTCCATCAACGGAGAACACGACACGACATGATATGACACGATGAATGCCACATTTGCCAACCTCCAGCGCGAGCTGCCCTCGTCGGCGCTCGCCTTCATTGACAACGCCGTCTCGTCCTTTCACAAGATTCCCGGCTCCGCCATCTTCTTGCGCTACATCCGCTCCTCTTACCAAAACGATCCCGTGCGCAGCGCCGTCGAGCTATTCCTCGTCATCTTCGCCGTGCGCTWCTTGCTGGCGCCATCATACAGCACCAAGAAGACGAAGAATGTGCCGTTGACGGAAGATGAGATCGACGAACTGGTGGAGGACTGGACACCCGAGCCTCTGGYCAGCGAGGAGACAGACTTTGAGCGATTGGAAAATGAGAAACGGCCGGTGATTGTTGGTCCCGCGGGTCCCAAGACGAAGCTGCAGAATGGCCGCACAGTCACCAACCTCGCATCCTACAACCACTACAACTTTGCCGCGAATGCGGAGCTCACAGCCAAGGCCATCAACACCGTTCGCACATATGGCGTCGGTCCCTGTTCTCCCCCCGGATTCTACGGCACTCAAGACGTACACATGAAGAGCGAGGCGGATATTGCGGCCCATCTGGGTGTGGCAGCGTGCATCATCTATGCACAATCCTTCTCCACCATCAGCTCCGTCATCCCAGCCTTTAGCAAGCGTGGCGACATCATCGTGGCCGACAAGGCCGTCAACTATCCCATCCGTAAAGGTCTTCAAATCTCACGAAGTACAGTACGCTGGTTCGAGCACAACGACATGGAGGATTTGGAACGCGTACTGGCAAAGGTGGTCAAGGAGGGTCAAGGCAAGCAGTTGACTAGGAGATTCATCGTGACTGAGGGGCTTTTCGAAAATGTGGGAGACGTTGTGAATCTACCCAAGCTGATTGAGTTGAAGATGAAGTACAAGTTTCGTCTGATCCTCGATGAGACATGGTCATATGGTGTATTGGGACGCTCTGGAAAGGGAGTTACTGAGCATCAAAATGTCGATCCTACTCACATCGACATGATCATTGGTGGACTCGCTGGATGTTTGTCCTCGGGAGGCGGTTTCTGCGCTGGTACGTCAGAAATCGTCGAGCACCAGCGTCTGTCGGCATCGGCGTATACCTTCTCTGCTGCTCTCCCCGCGCTTTTGGCCACGACTGCCTCCGAAACTGTCACGATCCTTCAAGAGGAGCCTGCCATCATTCAAACACTGCGGGAAAACATCAAAGTCATGAGAACACAACTAGATCCGAGAAGCGACTGGATTCGTTGTTCCAGCGCGCCTGAGAACCCGATTATGCTGCTCGTGTTGAAGGACCAAGTCTTGAAAGACAGAGGTTTCACGCGGGCTGAGCAGGAGRGCGTTCTGCAGGATTGTGTTGACGAGGTGAGTATCCAGGTGTCGTGTTGTACATCTATTGCACTGTACTGATATTGCTCGCAGTGTCTAACCAACTCGGTGATGATCACTCGTCTTAAGTGTCCTCCCCTCGCTCTCGGCTCTACACCTCGAGACATCGAGGTCGAGTGGCAACCGAGACCTGCTTTGAAGGTTTGCGTTACAACAGGTCTGTCGAAGAAGGAGACAGAAAAGGCCGGAATCGTCATCCGGCATGCGATTACAACTGTGCTAAAGTCGAAGAAGTGGCAGCGTAGCCTTTGAGGGATTGGACAGGTAATAGTAATAGTGCACAGGCATCACCAGCATGGCATGGACAGGCAGGGATTTGTACAAGAACTACTCGATTCGAATGTTACCAGCGCATCGGCAATTGGTCCCTCGACACGTGCCCTAGGTTCCTCCGCATTGCCCCGATCTGACCGGCCCGCCGATATCGCCGTGCCGGGGCTTATCAGCACAGCAAGCAGGGATGGTCTGCAGTGCAACAATCTTTACTTGATACATTGATACACGTTGTGTCTATCAAATGGCGATCACGAAAGATACGCGCCGCCCTCGTATCTGCCGGCGGCGAAAAAGATAAGGTTGGTGTGTAGGAATTTCTTTAGACGCGCGGTTTCCTGTTGTTTGTCACCTTGAAGATTTCTATGCCTGCTGGAATCTGGACTTCGAGACGACGACATGCCGGATAAATCGCCCTCTATCATCGAGGCGGCCAAGACTGACATCGAGGATGGGAAGGGAGTTCTAGAGCGGACGAGGTCCATTACTTCTGACGGGAAAGGAAATACGATCGTTACCGACGAGGATGGGGAGACTTTCGTCATTGATCAAAAGGCCGAAAGAGCTTTGTTGTGGCAATTCGATCTCAGGATATTACCATTGCTGTGAGTCTTCAAGAGGCTGCTTGTATGAGGATTGTTCAAATTGACAGGAGAATGTAGAACGATGATGTACCTCTTCAACTCCCTGGACAAGGCCAATTTGGGCAATGCGAAGACCGCCGGACTTGAGAAGGACTTGGGATTTGCTGGGACAAACAAATGGTAAGATCATTGGAGAGGCCGTGTGTTGGAGACAAATTGCTGACGATTTATGATCTAGTGAGCAACACTATCGGTGAACTCAACCAGTAGCTAACATGCCCAGACAACATCCTCCTATCGATCTTCTTCGTTCCCTACGTCCTTACCGCGCCGTWCCTCGGTATCCTTGGAAAGATCTACGGGCCTTCCYGCGTACTCCCTTTGATGATGGCAACATTTGGAAGCATGACATTGCTCGTTGTCGCGGCTTATAATTGGGCTGGTCTCGTTGCTCTACGATGGTTTCTAGGAATGGCCGAGAGCGCCTTCTTCCCGCTGGTAATCTACTACCAGACGCAATTCTACCGTCGAGGAGAACTCGCCAGGCGGCTGGCAATCTTTTATGCTGCTTCCAATATAGCAGGAGCTTTTGGAGGCTTGCTCGCGTATGGCACATTCCAGCTGGAAGGCGGTACATTACCGAGATGGAAGTATGTTTATAAAGCCCTTGTTGTACTCGATAGAGCTAGAGCATGCTAATATGATGCTGCAGATACCTCTTTGCCATTGAAGGCGGTCTCACAATCTGTGGAGCCATCATTGCATGGATTTTCCTTCCACGATCAGCTGCCAAAGCTCGATTTTTGACTGAGGATCAGAAGAAGCTCGCATTCTACCGAAYCCAAGTGGATAGCTCAGCAGTGGTTGAAGAAAAGTTCAATCTAAGAGAGGCAGTCAAGATCCTGAAGCATCCGACTTCGTGGGTGATCTTGTTGATTCAGATATGTTTGGGAATTCCATTGCAGTCGGTTTCGCTGTTTCTGCCTCAGATTGTGGGGAGACTGGGATACTCTACAATCAAGACGAATCTTTACACTGTGTGAGTGGTGTTTGAAAGGAAACACGAATACAACGCTGATTAGCATGTTCTAGCGCTCCGAACTGCACCGGTGCAGTGATGCTACTCATCCTGGCATATGCAAGCGATTACACGCGCTGGCGCTTCCCTTTCATCGCTCTGGGATTCTTCTTCACCTTCTGCGGCTTCGTCATCTACGCATCCATCGACGTCGAGAACTCATTGCGAGTTGCATACTTTGCTTGTTTCATGATGGTAATGAAAATCGCAGACTTTTCCAGCTCTCTTACACACAGCTARCAGCAATCATAGACATGGGGAACCTCAGCACCTAGTGTCATCCTCGACGTCTGGTACAACAACAACATCGCGGATGAGAATCGTCGGTTATTCCTTACATCTATTGGTGTTCCAGCCGCCAATATGATGGGAGTTGTTAGCAGTAATATCTTCCGCACACAGGACGCTCCGAATTATATTCCTGCTCTTGCGACGACTGCGGCTTTTGGTGGAATGGGCATCTGCTTGACGTTGCTGCTGGGAGGTTGGATGATTATGGATAATAAACGACGGGATCGTAAAGAAGGGAGGAGGATGAGAGCTATTGATATACCGACTGAGAGAATGAAGGATGGTCCTGCCTCGCCGGAGTTTAGGTGGTTTTATTAGATAGATACCCAACGAATCAGTGCTCTCGATATGGGACACCGTCAACCAAAATAGCGTCTTGAACTGCTCTCTCGATTGRTTAACTGGCCACTCTGCTAGTAGTAACGGTTCCAACGAGCTTGTCGACTCTGCGGAGAGTGAGGTCCTCACATACTATAGGTATCACCGAGCATGTCGAATTCCGATGAATAGCCCCCCCATATCGATAGCTCCACAACAACTCAATTCGCAACTCCCGACACTTCTCTCAAGGCTTGGCTGGTATAACTGGAAGTGTAACATAGCTCTGGTGCCCATCACCAAAGTGCAAATTATTCAGTCCAGCGAAGACTTTCTCAGACCTACAAATGTCAGCACATCAAAGTGTATGTATACTAAGCAAGCACTGAAACATACCTATCCTCAGACGAATTGTGTTGAAAGATCCCAGAGCCCTGTGTATCGCCACTGGAAACCTCAAAGACAATTCTACCACCTTTATCAACCACTACATTAGTAGGCCAAAGCTCCACATCAACAGCATAGATGGTGTTAGGTTTGACCTCTTKGACATCTGTACTGCGATATTCGCGATGAGGTAGCCATTCGTGGTTTTGAGGGTGATTTTCCTCGACTTTGCGAAGGCTGGCTCGTAACCAGCCTTTGGTGAGAGGTACTGCGTCGCCGGCTGTTCCGGTGTAAAAGACTTCGGTTCCTTGAGGAGAGATGTGTCGCAGAGTGACAAAGATGTCGATGTCTGATGGAGGCGGTTGGTTGGGGGTAGCACTGGAGGCGGAAATTGCTAGTCGAGCTACGATGTGGCCGGTGATTTCTGTTTCTTCTTCGAACGCTGGGGTGGTGAAYTGGACTGATTGCGGTGATTCGAGCGTTCCCAAAGCTTTGTATGAGACCGTCTTCTTCTGCTCTGTAATCTCAGGAGGGCTCGTAGATAGGCTCTGGTCGGGTTGAAGATAGAAGCGGGTGTACTGTGTTCGTGCAATGGGCCACTCGTTCTCGCTACGTCTGGGGTAGATTTTCTCGGCCGCAGCATCGTTGAATCCGACATCGCCTTTTCGAAGAACGACATCAACAGGAGGAAGCTTGCCCTTGATCGACCAACCTTGGCGGTCATCGTCTTTCAAAAAAGCATCCAAGAAGCTACGCTGGATCTCTACCTCTTCTTCATAGTAGAATGGGAGATCGTGCCGGCCAGTGATGAATCGAAGGTATTTCAGCTCACTGCCCGCATTCAGATATCCCTGTACATTCCCACGCAAATGAAGGAGAATTCCACCCCAGTTCGCCACGGAGAGGAGAGGGACTTTCACATCTGACAAGTTGAACTCCTTACTGGCATAATAGTCCTCATCCCGGAACTTGAACTGCTCATTATCAACAGTCTGATCCTGTCGATTCCTCTCCCGCTCCTCTTCGCTCAAGTCGCCTTCGATAGTGTCGATTCCCCATTTTGCTGCTGCGCGACCCGGACGGCCGTATTGGTTCGTGACGACCTGACGATTCCACCAGAAGGAGATGAAAGCATTGCTGAGAATTCCACCATGTCGGCATCGATCACGGTAGTAATCACTCATGCCCTCCCAAGGAATCATGCAAGCCAGACCTTTTGGTTGACGAGCCGCAACACGCCATTGAGTTCCGGCATAGTAGGAGATCCCAAGAAGGCCGACCTTGCCGGAAGACCATGATTGCTCGGCACACCATTCCACGACTTCGAAAAAGGCTTCCGATGTTCCTTTGGACATGGTGTCTAGTTTGCCGGGACTCTGGCCAGTACCTCTCTCGTCCGCTCGAACTACTGCATAGCCGTTTTTGGTCCAGAAGCCTGGATCGGGAGTCTCCCAGGCGGAATGATCGGATTTTTGCTGGGGATTGACCTCGGAGAATGATTTGGGATGAAAGCTGGAGACTATCAGTAATTGGCGGAAGGGTTTCAGTCAGGATTCCCAACTCTTTGTAGTGAATATCTTTCCCATATGGACCATAAGTTACCAGGACTGGCACTTTCTCATCGGTCTTTGGACGGTACACGTTGACACGAACACATCCTTCAGAGCTCTTGAGCGGTACCGATGCATTTTGCTCGAAGATGTAAGGAAACGACTCTTGGTCGACTGTGTGAAGATCACGAAGTTGATTAGGCATTTTGATGTTCAGAAGCGACAGCAGGTAAGTTACTCAAAGGAGAAATTATGACATCTGTACCACCTTGAGATCTCATGCATTGGCTTACCCGTTAGTGTATATGGCAACTGCTGCACYCCACCCCCGTTAACAATTTTCCGCTGCGGATGCGGATGTGGACGTTGACGTTGAGACTCTTTCCCCACCTCCACCGGAAGCGCACAGTCAGCAATACCTTATGGAGCCCCTTTAAATCATGCATGCTGAATCATCCCGCCCCACACCAGCAGTCCACCCGCGCCGCCTCCGGGAAAGTCTCCCCACTCCCACTCCTAACTACAATGATGAATCGAGTCCATCATGCATACTGTAGTTCCGGAGAGTCCACAAATATGGTGGGTCTTATGATTTTTTTCTTAAGAGGTGTGGGTGGTCACGATGGCAGGCAAACGAACGCAAAGCATACGCGAGCGTCTCTTGCCAACAACGTCGACATCCTACTCACCTAACTAGACAATCATGGGAATGTCACACAGCAGTACGKCCTCCAATGGCGGAGAAGCCCCTGCTGCTGCTGCTCCTCTACGCATCCTCATAGCTGGTGCCGGAATCGGCGGACTGACTACAGCGATTGCCTTAAGGCGACAAGGACACATTGTCGACATTCTGGAGCAATCCAAGCTTGCTCAGGAGACTGGCGCGGCTATGAACCTCGCTCCCAACTGTACAGGTCTTTTGGGAGATCTCGGTATTGACCTGGCGAAAATCGGCGCGGTCGACTGCATTGGACATCAGACTCTCACCGCCAGCGGACATCGAATGTTCAAAGCCGACTTTTCTGGTCATGTTCACAAGAGTCGCTACTGTCTGGCCCATCGAGCCCAATTCCATACCGCTTTGAAGGAGCTGGCTTTATCCGAGGAAGGAGAAGGCCCGCCTGCACGTCTACATCTCTCTAGTCGTGTCAAGATGGCTGATCCGGAGTTCGCACGAATCACTCTCGAAGATGGGACCGTCTTGGAGGGCGATGTGTTGATAGGGGCSGATGGCGTTCACTCTCAACTTCGCAAGAATATCGCTGGGGGAGACTTGTTGCCCTTTGACTCCGGGAAAAGCGCCTATCGATTTCTTGTCCCCACCGAGGTATTGGCGTCTGATCCATTGGTATCTCAAGAGACTTTGCAGTCGGGACTTATGACCATGTGGATTGACGATGACAGACGTATCATCATGTATCCATGTGATGATGGCACTTCTTTGAATCTTGTGGCGATTCATCCAAGTCGGGAGTCTGCGAGAGATGTGGCTGGTGATGGTGAGCAATCGATTGAATTGATGAATACCTCTTGGCCCTCACTGACCCGTCCCAGGTTGGCTTGAAAACGGTAGCAAAACGAAGATGCTGGAGATCTTCAAAGACTTCGCGCCCTCTGCACAAGCGATCCTGGAGAAAGCAGACGATACGAAGCTCAAAGCATGGAATCTGCTGGACATGAAGCGAATGCCTAACTTTGTCAACCAGCGACTTGCCGTCATTGGTGATGCTGCCCATCCCTTTCTGCCTTACCAGGGACAGGGTGGTGGTCAAGCTATCGAGGATGCAGTATCATTAGCAGCTGTGCTCCCACGAGGAACCCCAAGCTCCGCGGTTTCGGAGCGATTGCAGATCTACGAGCAGTGTCGATATGAACGTGTTCATACAATCCAAGACTTCACTCGATTGGTTGGTAGAGATGCTTCCGAACTAGCTGCTGAGGGCAAAAAGCTAGACTGTAAGTTCATCCCGCAACATCCATCTATCAGAAGTAGCTAACCAACATGGTCTTTCTAGTTACCGAGTTTCAGGCATACAGCTTCGACCACGACGAGCATGAGCATTCTTCATCAGCTTTGAAGAAACATCTGGCAGCAAAGCTCTAGCAATAAAGACTGAAAGTAGCGATATAGCATAGCATAGCAATGGATATACACATTTCACAACGACTCAATGAACGCTTCCCACAGTCCTCCCTTTCTTCCAGGAACCGATCGTAAACTGACTGTTACCTGTGCAAGAAACATCATCAGCGATAGGAATAGAAAGAAAATTCGGAACATACTCACACATATTCGTCAACTCCCAAGTCTCAGCCTCCAACCTCCCCTTCTCTTCCCCCTCATCCTCCCAATCCCCAGCAGCTCCCGCAACAAAACACGCAGCCATAAAATGATCATCCGTAGCATGAGCATCCCGATACATCGGATGCTTCATCAACCTCGTAATAGCTCGACGTAAAGCCGGTCCCCKGTTATTACTGAAGCAATCTTCAACACTCTGCCGGAATTCCAACGCCCAACTTTCCGGAGGCGTCTCCTGTGCGAAATTGTCCCGGTACTTGAGCATAGGAGCCCACTTATTTCGGAAAAGATTGTGAACAGCACCTCCCGTTCCGATGATGAGATAGCCTTCTTTACGAAGTGGACGCAGGGCACTGCCGACTCGGAGGTGGAAATGCGGGTCAAAGCGAGCGTTCATGGAGATTATAGTCGTTGGTGGACATTTCTTAGGAAACATTCTGATGAGAATGAGATAGGTGTCGTGGATCCATTCGAATTTATCATTGGGTTTGACGTTGAATTTTTCGGATTGCAGAAGTTCCATGCAGCGTTTACCGGTTGGGAGGTCGGGCTCTAATTTGTAGTCGGCGTATTTGGATGGGTGGACGTATGCTACGGGGGACTTTCCAGGGGTTGGGTTCATGGCTACTTCTAGCTTATCTCCAAGGGCGTCCCAGTGAGCTCCCTAGTAAGTAAGGTATCGTCAGGAGACAGAAAGAAAGTCTTGGCGGGAGATTGGATTGAAAAAAAGACTTACCATCATGATGACTCCTTTGATGTTTTGTTCGAGAGCTTCGTCGCCGCATTTCTTCCAGTAGGTGGCTGAATCGGATTCCTCACCTAGCATCATTGTCGAGCCATGAGAGAAGAAATGTACTGGTGTGAGACCTGCTTTTTGTTAGTCAGTTTCAGGGGGGTTGGAATGGATGGGCTTTTCCTGCACGTACTCATGATGGATTGCGAGCACTGCTTGAGAGTTGCTGATTTACGTCGTGAAGCGATCCAATATAGTCTGAAGTATATACCATGTTGGAATAAACCTTCAGAACCATGTCTAGTCTCGCCCAAATCATACAACCCTGCCTTCCGGTGGCGGACGACCCCTCGGGACCACTAGACTCAGCCTCTGGTGTGCTCTTTCGCTGTAGTGGAAGAGCAGGGCCAAGTTTAGGAAAAAGAYGAGTACGTGTGAGGTCTCAATGTATCGACTATCTGATGGTATCTCCGCATCTAAGATTGACAATAACTACATACGCCTCAAATTGGTCTCGACCATCTCCACAGCCAAAGCATCCCCGTTGCAGAAGCAGTAAGTGTAGTCAGCACAATAATCCCAGCACTGATCAAGAAGCCTTGCTCGAAGAACCCAACTCCACCGCCAGGATTCCGCTTGAACTCCGCCAAAGGCATAGCTGCATCATTTAGCAACTGCTGAGAAGATACGCCACCATCCGCACTCAAGATGTCTGCAAGGCGTTTTGAGGCGTCTGAACAATGAACATAAGCGGGCCTAGGCGCACTGAAGAGGTCGACGGGATATCTGACTGAAGGCTGGAAAGTATGTCCAGAAGGCGCTGCTGGGCCGACGAGAATCTCTCGCGGCACATGGTTGACGAATGAAACTTCGGCATCGATGAACTGGCTGAGATATTTTCCCATGGCTAGACTTCCGAAGTGATAGGCGGCGAGATGTGGTATGTTGGAACTGGATTCATTTGCGAGATCAATGGCATCATCAGCGGATTTGATCCCGTGTACTCTGAGGATTGAATGATGAATCTTGCCGTCGACTGCCGCCGCTCTCGAGGAAATGTCGACGACTGCAAAGTTGGCCTCTTGAACGATCGTCCGTATGCTGCTGTCAACTTTACGCAAGTTTGAAAGTTTGTCGTCGATGCCAGAGCCGGTATTGGCTTTGTTGCTTTTACTGGCAAGCTGGTCGCATTGCGATTTGACTGCTTGGAGGAATTCCTGCTTGACAAACTCATTGACGAGCACATAGTCTGGAGCATACGGACTGTGGCCTTCGAAGGCGAATCTAGCGGATACTAGTTCTCGTGCAGCAAGGTGTACATCCGCAGTACGATCGACCACAGCCACGGTAAGTGCGGTTGGATAAGAGGTCAGTTGGTTGCTTTGTGATGAGCCCGGGGCACCATTTTGAAATACGCAAAGTGCTTTGCTTAATAGTAGAGAGTCCGTGATTGGTGAGGATGCAACAGCAAACGTGTCTGCGTCGAGAGCGGCCTGCAGGATCCTTCGCAGAAGACTTGTGACTGCCCTGAGGTTGTTTTCGAGCTATGAGGGTGATCAGTACCTTAGGTTTCAGGGGAGTTTGTGAGACATATTACCAGTATAATCACACAATTCCCAGCAGCAAAAGCTGTACTCAACGGGACCAAACTCGAATAGAACAGATTGTATTGAGTGGGTTCAATATAAACAATTCCCACAGGCTTCTTGGCCATTGAAGCATCCTTATTGTTGGCAATGAGGTACTCATCCTCATGAAAGTCCTTTGGCTTGAGATCCGAGTAGACGCGTTTGATCTCATTTAGTGTGAGATGATACTCCGTCGCTATCTCTGCTGCAGAATAGTCATAATCTGTTGAGATGGCGGTTTTGATTTCCTGGACGTTGTCGATTAAGGCTTTGCAGAGCTTCTCGAGCTGAACTTGTCGATGGTAGACATTGTGCAGTCGACCGTCTGTAGATGCAGCCTGAATTCGTGGGAAAGAGGGGGCCATTTTTGTCTGAATCGCCAAAGGTTAGTTGAGTTGTGAGGTTTGAGTTGGACGAATACCATACCACMGGTGATTGTGCTATCGATCATCCAGGAGCGGACAACTCCACGCCGCTTGCATTTGAATCGATGAGAGCTCCCCTGTCGACTGCATGTGGACGGTACCCGGGCCCTCCGAGCCAGGGATGCGCGGAGTTTCGCGGCTTCGACGGAAATGTGGACACAAACACACCGGAAGTGTGGAGTGAACTGAGGCGTCCTAACAAACGACATGCTGACATTAACAACCATCGCAAAGTAGCAAGAGTACCAGCAAAGGACACATCATTGAACCATTCATCCTTCCCTTTTCTGCCAAGACTATGTCAGTGACTACAACAGACAATGCGCGTGTCAACGCCTTGCGCCACGTCCTCGCGGACTACGACTTGCATCATGACCAACCTTTGGACTCGGAGTCGAGAGGAGCACCAGAGCCAAATCCACAAGAAACTGCAATCACTTCGAACAACCCTCCTGGGTGGGAAACGCAATGGAGGAGAGTACCGGCTCATAGGCCAGTCGACCCTACTCTGCTCAATGGTGACAGGAATCAGGCCAGTAATGCCATTGAACGGAACTTCATTAGGGTGATGTTTTCAGGGGTTTATTTGCAAGCTGTAGGAGATCCCACATCTATATCGTGTAGACACTGCTAACCAAACGTAGACTGTAAGCTCATTGTGGCGAGCCACTGGTGGGAAATTGTCAGACAGGGTGTTCAGGATCAAGGTTGGAGGAGAGTGGTGATGTTTAGCGTTTAGGACGTGTCAATCTGCTCATTGTCATTCTGATACTCAGAGTTCTTTAGCTGGCTGTAGAGTGGCGACACATTCTCCAAATCCAACACCTTCGCCGCAGAATCCAGAAAGTGTGACCGTTTCACCGTCTTCTAGATAGCCGCGGGGAGGAGTTGCATCAAGTTTCATATACTCCATGAGACAGCCGTGCTCATCATCACCACCGCCACTGACTGTACCAGTCGCTAGCAAGTCGCCAGTCCTCAATCCGCAGCCTCCGATCGTTTGATGAGCGACACACTGAGCCAGACTCCAGTACATCCAAGAGCTGTTGCTACGACACAGTGTACGAGATTGATCACCTTGACTGCTTGACTTGACGTCGACTTGCAAGCTGATGCTCACGGCGGCATCTCCGCTCTCTTCCAGGTAGGGACTCACGCTTTGTGTCCGGGGCGGTGCAGACGCTTTGAACGGCGCGAGGGCATCTGGGGTTATCACCCAAGGAGACATGGTAGTTCCAGCATTCTTGCCGTTCAAGGGTCCCAGCGGCATCATCTCCAGGGCTTGAATATCTCGAGCACTCCAATCGTTGATCAACACATAGCCGAATATGTGCTTTTCGGCCTGACTTGCTAGCACACGTTCCCTGCGTGCTATAGGCTGGCCAATGATGCACCCGACTTCGAGCTCGTAGTCCATCTTCTCAGACGGGCCGAAGATGACTTCACTCTGCATGGGTTTGCCTTTCCAGTGAAGCCCAAGAGGACGCTCGACTGGTACTCCTGAGATGTCGATGCTCGAACAGCGTCCGGCATATCCGATGGGCATGTGAAAAAAGGCTGGTGGGGTTGATCGTTGTCCAGTCATCGCCTCGCTAGCATTTTGCACATGGTCATGGCTGCAAGAGAAGTCGGTGAAGTCTCCAACATTAACTGGCAGGTGCATTTCAACGTCCGAGATATGAGAAACTGCTGCGGGCGGGAGATTTTGCAAGGGTGTATCTTGGCGAATCACATGCTGGATGCGTTCGCGAACTCTTGTGTGAATATGCCGCGGAAGAGCTGCAAAGTCGTCCAAAGTCGAGCGATCCAAGATTCCTAGCGGAAGTTCTGGGATCTCATCGTATAACCCCGGCAACGCTTTCAAAAATATCACATTGTCCTGGTATCGCGTGACACACGATGGGACGATGTTGCTTTGGGAGGACGCAACTCCAAAGGGGATATTGTCAAGTCCAAAGTGAGAGCTGTAACCAAGGAGTGGCGAGGTCATGGTTACGGGTGGGTAAAACAGGTTGCCTTTGGTTGTCTTGGTCCTTGATTGAGCGTAGATGTATCTGGATCTGCTGTTTGTCAACCTTTGATTTGCATCGATCAATTGCAAGGCTTGTCCACATCATCCGAAGACCAGAAAGCCATTGCCGTTCGGGCCATTCGATAGCCGATTGTCCGGAATGAACGAGTTCATATATCGTTGTAGATAGCAGGTGACTCCCTATCATCTCTGTTTGCAAAGCATTGCCTCGATCAACTTGAATCACCATGGCGATACCCAACCATATGAAGCCACCGACCAGGATCATCACCACGCACAATTCCGAAGGCAAAGCCATCATTGCCACGGCCATACCAGAGCAACCAACCTCGCAAACGGTTTCCAACGGAGATGCTTGCTTCTATCTTTCATATGCAACAGATCAGTATCCCGTCGACATGAACGACGACAAGGACATTGCTGCGTATCAAAAGTACGCCGCCGACCCACCTGGCCTCGTCATTAAAACAGGTACGGTCTTGCGACATGTCGACATAGGCCCGGGCCTGGTGTCTCCCATGCATCGCACAGTATCTCTGGACTATGGGATCGTCATTGAAGGAGAGATTGAGCTAGTCCTCGACAGCGGCGAGAAACGGCGAATGGTTCCAGGAGACATCGCCATTCAGCGGGGAACTATGCACGCGTGGAGAAATTTGAGCGACACCAAGTGGGCCAGGATGTTGTATGTGCTTCAGCCAAGCGAGCCATTGAAGGTTGAGGGCGAGGTCTTGGGGGCTGATTATGGGGGCGATCCAAGCATAAATCGTGAATAGCGCCTCGTACCTAGTCGTGCTCAAGTTTGATGGATTTGAGGAGCTATTCTCGTGTCAGACGACAATGTGGTTGTTGCTTCCCAGTCCAATGCCAATAGAGCGGGAGAAGTGGTGTTGTTGTCGGCTTCTGGGAAACACACAGGACTTGCCTGTGAAGGTATGCGGCGAATACGTAGACTACCTAGAACGAGGCCCAATTTTTCCCTTGCGAACCCCCACTTCTCCGCCTTTGCTAGGTGCCGACCGTCAAACGCCGCGGTCCGCTTTGAATGGGTGAAGTCCTGCATCCTTCACAGCCTTCCGTCTCGTCCACTGCGCATTTTGGTGGAGGTCAACAGCATCCTGACGCATGCAGAGGAAGATTTCGAGGCTCCGCGAGAATCTGATGGTGGTGGTCGTGGCTACCTAGCATCCACCTATCCGACGACAATACCCTTACCCTACCTTACCTTACTTACCGAAGACGGCTCGAACCGGAAGCCGGGAGGGATGGAGACTAGTACCAAGTCGCCATCGCCTGCCAACAACAACAACATCAACAACAACATCAACAACAACATCAACAACAACAACATCAACAACAGCAATGCGCGACACAAATGCCATCTGTGCAGTAGATCGTACGAGAGACATGATCACCTCAACCGCCATCTCAAATCCCACGAGAATGATCGGCAGTACAAGTGTGTGCAATGTGGCAAAGGCTTCAACCGAGCCGACCTGCTCAATCGTCACCGCGCCGCCCATGCGAAGACATCTGCCGATGAGGCCTTTCGTAAGAGGACTCCACGGGCGTGCGAGCCATGTATCAAAGCCAAGACGCGCTGCGACGACGAGAGACCGTGCAAGCGATGCAAAACCCGGGATCTAAGCTGCCAGGAAACTGATGGCCGCAAGAACTCCATGCCAGAGTCTCCTGGGGCTAATCAAGCAGAGTGCTCGTCTCATCCTGGGCAGATGCCCCCTAGGCCAGTGCAACTAGATCATTTCAGCCCTCAAAATGACCTGATGGATGTGACCACATACCAATTCAATGGCGATGATGCTTTTGGTTCGAGTATCGCAGCACCAGACTTTGGCTTCCCGGATTTCTTTGAGCAAAYCATGATGCCTGATGTTGGCAACGTTGGCGATCACATTCCCTTCTCAATGCCTCCAAACGTAGCCGACTTCACAACGCAAGGTCAGTTGGTCTTTGATCATTMCGAGTGGAGTRGCTTCTTTGTAATCTCCGAAACTTGTGGTGCAGCGTGCTATCGCATCGGAGTTACAACTCAGCAAAGGACAGTCTCCATATTCTATGCTTCTCGTGGCGTTTGGGCACTGCGAGACTTTACAGCCTGGAGAAATCATGGCTGCTTCCTGAGACTGTAGCTCCGATGTGGAAGACGCTATAGACTATGAGCATCACCTGCAGTACGCTGACCCGTTCTCTTTAGACTGGCCCACCGATGCCCTCGACTTTGATTTCACCTTTTTAGCAAGTGGTCTGGAGAACCATCCACCTGACAACGGCCACAATGCGGTGAGCGARTCTGGTGTAACCGTTTCAACGCTACATTCCGATCCAGAAGCACGCTCTGCAATCTTCAAAAAGCGGCCTTGGTCTTGGATACCGCAGTGTAACCAAGGCGTTTGGGAAGGGCAAAGTGAAATTGATGTTCGGGAACATCGCGTCAATGCCTCGGATCAGCACGTCAGCCCCGGGATCAAACAATCAGTCCATTATAGTCTGGAGCAAGAAGCTCGAGATCGCATGATCCGAGTGGTGACCAAGGTCGCAGACTCCAGGCTTTCCATCGCTTCATTTCCCCCCCTCCAGCTCTTGGAAGATCTCGTCAACATATGCATGCTTCAGGATAGCATTTCAATCGGAAGCTACCTGCACGCGCCTTCGTTCAATAGCCGAGAAATGAGGACCGAGCTTTTGCTCGCCATGGTATCAAGAGGATCAAGATACGTAGCACTAGCGCCCGTCTGGAAGATGGGTCTGATCCTGCAGGAGGTTGCTCGTCTTGCACTTGCGCAAGTCTACGAAGAAGATAACAGCACCACACGCGAGCTACAAGCTGTTCAGGCTTACGCAATGTGGCTCGCAGTAGGCGTGTTTTCTGGTATTCACCGCAAAGTTGAGATTGCAATCTCCTTCTTACAACCGCTAGTCACGATGCTATTTGCCTCGAACGCTTTTGTGCGATCTCGATATCATGAGGTGGTGCCAGCTGCAGAAGATACGGACGAACAACTCACGACCAAATGGAAGGCTTGGGCTGCACAAGAGAGTTTGAAAAGGCTGGTGATACAAACCTTCATCTACGACTCCCAGGCAGCCTTCTATCATCTGGAACAAAACAGACTCATATCCCCCGCACAGATGATGCTACCGGTACCTGCATCTCGTGATGTATTTGAAGCACCGGATGCACATGCCTGGCGAGACGCGTTGCTCACCAAAAGCAACACGTCTTCGGTGACACTGCCATCGATGAAGGAGCTCTTTGCAAACCCGCCATCTCTCAACGGGCTGGGTGATGCGGTGGATCGGAATCTATGTCTGCTAGCATCATGTCATGCAATTGCGCACGAGGTATGGCACTTTCGACAACAGTCCCAGTCCTTGTCCGGCTGGCAGGCGCAGGGACGGCAGGATCGATGGCTGGGACACTTGAATCGGAAGAAGGATTTGCTCGATGATCTGGCCACGATCAGTGACTACTGCGAGCTGAATGATGCAACGCCAGTGGAAGTGCTGTTCACGACTGAATTTCTCACGATGATTCTGCACGTCTCTTTGGAAGACATCCTCCTATTCTCCGGCAAGTCCGGGGAGGAAGAGGCTAGGAGGGTCTTTCCACGCATCTGCGCTTGGAGCAAAGATGCGGAATCTAGAGCCGCCGTCTGGAGCGCAGGCCAGGTTCTGCGCTTAGCACGCACGTTCGAGATGACAAGACTCCGCGACTGGTATGCCATTGCAGTATATCAAAGCACTCTCACGCTCTGGGTATACGGGATTGTAAACTCTCACGCCGCACGGAAGAGCGGTATTCAGACTCCGGACGAAGCCACTCTGCTTCCTAGCGACCATCTCATCGGCGCCAGCACCCGAGTATTTCTAGACGACACGAATCCTAGGGCCGCAAAGTCCTTCAAGCTATTGGGCCAGGGTACTCCAGGATTGAAGTCCCTGATATCACCACACTCAACATCCGACAATAACTACGCATTCTGCTCGTTGCGTAATCACAAAGGGGTCATGAAAGTGGCCGAATACATACTCAAGCACAACTTTCCGGAGAGTCAAGATGGTCTGCCACCTCTCGTCGAGAACCTGGCCAAACTTATGAACGATCTAGGGAAGTTATCAGGGAGATAGATGATTGCATATCATCAGACATGATCTCTACCGATCGATCTTTCTAAAAGTAAGCCTTCTCATGCTGCTCAACGCCCTTTGCGCCAGCAAGCCAGCTTACACGGTCCTTGGTGAACTGTTCAATTCTCGGCTTCAACAACGTCTCATGCAGAGTAAAGTCATCGATGGTACCAATTCGCATGATGGACTTGCCCGGAAATCCGCTGCTCACGCGATACATCAAAGTACCGCACTTGGAGCAAAAGTAATTGGCCATGTTATTGCCACTTTCAATCGTCTTATCCTGGGAGAACTTGGTGAGTTTGTCCTGGCCACGGAGATGCGTGAGAGCAGAGTCGTTGACGATGAAATTTGATGCGAACATTGAGGCTGTGATCTTGCGGCCTATAGGGGGAAAGGGGAGGGATAGTTAGCAAATGTCTAGAATTTTGGGGTAGAAGTTTCTTGGACGTACAATCTGTGCAGTTGCAGAGGAAGGTGTCTACAAGGTCTTTGCCTTCAGTTGGCTGGGTGGTAGTAGATACCCATTAGTTACTTTACATATTCTTCTGGTCTTCATCTCCAGGAATTTATTTTACGCACGAATTCAAGCTGAATGGCACTGCAATAGCAGGATGCAGTAGCTCTTCCGTTGGCGGATTTGGCGCCTTTGGGGGGGAGGGGGATGTTTTGGGTCATTATTGTGGAAGAGGAAGAGGGCGGGAAGCTTGCAGAATGTCTTGAGTCGGGAGTCGATGTCGTCGTGGAGGATCGAATAATGTTCAATGCAGCAAAGTGAAGAAGAACGTGCTTAGGTATACTTCATTTATATTCAGCATACCTGAAACCGTATCGTCATGACCCCTCGGCTGACAGCCATTTCCAGGAAGCTCGTTAATTTGTCATCACCGCCTCGCAGAAAATGACGCCGTGCTCGGATCGATACCTTACCTATAGATTGTCATACACTTGGCGGTAGTAAACACAGCGGAGCGGTTTGTAGTAGATGTGAAGAGAACAGTGGCAGTAGGTAGGTAGGTAGGAAGCGAACTTATGGACGAGGAGAAGCTAGGTAATGAATGCTTGTTATATCCTGGCGCAAGACGAACTTGGCTTCGTACGATTCTAACTAGTAGTGTCCGACGATGGATTGTATTGTGGATGTGAATGGCGAGGTGAAATTGAAAGGAGGACTAGGAGGGAGGGAGTGACGCGATGTTTATACTACGCGCGTGTCTATTACATCAGCACAAAACTTCTGGGAAAAAGATATGACAAGCTATTGCGCGGCTTCCACCTTTGATCACTCGTGAAGCAGAATGCTTGTGCCCTCACAGATGAAGATATCCTGAGTGCGATAGGACTGTTCTTATAAGCCGATGTCCAGCCAGATGAACCCGCGGGCGAGATCAAGCCTTACCTATCCCATTGCGGAAGGATGCGCCGCAACACATTTCTTGACACCTCCCTCCCGTCTGTCCAGTCCAGTCCAGTCCAGTGATTGGGGTGGTACAGCTCACACTCACACTCCAGAATAGCAGCGGTATACACTTCAGGCGAGAATMGACCCTACGCTCACACGATCCTCTAATCCCACATTCTGCATCGTGGCTTCCAAACAGGCGCCACGCTCGCACAGCTGGTCAGTACGCATACGAGACATTCCGCCAATGTCCGCAAAGAAGTAGTCCCCATCCTCGGCTGCGTCGCTACACCTGACAGGCCGATGGGTGGTGGCTGCGACAGTCTTGACGGACAAATTGGGACGGTTGTAGACACAGCAGTAGGGATGAGAGCACAATCCGTCGGTCGCAGTGCTTGGAGAATACCTTAGGTAGCTGGTGCGGCGGCTATAGGGAGTAAGTATGATTGGTGTTGGTGGGTACATGTACATGGCCTGGCGACATGGTATTCACCGTGGGAAGTGGCTCAGCGTGGGGTAAGTGCTGTGCATTCTGTATCATCTTTTGACTGGCGGCAGAATGTGACTACATGTAGGTTCTCTCATGCTACATTATAGCTCATGATGGTTCCTGGCATGGTGTTTGTCGGCTGTTCYTTGCACAGCAGTGCGACCTTCCCTATGGCTGCACCAAGGGTGGAGCACTGCGTGGCAACTTTGAGCATGTTGTGATCCTGGGGAAGATCGGGACATCATCATCTCGACGTTACTTGCCGAACTAAACTACAAAGACGTCTTGATGTATCTGCAGCTTCAACGGCGGCGAAGGGATTACCTACAAGAGGCCATTCATTGACTGACATGCAAGACACGGCGAAGACTCCCGGTCGCCTCGCAGCTCTGTGGTTCGAATCRATTATCGCAGCTCTGTGGTTCGAATCAATGTGCATCGACCGAGTGACGAAGACATGCAATCCCACGCTGTGCTCACTGGCATGCTTTTATCAAAGCATTCGACAACAACCACGGGCTCCAATGAATGTCGACGAGTACGGTACGGTGTGACCAGACCTCCCAAATCCTCGGCATCAAAACATCCCACCCAAGAGAAGAGAGAGAGAGAGAGAAAACCCTCCGACCCAACCAACTCTCACCCTCGCCACGATCCCCGTCCCGCGTGCGGAGGACCGGATCGTGAAAAAGGGCGGCCGCTACTGCAATGCCTGGTTTGGGACATGCAGCTCTAAGATAGATGCTCGCTTGGCGTAACGATCTGCACACTGCGTTCTTCCCCAACCAATGGTGCCCGTGGAATTGTCACCACTGCATGAGAACGACAAGGCCATTTGAACTCTGCGACCACACTTTTCTGCCATGGCTTGCAGCTGGCATGTTGATCGGTGTTGTGTTGGGGACTGACTACTGACTGAGGGGCGGCGGGTTAAGTATGCAGGCGTGGCCGTCTGCTAGGTTTTTTTTTTTTTTGTTTTCCACGTTTTCGCGTGCTACAGTTCTACTCTTTGAAGGGAAGAAGGCGTGTGGAAGAATTTTCATCTACTTTTCTTATTTTTACGACGAGAAGGACTAGCACGATGGGTCTCGCTGGGAAGATTGCGAGTCCGCTGATCAGCCTGGGGGTGATTGCTTGGGACAATGTGATAGCTGTGGCGAACCTCGTCACTCCAAAGCTCAAAGCTGATAACGTCGTACCGGAGGGCGCTCCTGGACATCACGGAGTCTGGCCGGAATTTATCCCTCCCCAGGAAGGCGATTCGCGATCAGCATGTCCCATGTTGAACGCCATGGCCAATCATGGGATTCTACGTACGTGTGCCAGCCAGCCCAATAAGATGGAAAAACATATCTTGAGAGATGGGAAAAGGAAAGCTGACTATTAATTATACAGCCCACGACGGCAAAAACATCCCCTTCAAAACCCTCAACCAAAAAGTCCGCCAAACCTTCAACTTCGCCCCATCCTTCTGCTTCTTCGTCCCCAAATTCGCCGCCGACTTCCTCGAGCGATCCTACTGGAAAGATACCTTTGACCTCGAAGATTTGTCCCTGCATGCCAGCAATGCAATCGAGCACGATGCGAGTTTGACACGTCAAGATATGGCTCTTGAACCCGATCAAGGAAAACCAGACCAGGAACTTGTGGATGCTTTACTTGCGGAAGCTACGGGGAAAAAAAATACTACTACGGATGGAGGGGAGGATGGGGAGGGGGAACGGTTATTGACGATTGAGGATCTTTCCCGTGCGCTTTCGAAGCGGAGGGCGGAGTGTAGGAGGAGTAATGAGGAGTATTCGGAGAGTTTTTTTCATAATACTTTTGGGAGCGCAAAGTACGTTCTWCCTTTTCTTTCTACATTCTATCAACAAGGAGATGTGTTCACTACTGACCACCATGTTTTACCTTTAGTTCCTCAACCATGTTAACAATCTTCGGCGGCCGAATCGATGATCTCACGCCCATGTTAAAGGAGGAGCGGTTCTCGGATCATTGGCAGCCTAGAATCGTGGATAAATTTGGTTTGACGATGGCTAAGTTTAATTTCACTGTTTTTCCTGTGGAGCGGGGGGTTGATGTTAAGCCTTTTGAGAAGAAGGAGGGATAAAGGAAGGAAGAAAGAAAGAAAGAAATTCCGTTGAGATATATACTACTGGGAGACAAGATTTGGGAAAGCTCAAGTATGCTTGACAATGTATACATGCATTTTTCCAATTCGAATGATATAACGCCTTGAGAGCAGTAGCATAGAACGCCTATGCTACCATGTCGACATCTCGCGACTCCTGTAAATCTGTAATGCTGGTGCTCCTATCAAGTCAGACAAGTCCTCGGATATAGTGAGTTGCGATCGAGACCGTTCATTCATCACGCAAGGAAAAGACGTTGAATCTTTCGCGCAAAAGTGCCATTCCATATTCATCTCCACCGCCCCAGAACTTAACGCCATACAAAAAGGAATGGAGCCTGCTACCATACGCCCATCAATTGAAATCCGTAGCTCTGCCCAACATTCCACTCCCCATTCACGTTGACATTCTAAGCGGGCCAGTTCCCGCCTGCTTCGCAGCGTGGCGGCGCTTCAATTCTTCACCACAGCCCACAACCAATCTCCCTCCTCGACGTAATGATTCCAAGCAACCTCCTTATCCGGATCGCGAAAGTAATCATCTGCCCATACGAAATTTTCACCGCCAGCGTCTGCGTACTCGGCAAAGGTCGTCACTCGTGGCTCTGTGCTGAAGTCTTCTTGGTCGATGAGGATATCTTTGCCGTTTATGTGTGAGACATCCTGTTCATTCACATCGAGCTCTTCTGCTCCCGCTACGACTTCGAGTCCCAGAATCCGGACTGCTCGAGCAAATCGAGCGAGGCGCGCTGGTGTAGCTGGTCGCAGATTACCTCGACCTTTTGGCGGAATCTTCGACTGGGAGTCGCAGGTACGCCGTAGTGGGTCTCTCGTAGACGCTTTGCATACCATCCTGGTATGAAGTCCATGGTTCGTGAGCAATGCGAATCTCAAGGCCAAAGTCCTTTCGAAGAACCTTTGACAATCCTTGCATGGCTGTGGGAGTTCTGCCACGGTGGATGAGGCCACCTACCTGAGCACTCCATGCCAGAAGCGAATCAAAGCAGGTGTCGTCATAGCGATTCACGGATTCTCCAAGTCTATGGAATTGCTCGCCTAGGTTTYGCGAGGTTTTCTGGACCTGGTCCAAATAATCTGCCACCACGGCGCGCTGGTTTGCGATGTCTTCTTGGGAGTGTGGCTCGCTTGGTCCTAGTGCGCGGCAAGTGAAGCATTCCTCGTGAGCGTCGGATAGATGGCGCTCCCGAACCACACATAGCCGATCCTCAGCAGAATACTCGACAATGCCACAACGCTGCAATTCGTGGTAGGATCGATGGATGGCGTCGTCGTTAAGGCGATTGAACTGTCTACATGACCCCTCGGCGCACTCCTGGTTTGATGTCCATACTTTGCTCTCCTGTTCACACTCAGCTTGGAAAAGGTACTCCTCGACGCGTTTGATCAATTCGATTGGGAGCCTTGTGATTCCTTGACCACCACGTCCAAACTGGTTACAAAGGCGGAGCGTATCGATCGTCGGGCCTAGGTTGACGTAGACCGTCAAGTGCGCACCTAGCTTGGCGATTCCGACTGGTAGCGCCCAGGCTTGTTCGACTGTCGAGGCCATACTTGTTGATAATGAAGATGAAGTTTGCTCCGGGGATGCGCGCGAATTTGAACGAAGATCGGAGTAGGATTTGTTGATTATGGCTGGGCTGAGTGAGTGACGTCTTAAATGTGGTAGGTAGAGAAGAGTCGAGGAGCTCGAGACTGGTGCTTAGAAAGCCTCGAAGTTGGGTATCTTGCGGCCGCGCGAATGGATGCTGTCTGGCTCGAGCTTGTCGAGAAAGAGGGTAGATGTGATGGCGCAAGTGGATGCGGTATGCTGGGCTGACGCTGCTGGGTTGACGTTGTTCGATGTTTCTGTCAAGAAGGATGTGTCTGAAGTTTGATTGAAGACTTGATGTTGTTTTTGTCACAATAAGAAAGAAAATCTCGCTTGAATAGGGAGAAGATCGCCCGAGTGGGGCAAAATAATCATTCACTTCGCCGGCCTCGGGATGCGTGCACGTACCCTGCTGAGAAGAGTCACTCGTGGAATGCACTTGGTACCAAAATACAAATGTGGTCCATAAGGAGTCTGGATGCCACAAAGTACGGAGTCCTCTTCCGTGCCTTTGGTTGCCATCTGAGCAGAGCAGCGATTACTTCGGCAGATGGATTGCAATGGTGAACGTCGGTTACTTGGGATTGCACTACCCTTTTCCTGAACAGGTCGGGTCAGCTGGTTTCGGATTGCCTTGGGCATCAAACAATGCTCGACAGAGGACTCTCCGCGGGTAAACCAAGTGAATCTCACATATTTTTCATCATAATGGGCTGATGTGAGGAACATCTAACAGGCGTAGATCAGTGCTCCGCTCTATAGAGGTATACGCGGTACTCGTAATGTAGAAAGGAGGAGAGAAAGACGTTCAAGGCAGTAGAGAAGGATGTTTGGTGATTGTTTTGATTGAATGATTGATTGATTGCTAGAGTGGACATACTTTCCCCACCCAGACACCATATTTGAAGTGATTGAAGTGAAAATGCACCACCTACCTACCGCCGMAGTGGTTGTATAAGCCCCAGGCCGGCTGGAAGTATGACATACTAACCCTGCGATTTGTCGCAGCTGGGGCACACAGACTGGGTTGAAGAGATGTTGTGACCGCAATGCTTGCATGGCACGACGGTGGATGGCATGTTGAGCCTGTAAAGGTGGAGGGGCTCTTGGACTTACCGAAGAAGAGTAAGCTTGAGCGGTATGGGTTTCGAGGACTGTGTTTGCGAGCGACTCAAGAGTTTGGTTGAGTTGGTCGGTGCCTGTTTGAAGGTCAGTAGTTGGATGCCTTGGAAATCATCGTGCTAAGTAGTCAGATATATAGAGCACACGCGTCGCTGGACTACAAACAGATGAATGACATTGTGAAGTTTCGATGGATGAGAGAGACAAATGCCGTTGTGTCTGAACAAAGGGAAGAAGGAAAAGGACACAAAGCGATAGTTCCAAGGCTGTATTGCCTTGGTGAGAACGATGGACGACAGCGTGATCACAATGTGGTTTGATCCATTTTCCGTGCAGTACAATGCCTTGATGGGAAAGTGGTGGCTGATTCTCCGGGTACCACCTGATTGTGTGAGCACTTGCCGTCGTTCAATGGTGGTATATGGCTGGCCACAATGTCCTTGTCTTCGGGTTTCCAGCTTCGCCCTCGGTGGCATGGCAGCGTCATTGCGTGCGATATTCGAAGGCAAGCTTCAGCTTCTCGTAATATCCGGTGGAAGATCGAGACGGAAAAATGGGCATGTATGATGTGGTGGAGAGGGAAGAATGGAAGAGTTGATGCTAGTCCCTGTATCCTGTCTTATCTCCGCGTCGGTCGCTTATCCCCGACAGCGAGCTTCCCGGCCCTTCCTTCCCCATCGACTCTCCGTCCCATGCAACAGGCAAGACACATCGATTCCATGTATTCCAAGACACCATCCCGCCTTAATCTTCCGCGATAAGTCCACATCTCCTTCCTCCTCTACTCCTCCGTCCATCACACCCCCGACAACGTTTTCCAAGCCCATCTCCTTCAAGATAGGCCACTCAGCCTCAAGACCCGCGCGAGCGATGGCGTGGAGATGCTCCGGAGCGACGAATGAAGCTCTCGTGGACAACATGGTCCAAAACGGCCTGATCACCTCCCCACGGGTTTCCAAAGCCATGAAAGCAGTAGGCACTACAGCAAGCACGCGACAGACATCTGTGACAGTCATGCTCATTGATATCCCTGAGGCTTGATAGGTCGATCGCGCCCACTATACTCCGGCTCAGCCATACGAAGACTCGCCACAGCCCATCGGTCACCGCGCCACCATATCCGCACCCCATATGCATGCAGCCGCCGCGGAATCTCTGCTGCCTTTTCTGAAGCCAGGAGCACGGGTATTAGATGTAGGAAGTGGATCGGGCTACCTCACACATGTGCTGGCTGAACTTGTCAAGCCGGGTGGAACGGTGGTGGGGATCGAGCATATTCAACCTTTGGTCGACATGGGTGCTACCAACACAAGTAAAAGTCCAGAAGGGAGCAAGTTGTTGAGGCAAGGAGGGATCAAGTATGTCAAGGGAGATGGCAGACAGGGCTGGCCAGAAGACGCGCCCTACGATGCTATCCACGTTGGAGCTGCGGCTGCGGGCTTCCATGAGCCCTTGATCGATCAGTTGAAGGCTCCTGGACGGTATGTTGAGCTTGACCCGTCCGTATTCTTCTCAAAGCTAATGAAGATGGGCAGATTGTTCATTCCAGTGGAGGAGAACAATTTCCAGCACATCTATGTCATTGACAAAGCAGCAGATGGCACTGTGACTAAGAAAAAGGACATGGGTGTTCGATATGTGCCATTGACTGATGCTCCAGCAGATCAAGGACACTAAAGCTGATCGACCGAATGCATAACACGTGCCATCACTCATATGATTTTCCTCACATAAATTCAGCCATCACTCCATTTCAAACGCTCATCCACTCCACTTCAAGTTTCCTTCAGACTGCTACACAGCTCCAAGAATTTCTCAACCGATTCGCCCTCCGTGCGACTCCAACGCACCCACGCAGCTACCAACTTCCCCATATCTTCTTCACTCGGCACACCTCCTTCAAGATGGGCCCTCGCCCAAATTTTTTCCAACATTATGTTGAATCCATCTTCGCCGTCATTGCCAAAGATTATGGTGGTCTCGACGGTAGACTTCTTTTGACCAACGCTTGGCTGTTCGGGAGGTTTTCCGGGGGACTGGCCGGGGATGTTGGAAACCATTCTAAACATTCTGACTATGAGACTGGAATGGCCAAATGTTTCTTGTTTTCTAGTGTGTCAATGAAGTGGTTGCTCAGATGGACTGGCGGAAAACATAGAGTAGGAGGAAATGCTGTCTGTTCATATCCTATATGCTCAATGATTGCTGAATTTCATACCGTTGGTATTTGTGCGTGGTTTCTTTCACACTGCTTTGCCTGAAGACAATAAATGACAAGCAAGGGTACGTGTCGTTCAAATTGTCTCGTGCTTTGTAGGAAATTCTCGCCTGTTGCCTGTTAAAGGATGAATGCTACCTTATGAAGAGCAAGAGTTCATCCGAGTCGATGATCTCTGTCGAATGGAACTTATCTGCTACCCTAAAACACCCATTCCCCAACGTAGGAGACTTCAGGATCCGTGATCATCGTCGAACCGATCGGCCGTATAGGATAAGACAGTAAACCAAGTCTCAGCAAAAAAGTGCCGAGACCTACAACTTCTCAAAATCAACTCTTCCAAAACTCATTCTTGACTATGTATAGCACAACAGTACTAATTGCCTAACAACCTCTCTATCACATCATGTACCACAATCTAAAAAACATGTACCTTCCTCCAATCCCCTAGTCCTCCTCCCACCGAAGCCGAACTCACAAGCTCAACTTGAATTGCATAGTCCAAACTACAGTAGAATCTTCATCCGGCTTTGGATGTAGACGAGGCGGGATCGTTGGGATCGATAGTAGGATTGGAGGTTTGTGGATTCTGGATTTTGTCTTGGGGGAGAATATGATCGGGAAGCTTCGATTTCTGATCTTGCTCTTGCTCTTGCGATTCAAGACTTGATTCGAGAGGTCGGGTGTCGTCCGGTAGAGTAGACATTGTGGGTATTCGATGAGTTCGTTTTCGAAACGGGATATCAGATGTGCTCTTGCGCTGGACAAGTGCGAAGAAGGATAGTCATAGTTGAGCTTGTTCTCATGACTTGCATGCGTGGCGGAAGTGCGTCGACGCGTCAAACTTCTTTGTTCCACGCATGATTGTCGTCACGGGTACCCTCCAGCCTCTTCGAAATAGAGCAGGGCATAGAGCACTGACAGTCCTGGAGTGTCCGAATACTACAGCAGAGTAGAGTATCAAGAAATCACCAAACGCTTCATGATTCCCTCAATGCCTCTCCAAGCTCCGCCGGATGGACCATCCAACTACCAAAAACCTTAGTACACTCATCCGTCTGACTCCTCAACCAGTCCTTCAAAACCGACGGGGAAGCGGACGCTCCCAAAACTTTCCACGCTAGATGTATGGACCAGAGAGCGTCGAGTTTGGATCTTTGACTGTATGTGGAGGTCATGAAGTAGGGCAAACTCCGACAGATCTGTATTGCCGCATTCTCAATCGCCACGACCAAGCCAACTGCGCCCTTCATTCCAGCGGGAAGAGTAGATAGTGCGATGYTCCCGGCGAAGATAAGGGCGCCTTGGTAGAGAGTGTCGCAGGTTGCGCTGTACTTTGAGGGATAGTCAGTCGGAGTGCCCAGTCTTTCCAAGGGATATGTGGCGCCATATAGCGGATCAAGTAAAAGTATAAGCTCTTCGCCTTCTGGTGAAGTCTCCCAGACTTCTCGCCATTCTTTGAGCTCGACCAGTACGTCCAACGCGTCCTGGTGTACAGAAGCGCGCGTGTCGCCTACTGCTCCTTCTAGACAGCGAACATTCAATCCCGGGATCAGGACAATGATATCGAGCAGCAGCTCAAAGCTGTCTTTGGGTGTTTGGCTGACTATCCAAGGCACAGTCAACCACTCCTTTTGTGACAGGAATGTGGGCTGTCGAGCACTCAACGCCGCCATAACCATAACTTGTCTGTGGTTACGGAAGACTTGCATCGCAGTTCCGTGTGGAGTAAAGGCGTTAGGACCTCGAGCTTGGAACAAAGCTGCCAGTCCTAGAGTATGTCGAATCCATCCATCTGACTTTGTCAAGAATAGCATTTCATATGCGCCAAAGATTATAACAGGAATGAGAACTTCGTCATCGTGCCGAGATGTGCTGTCTGCTAGGAGATTATGTAGACGGCGTAGACATGAAGTGTATGATCGCTGAGCCGATTCGATGAAGAAGGGTTGGCGGGAGACTTGTCCCGTACATGCCTGGGAGAGGGATTGCAGACATTCGTAGGCAAGACTGTCATTGCCTGATGACAGCGCCAAGTACCCAGGCCAAGTTCGCTCCAGGGGGTCTGGGCTCAGTGTGGTTGGGAACAGCACCCGGGAGAGAATGGTAAAGAAGTAGTGATCATCGTACTGCGAGATGCTTCTGCATAGACTTTCCTGACTGGTTACAGACTGCGATGAGCTGCGTGAATGGTGCGATACTGGTGATGGCTCGGGTGTTTGTGTTGAACCGCGCGATCGAGGCCTGGATACCAAAGATTTTGTATTGCGAGCGCCTTGTCGTCTTGTTCCAGCTCTGCTTCGTGATTTCTCGGCCGAGGAAACATTCATAGATCGGAATACATTATCCGAGTAGATGCATTCGTGCGAACTTTTCTTGCATCCGGCGCATGGAGAGCCTGCTTTGGGTGTTACTCTTTGTTCATCCCCTGATTTTCGTGCTTGGGGATCAACGGTTGAAGCTTACCCTGATCACAGCGTACTTTCCGAGCACGACACCGTTGACAGCCTCGACTAGGATGACCGGGGTTGACCATGATTCCACGTTGGTGCGAACGCGAAGTTTTGGGGACGAGAGAGCTGGGTGCCTTGCGCTCAATGTTCCGCTCATATTATGCCATCAACGGTCTTCCCAATGAAGCTCGAGCAGCCGATGCTCTTAATGGAAATGAGGTTGACTTTGAGCGGCCGGTAAGTTTCGTTTTACCGAGAATAGGCTGCGGCTGAGCTGGAAAGTTTGAGCTACTCTGGAGTGAGCTCCACGTGTGCACGGGCCCTGGGGGCCACAACATACTTGAGGGGATCGGCGTGGGAAGTGCATGGCGTTCCGCCAGCGGATGCAATGCTTCCGTATCGTGTGTTGGCTTCTCATTGGAGTTCGGCTTCTGGCGGCTCGTATCACAGTGGAGGATATTTCTGTATCAACAGGATTTCCTGAAGATGCATCGCTGGCTGCAGCCAATGAGTTTAAAGAGCGAGATGCAGGTAAAGAAGCAATGGAATCTGGATTTAGGGAATAAGAAAGTCAGAGAGCAGTCATTGCCGCATATAGATTGAGGAATCTCGTCCTCAATCTCGCAGTTTTGAGATCCGCATCATCGCCACGAGAGCTGATGGTGAAAGACAAGTTCCTCAAGGTCGAGGAGATGATGTCGATGACAGCGCCATACCTTAGCATATGATGAGGATGTCTTGGAAGTATGTTTGTCTCCAAAGGCATAGTAAGGKAATCCCCCTCATCAGCAACGACGTATACGTGACATGTATCGACAGTGAGCGTGACAGAGGATACTTCGTGTGTCATTCATCTMCTATTCAATCCAACAAACCACATCGGGAGCCTCCTCAACGCGTGACTAGCTCTTGCTCTTTCTTGCGTGAATGACCTTCCTCGCATACACCATCATAGGCTGAACCGGATTGGCGAGGGCAATCATGCGGCGTCCAACAATCTGGGCTATTAAGATCGCGATGGTGATCACGGCAGGAAGGATGCCGTTTTCGTATATCCTGGGGTGGCCTCATGAGGACTCAGGTGTATTTGCCGAGCCCTTTTTGCGATTCGATCATGGACATGTCAATAACGAAGGTGTCATGGCCATCGATTGGTCGCCGCAATCCTCGAGACAGGAATAGCAAAGTACCTTAGCGGCGGAGAAGAGCCCGGCGAAAGTCTCCGTAGTCGCTCCTTGGCAATGCAGCGCCAAACTTTGGGCGGTCATCAACGACGCGATGCATTCATGAATCATCTCATCCAAAGGACACTCCAGCGAAGCTACTTGCCAATATGGACATCCTCACTGGCGTGACCGCGTGTTGGTGTGAGGCAGGAGAAGAAAGTGTGCCATGTCCAATCCTGCTCGAGCCCAGCTGGTGATTGTGGATCAAATGCATCCCGCAGGTTTGTTTGTGCCCCGTAATGATGATAGTGGTACAGTGCGTCACTAGGTACCCCCCAGATTGATGGGAACATCCATTGAGGGCAAGTACTGCAGGTGGTGACGGCTTCTTCTTCCATCGCCCACCTGCTCCATTCCGTCTTCAACAAAGCGTTTGATCTGGATATGACACCAACCAAACATCCCTCTCACACTCCAGCAACCATGTCGCTCCCACAGRGTGGGCAAGATGCCACTCTCGCCGCCACGTACGAGGCCCGCCCAGGTGCCAGCGATGCTGCTCCTTCTGGTGTTCACATCAACGATGAACAACCATTGAGCTCCTCGGTCAAGAACAAGTTGGATGGCCTCGCAGATTCAGCAGGGTCGACGAAGTCTGCTTCTGAGCAGGTCCCCTCTGCCCAGGGCGCTGGTAACGCTGTCAAGTCCGGCTTCAGCGCTCTACTTGCAGGGGTTAGCAATCTTGCTTTAGGAGCCAACCAGGCCGTGGCACACAACGCATCTGACTCGCACCCAGAGAGTGACAAGGTGGAAAAGGTGGACGACCTGCCCATTCCGGGAGCTTTTGCAGACGCAACATCTGAAACCGACAATGCAGAGAAGGTGGACGACCGGCAGATACCAGGAGCTTTCGATGACGAAACATCCGATACCGAAGACATTGCTGCTGTTAAGCGAGGTGTGAAGTCTGCTTTCGATGCCTTACCCACTCCYCCCAGTGCTCAGGATGTGACGAACTCGCTTCCCACCACGGATTCCATCTCCAAGCAGCTTCCTAGCGCGCCATTGGGATCCMTCACCAACCAGTCTGAGGCACGACAGACAGCAGATCAAAATGTGGATTCTGTAGGTAACAGCTTAGAGCAAGGTCAAATCCACCAGGATGGCATCGATCACATCAAGAAGCAACTTCACGGCCAAGGCACCGGTTCCGTTGCTAGCAACTCACGAGAAACACAGATCCACCAGGATGGTATCTCTCATATCAAGGAGCAAATATACGGTCAGCGCCTCAACTCGGTAGGTACAAATAGCACCACAAACCATCTGGCAGGGCAAGTGCCTCTGGAGCCACGAGGTGTACCGCAGATTGTGACGGATAGCCAACGTCAAGCTGGCTTTGCCCCAGAAGCATCATCAAACGCCGAAGCCGTGGAAGAGAAGAAGCAGTTGGAGCAAGAGCTCAAACGCGAGGTTCCAGAGTCAACTATCAATTCAGCAGGTCCCACCGGTGCAAGTGCAGGTGTCGACAGAGGCATTCCACAGGTCGTTGCCGACAGCCAAAAGAAGGCGGATGCATCACCAGAAGCCTCAGCCAACGTAGAGGCCATTCGCGAGAAGCAGGAGGTTGAGCGGGAGCTCAAGCGTGAGGTTCCTAAGCAGCCTGCCACCGGCGATAACTCATCTACCGTCGGCCAAGCTGTATCAGGAGGACTCGYATCTGCTGGTGCCGCTATCGCTGGTGCCGCTACCTACGCTCGGCAGAAGACCCACGAGGTCACCGGAACGGATCCTGTCGCAGTGTTGCCCGAAACAGCCCAACAAGCGATTGATGGGAAGGTCACCTCCCACACACCGTCATCGAGCACTGKTACGGGACCATCGACCGCACAAAATCTCACAGGCTCGCTTGCAGCAGGCGCAGCTTCCGTGGGATCGGCAGCCGCAGGGGCCGCTACATTCGCTCGCGAAAAGACTCATGAAGCCACCGGCACAGACCCCGTTGCAGTGCTTCCTACCTCTGTCCAGGAAGGCATTGGCGGGAATACCACTGCCAAGTCTAACACACGCCACCCGTACGATAACTCCTCGCACGTTACCCCCTCGCGCAGAGCTTTAAATGTCATGATGGGTATCCCTAGTGATGGTATAGACCTACACTCAGGCATCCACAACGGCGTTGTAGGCGATCACTTGGACGACGATTCAAACGCCTCTCACCGCCAATCATCGGGATCGCACTCTGGACACTGGCAGCCGGGTACTTCTGCGACAGTGGCCCATGTTCCTTCGCTTCGAGACGTCGATCTCAGTGCTGGGGTCAAGAACACTGTCGTTGGAAGCGGTGCCAAGGACAGCGGCATTGTTGACCAGTGAGGTGGTGCTCATATCTCCATCGTGCTGACCAAGCACACGATGAATCGGAGCATCCTGTAAATGTAGCGAAGCATTCACGCAGGTGTATGCACGTGGCCCACGAATGATATATTCAAGGGCCGATGAAGATTTTCGATAAGCTACTAGTAGCATTGGTACAAATATGCAGCTTCACATACTCTTCTACATCACTCCACAGGCCAATTCCAACTGTGTAGTCCTCATGAAAGACTGCACGTCACTCATCCCTGAGCGAACGAATGCGGAGCTCGAAAGCCCACTCTCTTCAGGCATTTCATGGTCCATTCAGCGTCCATCGGAGAATCACACGCCGCTCGCTATGAGTAAACGAGCACTGCTTGCAGGGGTGCGTGAATTTTTGTGTAACACTACCCCTCTTAAGACCCACTGTGCCCTGCAGACTCAGGTCCGACGCTATTGTGCCAAGAAGCATGTTTATCCAAGCGGCGGGTGGACTCGATCGTTGATATCCACTTGTCTTCTTCTTTTAAGGCAAGCGAGAGGGCCCGCCTTTGCAAAATGATTCTCAAACTATCGAACTTGTATATCCTTTCAGCATCATGAAGATTTCGAAATTGTTGGCACTCTCGCCTTTGGCATCTCTTGTCGTTGCAGGGCCAGCATGGTACGATTGGTCTCGCTCCAGTCGTACTATACAGTCTACGGGATTAGTAGGCTATGCTTTCGACAACCCAATTGGACCCACGACAGGAGGCTCCAGCGGCAAGACAATCACTGTCACATCAGACGACGCTTTAGTAGCGGAACTCAGCGACAGAAGTAGCCCAAAGACTATCCTCCTGGACGGCACATTCCATCCTACTGCTCGACTACGCATTGGCTCGAATGTCAGTCTCATTGGAAAGGGCAACGGAGCGAATATCATTGGCCAAGGCATCAATGTTAACAATGTTGCGAATGTGATTATTCGGAATATTGGAATTCGATTCGTTGTGGATAATGATGGAATGACGATTCAGAACTCCACGAGGGTTTGGGTTGATCATTGTGAATTTGAGAGCGAGTTGAGCGTTGAGCTTGGACCTAATTATTATGTTTGTTGCACTGTACTTTTCCAGAGGATACTCGGATATTGATTGACATTATGGTAGGATGGTCAACTCGATATCGTTCGTGCCTCGGACTGGATCACGATCTCTTACAATTACTTCCACGGTAAGTAATATTTATCCCATCTTGACAGACTCTCCTAATCAACGATATCATACTAGATCACTGGAAATCCTCATTAATCGGCAACTCCGACACTTTACGCAACGTAGACGAAGGAACCCTTCACGTCACATATCACCACAATTTCTGGTCCAATATCGGAACTCGGGGACCTGCTGGTCGCTTTGGACATCAACATATCTATAATAACCTCTATGAGAATTTCCTTTACCAGGCTATTCATTCGAGATCGGATAATCAAGTCTTGGTGGAAGGGAATGTCTTCAAAGGTAACACCAGGACGGCTCTGACTACTTATGGCTTGGTTATTCCTGAGGATAGTCCTAATACTTGTGTTTGTGGGGATGAGGAACTTGATGGATTTGCTAATTTGGGAGCTGGTATGTTTGTTGGGCTAGTGTGGGTGGGATATGGGAGTTTGCTGACTGTTTTACAGAGAATGACTTTGGCGGTGCGGATGTCAACATTACTCAAGTTGGCAACTTTACGGATCCTGGGTATGAGTATACTTTGGAACCACTCAAGAGTGTTGAGAAGACTATTAGGAGCAACGTTGGATTGGGAAAAGTTGACGTGGACGATTGTTGATTTTCGTTTGTGGCCATCACGACTACCTCTAGAGGGTCACTCACAAGCTCATAGGCGGTGTATGCTTGAAAGAAAGTCTACAAAGACCCAGCAAACAGATCATCTAGGGGACTATTGGTCCGTCCCCACCACTTGGGAGGGATGGGTAACCATCAATCCATTACTTCCCATACCACCTGAAAACCTCCTATATACTCACATTCAGCAGATTCATCAAAATTCATGCCGAAAGCTTTGATCTCAAGCACCGTTTTGACGTAATGGCGTTGCAACAAGGTCTGCTTCTCGAGTGAATACATGTTTCAGAGCATGTGACATCAAGTCCGTGCACAATTTATTTCCTTAGCTCGTGCTTCCAAGTTTCCAAGACAACATGTCAGACCCATCCCCCATCTCACCACCAATCTTCAACACTCCACACTTGGAACTCCAGCAAGCTACCACAGCGAGTCAACGACAGTGCGATCTTCTTTCAGCAGCGATCGATAAACCAAATGCTCCTTGTCGTACTCTAGCACTCTCCCCGGCAGTGCTACCACTGTCGACCACCAGCCCAGTATCGCTCACTGGTACACTACGACCCTCATTTCGCCTAATTATTGCCGCTACAGAGGCGCGCAGCTCTCTTCTTACTCGACCGTGCACATATCAGCAAGCATGAACTCGACCAAGCTGTCTAGCACCCTGCTAGGACTCCAGTCGAAGTCCACGATGATATCAAATCAGTCCGGTGCGCGAACCTCTACCGAGACTTTCAATCCTTCGAGCGAGAGTGGTACGCAGACCTCTATCGATACGTCCATAGCTCCACCTGTGCGAGTCTCAACGGGCCGAGTGGATTCGCAGGTCGAGGAGCCAGCTATCACTGGTCGTGCGGACACAGGAACTGTGATATCTCCAAAGCCAGATATCTTGGAACCGCGCATAGCCCCTTCGGAGAATGCGAAATGTGCGACACTCGAGTCGCAGAGGAGCAATACGACGACAAATCCACGCCCTCACACTCCGCGAATGCCTCCTGAGTTCCGCGCAGATACTAGATGCTCTTCGTCACTCGTCAAAGCTGCTCTTGCTGCAGGTATGCCGCCAGCGTCCACGTCTGACCCAGTGTGGCATAAGGGCAGCAAATTCAGCAGCGGTACCCAAGCCTCGCCGCCTGGAAAGCGTCAGAGCCTGACAAATCGACCACACCCGCTGCTGTGGCGGGACCAGTTCATCGAACAGGCCGGCTCATATTGGTACTTTACCATTTTGCGCTCCCTTCAGCTGACTTCACGCCTCCTGATGATGGATGCAGTAACGAAGCATATCGTTGTGATGGTGGACGGGGAGCTCAGGCGCGACACCAAAGCTGGAGAAGGAGGCAGCGTCAAGACTGATCTCGCTGAGTTGGCTGGCATGAAGGACGACCAAGGGCAGCCGTTGCACCCAAACGTTGCTCGATACCCCAAGCCAGGCCAGGAGATGGTGGACGATTCTATGAGAGCACGGGCTGCTCAGATATTGATGGAATTGAGACCTTTGGTCCGCTTCCGTATTGATGACATCCGCATTGATGACATGACTGACGGCACATGTCTTGGTACGACGAGATCTGCTTCTCGGTGTTGGGCTGAGTACTTTCCTCCCGATGGTATTCCTCCCAATGCGAGCATCATTACGATCAATGGGAGTATCTTTGATAACGTAGCGGGTTACTGTACTTCCAGCGAGCGAAACCATACATCTTGTGGTGGTTGGGACTTGCAGATTGAAGAGGTCATCTTTGCTACTACCATGTTCCACGAGATTTTTCACGCTCTGGACCGCGCGTTTAATCGCCCTCACTTGGCTGGAGTTGTCGAGACATTCTTTGGAGATTGTGTACTGGCCGAGTGTGGTTTTGCCGCTACAGCTGCGGTTTTTGATGGCATTCCAGTGAAGGGTACACCACAAGGCCGCTCCGAGTCCAGGTTGGGGAAATATCGGCGTGTACTCGACTATTACGAGGCCCCGGACCCATCGAAAGGCTATGCAGGGAACTTCCTCAAATTGGAGCCTTGGCCCTCCAAATGCTTTGCAGAGTGGTATGAAGACAAAATCCCCTCGATTAAGAGAGATGCTTCGACGCTGCTCGATAAAGGATGCTACATTGTCTCAATGTCGTTCGTGGAAGATATCTTCACGGATGAGTATTGGAATGTTGAGGTACCCAAGCTTGGCCAGTCGCCGCTTCGAGTGCCAAAAGTATCATATCTACCAATCAAGCGGGAGACAAAGGCTTTGGCCAAGGCACTGAGATTGTCGGAAGAGCTGGCCAGGATGGTATTGTCGGAAGAGCTGGCCTGGAGGATAGTACTGTCGAAAGTTGATGAGTCGCAGAGTCCGAGCGAGCCGGTAGGCAGTCAAAATTCTGGCTAGTTGCTGCAGTCGCTGTTCGACTCGTAACGATCTGGCTCCTTTCGATAAACTAATCACTCATCGCATAGATGATGGAAGGAAAAGCAATTGGGCATGCTGAGGTCGAGTTTCATGCGGCGCATTGCTAAAGGAAAGGGAGAGCTTGGCGGGCACGGTCTGGATATGGCGGTGCTTGTACTATCAACATGATCGAATCGTGGGTGACTATGCATTTGGGGGTTCTGAATTACAGTTGATGATGAGGTACTGCTGCTGAGGAGATGCAGCCGATTGAGAAGTTCCTTGGAATGATAGATGTTTCGATCACTCCGATATACACCGCAAGGTCGAAGGGTCAAAAATTGCGAACGTCATTGCTGCAAAGAGGCGCGCCATGTTCTTGGTTTCTGTGAAAGTGCGAGACGTTGTGAGTATCAGGACCGCTTTAGCATCTCCGACATGCCTACTCTAACGAATGATAGTGGACGGAGACATGTTTTCGAGGTCCAGGCTCTGAGATCGAAGTTGCCTAAGTTGAAGAAACAAGGTAAGTGAGGGATAGGGATAAAGAATGCTCTGTCCGATAGTCCTCTCAAGAGGCGCTGGGTATGAGAATCGTTCTATGCTTGTATTCCTGGATTGAAGCTTGGCTCGGCCCTGGTTGCATGCATCTACTTGTGATTTTGTTTCTACCTCTCTTTCGCACCTTCGGTTGATTCGAAGAGAGGAACCGGCAGTAGGGCCACAAGTATTCCACCGCATCATGTCCGGATGCGTATGTCTGCTTGCGATCGCCTACTGAACGTTGACCAACGGTCACCAATAGTTGCACAATTGAAGCACATATCCGCGTCGACCAATCTCTGTCGCAAATAACCACCAACGTCACGGATAGGCCAACGTTTTGCGAGGCCAGGCTGTGATCAGTTGTCGTAATCTCCWCATGAAGATGCATTGCCCGCGGTAAACGAGATAGTCGATAATCGATAGTGGCTGGGTTTCTCGTGATGGGCTCCAAGTAGACCAATTACAACAGCATCATGTAACATCATCAAGCATGTATCGTTGCGAGGTCGCCGAACGTCTCGATCATCAGCGGACCGATCATGCCTCAGGCATCACAACTGACGATTCGCCCAATCGTAAGGAGAGCGCCGACTCTAGACATTCGTTTGTCGGCTGAGCATCAATGGGATCATGGGCAAAAGCCACAATATGATCATGATCCTTGCGTCGTCTTACTCATCTGCCAGAATGTCGTTTGGATCAACCCCAATTTGCKCGCCAACATTTCGCACTACATCTCTCAGTGCTTTGCAAGCAGGCGAGTCGCCGTAGTTGTCAAAGAAACTCTCGCCATAGTCGCAGCTCATGCCGATCCTGGGATCTAGCGGAACAGCACCAAGAAATGGAATCTCGGTATCCTTCGCCAGTCTTCTGCCGCCGCCAGTGGTAGCTCGGAAGATTTCAGATTGGTGTGTACATTTGGGACACACAAATCCACTCATGTTCTCCACCAGTCCAAGAACACGAATGCCAGCTYTGCGACAAAAGTCGATCTCCTTTCGTACATCTAGCAGGCTGACTTCTTGTGGTGTAGTTACGATGACGGCACCGTCAACGCCTGATTCCTTGAGGTAGCTGTTGACACTGAGATGCTCGTCCGAGGTTCCTGGTGGAGTATCGACAACCAGATAGTCCATTTCTCCCCACTCCACGTCTTTGAGAAACTGTTTGATGAGACCATTCTTCTTCGGTCCTCGCCATATCACAGCATCGTCGCGGTTGGGCAGCATGAACTGAACACTCATGACACCAAGATTGTCGCTGACCCAAACGGGCTCCCATCCTGTGCTTGTGACGTGAATTGTTTCGGCTTCCACACCCATCATCTTCGGAATGCTCGGGCCGCAAATATCAGTGTCCATGATACCAACCATGTTATCGGGATTGCTGGCAAAAGCGTGGGCGAGCATGGTTGTGAATGTGCTTTTACCCACTCCGCCTTTGCCACTCAGGACCAGAATCTTGTGCTTGACACCAGCCAGACGCTCTGTGATGACTGGAATGTCCGGGTCGGGACCTTTGGGTGCAGACGCACAGATTGCTTGATTGGGGCATCCGGCACATGCGTCTCCTTTGCCTGCGGTTTCTGATTCGGGCCCTGGACAATGCTCTGGCTCCGGGGCTACGAGAGCAGGTGCTTTCTTCAAATTGGCATTCAGTGCATCGTCCACGGACTCGATCGGTTCTTCGAGAGATGGCGCCATATTGCACTCGCACTTCTCAGTAAAACCGGGTGGGAAGTGCAGGAGAAGATATCGACGTCGTCCAACTCAGATGTCACTAGTGCCGATGTTGATTATGAAGCAGCGTAATCGGCGGAAGAATGATTCGCCGCCATTCAACACATCACGTGCTCCTCTCTCCAGGAAGCTCTCGCAACATCTCGACCTGCTCAACGCCGCCGAACATGCGAGCTATGCACTCACTGGCACAGCTTCTGCCATGCTACAGCGTGTGACCAGACTCGTTCTACGGAGCCGTGTAGCTTCTGGCAAGCTCGGAAATGTCCCTCAGACACGCTCTAGATCATACTTGCATCCGCCTTGGCTGCTCGATACACACATCCCACGATATCAGCTCCTCACATCTGTCGAAGCGGCAAAGAAGCGCGCTGCAGCATACGCCCACCTGCGAAATTGCAATCTGTGCCCGCGGCGCTGCTCTGTAAACCGCTACGAACGTATGCCGCTGTATAGTGCGTCGACAGAAGGCGGCAAAGCTCACTTGAACGGTATGACGAGGAACATGTCTGGTGGGGGCAGATGTGGTTGTCAACACGATAGCACCCCATTTTGGAGAGGAGCCGAGCATACAAGGCACACGCGGTAGCGGGTCGGTCTTTTTCTCAGGCTGCAATCTGAGATGCGTGTAGGGCAGACGAGAAAGAGTGTAGGGTGTGCAGTGTTCGCAACACGCTAATGTATCCGCACAGGTTTTGCCAGAATCATGACATTGCTCACCAAAGCAATGGGTTCTCGCTCACGCCAGAGCAACTCGGGGAATGGTACATCAAGCTGCAAGAGGTGGGTAACGTGCACAACATCAATCTAGTCACTCCCAAGCATGTTGTTCCCCAGGTCGCGCTGTCCATACTACACGCGAAGGAACTCGGACTGAAGCTTCCCATCATATACAACACTTCTTCCTTTGACTCTCTCGAGTCTATCGAGCTGATGGACGGCCTGGTGGACATCTATCTTGCAGACTTCAAGGTCTGAGAGCCGGCCACATCCAAGCGTCTTTTGAAAGCAGACGACTACGCCGAGGTCGCGAAAGAGTCGATCAAAGCAATGCATGCTCAAGTGGGTGATCTTTGCTTCACCTCGGATGGTATTGCCCGTCAGGGTGTACTTCTCAGGCATCTTGTCATGCCGGGCCATGAAGAGGAAGGCAAGCACATCATGCGCTGGCTGGCAGAGAACGTGAGCAAGCATCTTTACGTGCATGTCATGGAGCAGTATCACCCAAGGGCCCATGTGGGTAAGCCCAGAAGGACAAGTGGGCGCGCTCAAGATCTCGCATCGCAGACTGTCAAACCCGGCAGCCTCCCCGCCGGTAGCGAGGCCAAGACGGAGGTCAGATATGAGGATATTAACAGAGTTGTCAGTCTGGAAGAAGTGGAAACTGTCAAAAAAGTTGCAACCCGATGCGGCTTACGCGTTTTGGAGGCGGACGAGGCGTCTGAGAATTCTGCGTGGCGGCTTTGAGGCGTATGGTATGCACCGAGAAAAGATCCTGCGACATGCTGCCGACGCGGCGACGCCCACTTCTTGATCAAACACCCGTCTCCGGGGAGTGGCATAGCGCGTTTCACGGGGAGCGAGGCGTGTTCCGATCGGACGCCATCTGCGCCGCCGAACATCATCAAGATGGCACCGTTCAGTCGGATCAGCTTCTCAAGTTGGTTCTTTGTCTTCGGTAATGGCTGGTATCATGTTGAGAGTCCGGCACTGTTATGCAGACACGCTGGAACGGGATGTTTCGATTCTTACACGCCGTCAACGCATGGTCAGCCACTCGTGGCCACGTTTGCAGCCCCGCTCACTTCAATACTAACGAGATGAATGCCGGCTGCGGGGACGTCACCTGAAGCTGGCTGCAATGGGGATCTAGCTTTGTCGTATTTCAGGCACAAATTACCGATCATCAAAGAGATTCATTCAAGACCTGCGCCACTTCAACGGGCCCAACCGCAATAGCCAACAGTCATTTGGACTGTCGTTCTGAATACAAGCAAAACACACAAGGTAAAGAAATACCGTGCCCATTTCGAAACCATACATTTGAACCTGCTGGACGGCAACTGCTGGTCAATCTCGAGCCGCGAGCCGGCCTCACTCGCACTCTCGATATCAACCTCTACAGTCAGAATTGGTAGCATGTCACTATCTCCTGTCCGCCCAGACGTACTTGCACTCCTTTACGATCAGCAAAGAAACTACAACGCCCAGCTCGGTCAGAACCATGAGTCTCTTAGCAAGCTATATAGAAAGCTTGCCAAGATTGAGCAAGTGCTCGCTGTGGAACCAGAACGACACATGAAAAGGGCTTGTCGCAAGAAATGGAAGTATTCACAAGTGTTGACCAAGAAAAGCATAACGTCCATACAGGACAAGCAGGATATATTGTACCAGCTCCTCGACCAATGCGCCTCGTTAATCGGGTCTTACCATGAGCAGACTTTGACACCCGCAACTCCATGGATGCATCTACCTCCTTCACCATATATGCTCACACCGTCCTCGTCCTTCCCTTTCTCGCCATGGGCAGCCAACTTCTCGGGCGCCAGCTCTAGTGAGGATTCGGAGACCACTTTTTGGGACCTGTCTAGGCTGCGCGAGCCTTCTCCATTCAGCTCCATGGCTGATAGTGGTTATCATGAATCTCAAGATCATCAGGACAGCAACGACCAACCGACTTTCAGAGAGCTAGACCTGATCTTCTCATCCGGAGCCTTGGCGCCCTCGGACGACAGTACCAGACACCTCTGTGTTCCTTTGGCTACGCGTAGTGACGTGCCGATCATGTCCGAGCAAAATGATAGATCAGATCTTCAGGCTCCCTCTTCGCCTACGCGGTCAGGTGCCCAGACCCACAGACGATGTGTTTCGGCAGAGTATGCTCAACTTGTCGATGGCAGTCTCGTTGTGCCAGCATCATCGAAACGAGGCACTAGTGTCGGTCCAGCTAGGCAAGCCAGGGGCAGTAACAATGGGCTTGTGGGGTGACGCAAGGGAGGTGCTTGTCATGAGGTTACATCTATTTGCCTTTTGTAGTCATTTGCGAATCCATCCGTCAGCCTAGATTGTAATGTCCGAAGTCGTCAATCCTCCAAACTCCAACTCAAGTCCTCATTCTTTCAACCAGATCACGACTTTCTCTTCGCCAGGTCATGATTGTCAAGACAGGTCGTGATTGCTGTGCTGAGCTATTTTCAGTTCATCCTGTGGAATTCCACCCCGGAGATTTGCCRACAAACATCACCTCGCAGACGCGACCTGTCGCACAGTATCAACGCCAACTTCCACCGGCATACACCGACCGCCGCTTCGGCTGCCGCCATTGACAAGCCCGAACTCATCCGGATAATTGATGATCGGCATGATGCACCCAGAGACCAGGTCCAGAGCCCTGTCAACGCATGCGATGGCGTGCGGCTTCATGGCCCACTCCTGCATGTGCGACGATGGCGGCGCCACTTGAAGACGCACCATGCCACCCTTGCACAGTTTGACGGCTGCTGCACTCCATTCAACGGCGTCCGCATTGAACTGCGTTACAGGTCTGTTGGTCGTCAATTCGGCGTGATTGGTCTGGTCTGCACTCAAGATCAAACTCCACGCGTTGTCAGAGCCTCCCCCAGCTCCTTCCCCCGTCATGTACGAGGCCACCCGACATCCTGGTTCAGCCCTTGTCTGGATCGGATTGGTAGCGACTCCGACTATCGTGCATCAGGAATCCGCACAAACAATGGGCAGATGCAGAACCGTCTCTCCCCGAAACGCAGGTCTAGCTTCTAACAACCACGCCGTTGCGGTCTGAGGCTGCCAACATGCGACGCACCCTCACTCCAGACGGCAAGTGTATGTAGCGAATGCCGTATCCGCGCCGGCATCACTCCCCATGAACTGAAGCACTCCATCTTGGGCCACGTCCTGACTCTTATAGGGTTGTCATGTTCTCTTTCGTACTCAGGTTCGCTTAACAGTTGTTTGCCGCAATACCGGTATCCATTCCTCTCTTCCTTGCATTCGGGCCCCTGCTCGCATATCTGCAGCTTAGCAAATTAGATCAGGTTGGACCTTCTTTGCGTACAACCTGTGTCCAAAGTTTCAATTCCAGAGGACGGCTATTCATTGCATATAAGATCTGACACCCGTCTACCGGGTCCAGTCCGGAATTTGGTCTTGCAAACATCAACATGGAATCTTCGAGAGAACCGCGTGTTGTCATTCCGGCACGGGCGCATTCTTTTGTCAATCAAGTCAAGGAGAAACGAACATTACGCAAAACAACACCTCCACACTTTCTTCCCCGGCAGAACTCAACCGCATCTACCCCTGGCACGCCTGCCCACTCCAACAGAGTCTCGGTTGCTAGTAGCATACAGAGGGCATCCACCATCTCGGACCACAGTCAAAAGACCTCATCAATGAAAATCAACGCTCAACGCCAACGCCTGTACGATGATGAGTCTTGTCAGGCTGGAACGCAAAGTCCAAGGCAGCTTCCACCTTCACGACAACCCTCCCTCCGTTACGAACGTAGCTTTGTCAGACCGGCCAGATTATCAACGATTCCAACAAATTTGCCCTCAGATGGCTTCACAAACGAAGCCCTTGCAGCTCAGTGCAAACGACCTCGCAGTCTACCTCCGTCGGAAGCAATGCGCAAGTCTCAGTATCAGCTAGACACATGGCCTCTACCCTCCTATCAACAACCATCAGTCAGCCGAAGCAGTTCCCAGCACTCTGCGTTGATGAGACCGAAACCAAGGGCATCATTTACTCACCTACAGAATCTTGATAGCCTGATCGCTTATCGAGAGGACAAARCCGAATGGAAGCGTGAATCGCTTCTCGCGCAATCCACGCTGTCTGAGCAAGAGGGTCATGTTATCGTGAACGATGAACTCGGTGCTGCCCGCGAGGCAGGGAGTCATCCTGTCACCAGAGGGCAAGAAAGTACGCCGTCGACGACACGTTCAGCCACACCCTCAGGGACCTACTCCGATGAAGACTCTCAATCCGACCCATCGTCCGACCAGGACAAATTCCAGCCTCAAAACAAATTTCGAGGGTTCAAAGCTGAAATTGGCTTTTGCTTCACCATCGCCATGACACAGTTTCTGGCCGAGTACCTCATCTCAGGCTTCGCCATCGAGCTTCCTCGTATCCTGGCGCGAATCGGAGTTGCCAATTCGTCCATGGGAACATTCTGGCCTGCATCGCTACTCAGTCTCATTCTCAGCGCAACGCTTCTTATCTTTGCCAGAATCTCAGACATGTTTGGTGGATATATCCCATTCATGTTTGGGGTCATCTGGCTATTCATCTGGTCGTTGGTCGCAGGCTTTGCCAATGTTCTAGTCCTGTTAGATGTTGYGCGAGCGATGCAAGGTCTTGCCATTGCTGCCTTCATCCCTTCGACTTTCGCCATGATAGGCAGCATATACCCGGACGGTCCACGCAAGAACATAGTGCTGGGTCTGTATGCCGGTTGCGCTCCTGTGGGATTCTTTGCAGGGTTCCTTGCAGCCGGTGCATTGCCGGAGAATGCTCCAGGATGGTACTTCTACATCGCAGCAGCCCTGTCGTTCATTACAATCATCACAGCCTACTTGACGGTGCCTCGTGATCGCACAGATCGACAGATACTCGATCTGAAAATGGACTGGGCTGGCGCTGTCCTCTTCACTGGCGGATTGATCTTAGTGGCATACGCACTTGCTGTCGAACCATATGCTGATGGGTGGTCCTCGCCGCTCGTCCTGGGACCACTCATCTCCGGGGTTGTCTGCTTGGCTGTCGCTTTCTGGGTGGAAGGCTGGGTCGCAACATGCCCTTTGATGCCTTTTGACTTCTTCAAGCCCAAGAGCACCAAAGCTTTCTCATTGGCATGTCTGTGCTTCTATGCGTCTTACGGAGTGTGGCTGTATGAGTCGGCGCAATTCTTCCAAAGCCCTGCAGCGACGGGGACACCAGATGGCATTCAAGGGGTGACGCTTGCGTTATGGTACGTTCCTACAGCATTGGGAGGTTTGACTCTTTGCGTTGCTGGTGGTGCGTTGTTACATCTCATCCCTATCATGGCGCTGCTACTCATATCTGCACTCGCCTGGATCGCCGCGCCTTTGCTGCTCGCGCTCTGTCCATTGCCGATGAACTACTGGGCATTCGTCATGCCATCCATGCTTTGCGCGACTATCGGTATCGACCTTACCTTTACAGTGTCAGTCGTGTTCCTCTCTGCGGTGCAGCCGCTAAAGTATCAAGGTCTGGCCGGAGCCGTCTCATCCATTCTGGTAAATCTGGCCATGTCTTTTTCGCTGTCAATCTCCGAAATCACAGCTCTTGAGGCAGAGAGCTCAATAGCTTTACCAAATCCTGGAAGTCCCGGTTTTGCGGCCGCAAAAGCGAAACAATCAATCTGGGGATTTCAAGCGGCTTTCATTTATGCTGCGGCATCAGCTGGGCTGGGACTCATCATCACTGTGCTCTTTGTACGGATATCGAGATCTGTCGTTGGCGGGAAGCCTGTTGATGAGCCGCGATCGGTTGAGGAGGCACGGAGGCCGACTTCTTCCGAGGCGCCTACTTTGGTCGTGCATGACGAGAAGATGGGAGAGAAATGAGATGGTTCTTTTTCATATTGTACATATTTAGAAAAGCGTGGAGAAGGCGGAAGGAGATGGACTTGGATCCGTTGTACATGTGAATTGGGATCGGGGGTAAGGAAAAGGAACAGGAAAAGGAGAGCCTCACGGCTACGCATACAGACGACTTGCTGCAAAGCAAACAGATTGAGAAACCAGACCACATTTAAGAGAGAAGCATTCCATTGCAACACATTTTCCCTCTTAGCACAAATCATCTTTGGGTTTCCTCCCTTTCATCAAGACGGCCTTAGGGTTAGGGCTGGGGTAGTGACACGACATTGAGACTTCGTCCAGACCATGTCAGAGCACTGGTATGAAATAGATGTCATGATTGATGTTAATTGAAGGTACTTTGAAACCGGAGATCGTGTTTTGGTCTTTCACTGCGACGCTCAACACTCTACTCTAAACGAGGTTACCGATATGATACCCAGGGGGCCTCTTGCAAGCACTATGCACGTTTTCGCGATAACTTGATCTGCAACACGCAGTAGCTGTGTGGCATACACTCGCGTGCATAGTGCACGTTTCGCACGTCAAGAAGGTTGAGATGCGTATGACTACCTATCGACAGGTCGTACAGGTACAACAGCATCTGTAGTCACTTTCCACGTCACAAGGACTAGGACGACAGCTTGCCATGAAAATTGATCATCGCCATCATTTCATGCTCAGTAAAATAACATTACAGTTTTATAAAAATGTACTTTTTGTCAATCCGCTCCTTTATGCAAATGCTTCACGCAAGACTTTCCCTCCCCACCCCTTTACTCAGGCGCAAACTTGCTCAATTTCCTGATTCTTGCACCGTAAATGTAGAACAAGATCGGCACGGGAAATAGTGCGACACAGAGGAATGCAAGCAAGCTCATTGCCCACGGAACGCCCAGGTTGTGGAACATGGGAGTCGCGAACCTGTTTTCTGCGTTAGCAACAGTCACGCATCTTACATCATTAATCAGACAGCACTCACATGGGAAATCCAGCGCCCACCCAACTTCGAAAGAAGGTATTCGCCGCAATAGCACTATTGGCATTCATTTTGTACACATCGATGATGTAGTTGAGACCTTGCAAGAAGATCATCATGATGCCCGCTCCGATTGGTGCGGCGGCGATGATTTGTGGCCAGGGAGTGATGTTTGGGTTGGAAGTCCATGCGAACCAGAAGAGACCTATGGGGAGAAGACCGCCACCGATGATCATGGGAAGGAGACGCTCTTCGGGAACGACGGCGCCGTTTTCTTTCATTTTGCGTGCGAAGCGCGTTTTGGTTAGGAAGGTGATTATGAGGCAGCCGCAGATGACACCGATGAGGACGGAGAGGAAGGGGAGGGAGCCGACGCCGAGGTTGTAGCCGCGTTGTTCTTGGAATGTTATTGGGAATACCTCAAAAAAACCATAGATGATGCCTGTAAAAAAGAAAAGGGTGTCAGCGTGCTTGCGTGAGGCTTTGATCAGAGGGGTAGAAGCGAACCGTAGATGAGCGCCATGTACAATGTGATCAAGACAAGAATCGGCTCGAGAGCCAACATCTTGAAAGGTCGAAGGATGTACTTCTCCGCAATCTCCTGCATGTCTACCTTCTTCTCGTCGGCGGGTGCACGCAAAGCCCAGTTCTTGGTCTCATATCGAAGCTTCTTCGCCTTGCGCTGAAGTAGAACYGGAGCGTACGTCTCTGGAATGACAATAAAACCAATGGTGCCGAACAAGGCCGCCATGATGAGTGTGATCCACTGCGTCCACCTCCATCCCAGGTAGCTCATTGTGATGAAACCTCCCATGATGGGTCCCAATGTAGGTCCAATGAAAGTCGCAGATCCGAACAAGCAGAGTGCCACGCCACGGTTGACGGGATCGAAAAAGTCGGCCAGAGAACCACCGATGATGGCTAGAGGAGCACTGGCGAAGAAGCCTCCGAAGAATCTACACACGAAGATCGTCTGGAGGTTCTGCGCTACAGCGACAGGGATCTGAAAGATGGCAAAGATTGCGTAGCCGATGAAGAGGGGCGTCTTTCGACCGTACAGCTCACTCAGTGGTCCCTGGTGTTCATCAGCATTGTTTCAAGGAGGACATCATGGAGATCACGCACCCAGACGATGGGACCAAAAGCAAATCCCAACACAAACAATGCCAATCCCAAAATCATGACCTCTGCGCTGACACCGAATTGCATGGCGGTGACCTGAGTGGCGCTGCTGAATACAGACGAGGCAAAAGTCACAACCAAAGTCATCAAACCCATACAGACTGCAATGGTCCATTTCCGAAGAGGGGACCAGTTCATTGGGTTTTCCTTGTCGTCTTCCGAGTCCCAATCGACGACGTTGGGATCTTTCTCTTCGTCTCCATCATCGTTCTTATCTCCTTTGGACTCCTTGTTCTGAGACTGCTTCTCGATATCGCGGTCTTCATTCGACTGGCCAGCTGCTCCCTCGGAGCTATCATCTTTGAGATCCTTCTCGTTGCGGTTCAGTGTGCTGCTGTGTGAGATATCCGATGCACGGGAAGCATCATGAGGAGACGAGACGATTCCATCAGGCGCGTATGTTTGACGCCCGCTTTCGGTGCGTATGATGCCCGTTCCGAGAGATTCCGTGGTAGCCATGATTGGCTAGGAGGAGTGAGAGTCCTTGTTGCTGGCACGTCGATGGAATGAGGAAATAAGAGAGGAATGAAAACGGACCTACCGACTATACTTTCAATTACGGCGCATGATGATGCCGCCTTCGTTGCCGCTTTGCTTGTGACGACATGGTTGGCTAAAAAGATTGCGACCTATTACATAGGCTTTGACTCGGAGGGGCGTCCGCTTAGTGCATGAAAGTAGTTCGTATGATCCCGCGGCGTTGGAAAGGGGGAATGCTTGACGGCGGAGACTTGCCTGTCCTTGCTTCGACACGAATCGCTCCAACCCACCACCGTACCATAGCTGGCCACCTCGTGGCTCCTTCTCTTCCTTACGCCGAATTAATTGAACAAACAACAAGACATTCATTGCTGCCGAACTCGGTGCCGAGTCGCGAGGAAAAGAACGGCAGTTCGAATAATGACGCGTGGACCACAGAGTTTAGAAGACATCGCCGCTCAAAATCAGATTCGATGTTGCATGGATCTACGATCGTGCCGGACCAGCCGGGGTCCGTCGAACCATTTCTACAAAGGGCAACCAACAAGACTATGTACATCGAAGTACGTGCGTGTGCATACATTATGTCTTGCCAACAACTCTACATACAACATGAGATCGTTCAGCTAATATATTTCTCTCAGACAGCCGGCCACTTATACGCCATCCACTTTCCCAAAGTCTCATTCCACGCTCCACCCTCAACTTGATTCCTCACCCACAAATCAACAAAGTTCTTCCACGCCTGATCCCGGGGCAACAAATATCCCAACTCCTCAAACGTCCACGGCTCCTCATTGACCATGCACAAACTCCCATTGCGCAAATTCACCTGCAACTCCACTTCAATCTTATCGCTCACCATGGCGTCTGCTGTTCCATCTATCACGGCTTGATATACAGCATTATTATCCTCCACTATAACAATCTCCGCATTCTGAAAATTTGCTCTGTCAAAAGCCTCATTCGTACCGCCCGGGTTGGCAGCGATCTTCACACCAGAAACATCCAGCGACTCGAAATCAGTGTATTTCTCCTTATCGGCACAGCGGATACATCCCGTCTTGCCCACGCGTTGCATCGAAGTGGAGAAGAACGCGGTCTTGGCGCGAGGGAGAGTGATGCTGACGCCGCCCATGGCAATGTCGAATTGATCAGCCGCCACGTCTTTGGTCAGGTTCGCCCAGACCGAGGGGACGAAGACGGGTGGGGATGGGAGGGATAGGGCGTTGGAGAGGGCTTGGGCCATGTCGATGTCGCCGCCAATGTAGGTCGTATTGAAGGAGGTGCCATTGGGGAGGGCGGTGGCGTCAGCGACCTTGTAGCTGAATGGCTTGTAGTCGCCTGTCGTGCCCACGCGAAGATATCCGCGAGTGATGATGGTATCGAGAAGGCTGGTCACGTTGGCGTACGAGAGTGAAGGAGAGGGCTCTTTCCACCCATACCCATACCCGTACCCGTTTTCATTCCCAAAGGCCAGACACACCAGAGGGGCGATCAAGCCGACGTGAGCGACCTTCATCATGACCGCGTCGAAGCACAATCTCCTAGAAGGGGTGCCGCCATCTCGCGTCAAGGACTGCGGTCAGACCTCGGGTACTGTCAGGCCGATGTATGCCCATTAGTGGAAAAGAGATGGAGAGATGGATGGACAAAGTAGGTAGATAGATTTCAGGTAACGCAAGTCTGAACTGGGTATTAACTTTTGGTCTTCGCAGCCACCAATCTTGTACCCCGTATCATGCCACAAGCCAACGCACACCTGCCCTCTAACAAAGAGAAATCCGCAATGCAACGCGCATCTTCCACAATTGCGTCTTCCCGGCACCGCTTCAATCATTAAAACTCCCGTTGTGTTAGTACTGCGTTCTGAATCGGGAAATCGCCGCGCCACTCCCCGCCTCAGTGTTGGGCACCACCAAGACTGTCATCATCCTCGTTCACTGTTGGCTGGCTAGGAGTCTGCTCCCTCACCATCCGGCTCTCAAGCTCCTTGAGCTGACTCTCGCGTGCCAGCAGCTCTTGCCTCTTCTCGTTGATCTCGCGCTGAACCTTGACTTCAATCTCCCTCAGCTTCTCCTCCTCGCGTCTGAGCTGCTCCTCCTTCAGGCGGACAGACTGGCTTGCCAGACTCTGTGGGTCCAGGCTGTCGTTCTCTGGGTTGATGCTGTTCTCGTTCGCGCTTGCGACGCTCTTAGAGAGCTTCTCGGTACGCCAGTTTTCGTAGAGGAAGTCGTGGGTGATTTCCTTGAGGTCTGCGAGGTGAGAGTGCAGGAGGGCGGAGCGGATAGCAAGGAAGTCCGAGTGACGGGGGTTGTCAACTTCAACAACTCCCCATGGGTACTGACGAGCGGCAGCCTTGCGACCGTCAATCTCGATAACCTCATCGGAGCCAACAATGGCAAATGGCATCAAGCCACGGAGCTCGGCATTCTCCTCCACGGTGTCCTCGTCATCCTCCTCGATGTCGTAGGGGAAGTTGTAGACGGGGATGCGGTAGTGCTCGATATCCTCCATGATCAGCTTCTTGTTCTCGGCCAGCTCGAGGGGAGTCAGAGAATCGGCCTTGCCAATGACGGGAATAACGTTGACGCGTGGGCTGAGTCGGCGCATGAGCTCAATGTCGAGTTCGCGAAGACCGTGGCCTGTCGATATGTCAGATGTGTGTAAGATGGGCAGAGGATGTTGGACTCACCGGTAGGTTGCACAAAGTAGAGGAGGACATGGACTCTGTTGTCACGGAATCGCGGGTTACGCTTGATTCTGCTCTCCTCAGCTAGGATGTCATCGTATTGACGCTCAAGGTAGCTCGCAATCTCGGTGAAGCATCCCTCATTGTCGATGCTGTCACCAAAACCGGGAGTGTCGACGATGGTGAGGGAAACACGGGTGCCTTCCTCGTCCAACTCAAGCTCCACGGTCACGGGCTTGATCTTAACGCCCTCCTCGAGATGCGCCGTTGTAGGGTTGTCAGCGTCGAGAGGTGTGAGGACCTGGCGGCCGCAGAGAGTGTTGACGAAGGTGGTACGACCAGTGCCTGATGCGCCGCAAACCATCAAGCTGAACTGGATGCCCTTCTTCACGTTCTTCTTGCGCCGCATCTTCATGGTGGACGTCTGGTGACGGGACATGGCCGACATGGTGGGCGGTGTGGTGCAGGTGATTGAGTGGATTATAAAGGGTTGGGCGGTGTCGGTTGAGTCAGGCGCGTTGGTGATGAAGTCTGGAGGTCAATGGCCGCAAGAACACGGGGCGTCGTAAATGCTTCAGGGAAATCTAAAGTCCAAGGGGCACTTCGGTTGCTGCAGGTGCCAGCTGGGCAGGGGATCGTCCGTTCCCGCCGCTAATTCACGACCCTTGATTTCGGTCTCTCTCGTTCGCAACCTCTCCGCTCTCTCGATTTTGTGAAGCCTACAATTTGGCAGCGTTTCTCAAAACATACCCACAGCCACCGTTTTTGGGCCAGTCGAGCTGTTTTTGACACATACTGTTGTACGGGCATCACGACGATGTCGGTCGCGATGAGGCCGCGAGCAAGATAGTTATCTCTCACGCCCGACCACAACATTTGACGGCCCAAACTACGCGTAGATGCATCAGTGGAGAGCATCGGAGGCGAGATGATTCTGTAACATCTCGCTCAAATGGAGCTTTGGGTTTGTCAATCGCTACGTGATTAGCGCTCCTCTTCCACAGCTTGCAATTGTTCCCCGCATCCCCCATCTCGCTGCCGTCCTCACAAACATCAGTTCAAAAAACGAAAAGTCAGCGAAAATGTCCGCAGATTTCTCCAACCACCCAGATTCAATCCAGAAGCCCGCGACTGAGCCAGCCAAGGATATCAAGAACTCGGCGGTGTTCATCTTCAACCATGGACTGGCAGACAGCGCAGCGGCCATTGAAAACATTGCAGATCAATTTCAGCAAGGCAACAAGCTTCCCTACATGTCCTGGGTTCTTCCCAATGCCAAACGCAATCCTGTTACCCTGGATACAGCCTGGTTCACTCCACATGGACTCCCCAGTCACGAACCGTCACGTCCAGAGCTGGTGCCCGAGGAAGACGAAGAAGGGATGATCGAGTCTTCCAAGTATCTGGAGTCCTTGATCGACGCTGCTGTGGCTGCTGGAACGCCTGTCAATCGTATTGTGCTGGGAGGCTTTAGTCAAGGAGGCGCGATGAGCTTACTCACACACATGAGGTCTTCCAAGTATAGTGGGAAGTTGGCCGGAATCGCTGCTTTGCTGACCTGGCTCCCGCTTGTTGACGGAAAGAAACGACTCCAAGAGATTCGCACAGAAGCCGGTCTGGACACGGCGCCAACAACGCCCATCTTTCTAGCTCGAGGCACCAAGGACGAATTCGTACCGAAGCGCGCATGGTTCTATTCTTTGGAAGCACTACTCGAGATTGGTGTCCCGGCAGAGGCGTTGGAGATTAATGAGTATCGCATCGGGCATACCGTGAATGGCCCTTTGATAAGGGATCTGTGCGCTTGGCTGGAGAAAGTGGTGCCCGCTCTCGAATGAGCAGTATTGTTTGGAAGAGCTGAATGGTAGCATGTAAGACTCTTCGAAATTTGATACACTGTATCTACAACATTGCTCAAGTTTTATGCCACATCATCGCAGCCACCGTGGCAGCCGGCGCAGCCCACAGACATGCTAGACCGGGATACATATCATGCTTAAAGTATTGATAACCCGTCACGATGCCGAATGCTACTTGTGCCCACACAATCACCTTCTCCTCTGTACCGACCGGACCTCCAGTCTTCGCCCACTTGAGACTCATCAAAGCTATATGCTTTGTTAGTTGATTGAAGGATCTCCGTTGGACGAAAGTGACGACGAACCAGAGGTGATTAACCACAAGTTGCAGTGCTGCCATGTTGGCGTTAACAATTTCTTCGCTTTCTCATTTGCAGTTCCGTGGATGGTTCGGACCGCAGGATCGATGCTTTTCATTCCAACACGAGTGTGCTTGGGAATTGTGGCAGCATATAGAAAGGCTGCGACATAGTGGAGAGTTGAGGGCTGGATAGACATCTTCAGTTAAGTCTTGTGAAGTTTTGTCGGGTTGTATGATGAAGAGGAACAACAACACCAGTCTACAATAGATGGAAGTGTACTATTACCGAGCCTCTAGAAGCACCACTATTTCCTCGGCACTCAACAATTGATGTGCAGTGAATGAATCCATATAGGCTTAGCTTACTTTAGTCATTACCCCGGAGTTACGGAGTCACTTCGGTCCCACTCCCCGGGCCTTGCCGAGTGGATCTTCCGCGTGCATACCGCTATCGCTTTGCCATGTGACATGAGCACGAACATGCTGGAACACGACTGCATCGCGTGCCCAGCAGATCATTTGTGTGTCGTCAACATCGAGTGCTTTACTGATCATCTTGGACAGCTACATTCACATCGCTCCGTATCCCGCGCCCGCCGGACTGGAAAGGTTCCGCCTTTACAAACTTCCCAACACCATGGCACGGTAACGAACTTCGGGCAACTCTCCACACCCAAGATTCGAATTTCCCATTGAAGTGTTGAGATTCTACCTGATCTTTCTGGCATTTCTCACAAGATGAACGCCCGCAGCGCTATTCAGCCGTCAAACACACCCGCCGTATTGTCCATATCCATCTCAGCATCTCGAAAACGACTTGTGACTGGTTTGAGTGATGGCTTCCGAATATTCCGCATGGACAACTGCCTGACAACATGTCAGCCCAAAGTTTCTGAAGGAGTCTCCATCGCGACTGCCCTGGATGATCGCTTCAGTGCGTATGTATCAACCCACAGGCAGCACGATTTGGGTGGACCGAATGTCGTGGTTTTCTACGATTCCGTCTTTGACAAGGAGCTGAGTCGCTTTGATCTTCACGAACCGATACTCGGGTTGAGGTTGACGACAAAATGGATGGCCGTTGTTCTGGCGGAGCGGACTGTCCTCTTCCAATATCAAGAGATTCCCTCTACCTCGCCATCAACCGGTGACGTAGTATTGCGGGCGCCAAATATCATTCACAGTCTCCACCCAACGACTTCAAATCCTTTCGCATTGGCGTGTCTGTCAAACAACTTGCTAGTACTTCCTGCACAAACCGCAGGCCAGCTCCAGCTCATTTCTCTAAAAGCGGACAACACAACTACCAAGCGGATCATCCGCGCACACAATTCCACCTTGCGATGCATCTCACTGTCTCAAGACGGATCTCTTGTTGCGACAGCTAGTGAGGTTGGAACACTGATCCGCATCTTTGGTACCAAATCCGTTGACCAGGTCGCCGAGTTCCGTCGGGGGATGGATCACGCGATTGTGTTCAATCTCGCCTTCAGCCCAGGAAACCGCTGGGTAGCGGCCACCAGCGATAAAGGAACTCTCCACCTATTTGACCTCCGACCGACAACGCCCGCCTCATCCACGGTGACGAAGGTAGAATCCAAACATCGTAAAACACCCTCATACACCTACAATACAGCAGGTCCAGGAGGACGTGTTGGAAACCCGGACCGCGAGTCCTCCATGTCGGTCCAGTCATCGAACATGGGTCGGTCCTCTCCCTCCCACGGTTCCGTACAAGAGTATTACGGCCTACGACCACCTCCTCTCTCAGCCGTCCCACCCGTACACTCCTCAACCTTCGCATCCTCGTTCAAATCCAGCTCTTTTGCCCCCAAGATCTTCAAGGACTCCCGTTCTGCAGCTTCCGCGCCCTTTTATATGGGAGACGAGCAAGCGAATTGGCAGACTGGTGGACCGGCGTACTCATGGACTACGGCGCCGAATGGAACGAGAAAAAGGATAGCGAATCCGGTGATGGGGCTGCCGAATGAGCCTAGCGGGAGGGCTGTGAAGGGCATCATGACTTTCGCTCCTTTGGATGGAAAGACGGAGGTGGAGGAGAGTGCGGTGGTGTATGTTATTGGAGGAGGAGCAGATGCGAGGTGGGAGAAGTTTGAGATGAGAAGGGATGCTGGTGGGGAGTGGAGATTGGTGAATTTGGGATTCAGAAGGTTCTTGACTAGGCAGTTTGCTGATTGATGAGATGTTGGATTGATGATGCGTGCAGTCGAGGGGGCTGGGTGTGAGATAGTGTGAGATAGCATGGGAATGGTATACAGGCGTATAATGGGGAGGCGGAGTGTCACAACTTGTGTATAGAGCTGTATTGAATGGGAATGAGTCTCGTTGCCGCAGAGTTTTTGTGTTGRTTATCATGGCTGTGAGGACTATAGCAGCTATACCTTGGCTCTCATCCTGCTAGCCAATTCTGCAATCTTTATTTCATTCACATGCGTGAACCGGAGCCAAGTCCGGAAATCCATCACCTCCCAAGCGCGATCTCCACGCGTCAGCTTGCACCACCACCACCACTTCAACAAACCTCACACAACAAACACAACACAACACCACGCCACACAACAACAACAACAACAACGAGATGGGCACCGACATCCAACTCTCCTCCCTCGCAACCCTCCTCCCCGACGAAGAAGCCAATTTCTTCCGCGACAACGTCTGCGACCTCCTCCGCGACCGCAAACGCCGCTTCCCCGGCGCGCAACCCGTCTCCTTCACACGCGCCCACCTCCACGAACTCACCCAACGCGACTACTTTCTGGTGGAGAAGACGGACGGACTGCGCTGTTTATTATACTGCCATCAATTTTCCGGAGAGAATGGGAGTCCGCCACAGGAAGCGCAGTTTTTGATTGATAGGAAGAATGCATATTGGTATATTCCTTCGGGGTACTTGCATTTACCGCCTCCAGCCGCGAATCCTAAAGCCGTACCGCCTTATGAGAATCACAGTTGGCATTTGAATACCTTGTTGGATGGGGAATTGGTGCGGCAGAGATTTGGGAATGGCAAGGAACAATTGACGTTTTTGATCTTTGATCTACTGGCGCTGGATGGGGAGAGTATGACGGCGCGGGATTATGGGCAACGCATTGCGAAGATTGATCGGAGTATCATACGGCCTTGGGAGGCTTTTGCGAAGGATTGGCCGGAGGAGGCGGCGGTGCAGCCGTTTCAGCTGGCGTTGAAGAGACCGCAGGCGCCGTATGGGACGGAGATGATGTTCAAGGAGTTGATTCCCAAGTTGCCGCATGGGAATGATGGGTTGATTTTCACGTGCAAGGATACGGGGTATGTGTGTGGGACGGATGACAAGATTTTGAAGTGGAAGCCTCCGCATGAGAATTCGGTGGATTTTCGACTGCGGTTGGGTGCGTTTCCCATGGTGACGGGGGAAGATGGTGAGGTTTATGAGGATTTCGATGGGAAGCCGGAGATTTCGTTGATGATTTACGAGGGCGATCGGAAAGCGGAGGGGTACACACATTTTGGGTACTTGCATCTTGAAGATGCCGAGTGGGAGGCCATGAAGGGGATGCAGCAGATGTTTGATTGGAGGATTTTGGAGTGCTGGAGGGATGCGGAGACGGGAAGGTGGAGGCCGAAGATTGAAAAGGATGGGACGCCGAGATTCCGTGATGACAAGGAACATGCCAATCACGTTAGTGTCGTGACGAGTGTCATTCAGAGCATCGAGGATGCTGTTACCGAGGAGGATTTGATTGCTGCCGCGGGGAAGATCAAGGCGGCTTGGAAGGAGAGGGAGAGATTGAAGGAGAAGGCTGTGAGGGAGGCCAAGGAGAAGGCTATGAGGGAGGCGAAGGAGAGGGCGGGGCAGCAACAGCAACAACAACATCCACAACAGCAACAACATCCACAACAACCACAACAACAGCAGCAGCCTCCACAGCAGAGATTGGCAGCGCCCGCTCCGCAGCCGATGAGGAAGGTTAGTCCTGATGAGGATGGGCCGGGGTACACGGACTAGATGGGTGCTGAGGGAGGCAGGAGAGTGGTGGTCCTTTGATGAATATGATATGATACCCTGAACGACTGGAGGTGTAATGAATGATCTATGTAGATTTGTACGAATAGCATGGAGACGGTGGAATGCCAGAACGATCTTTATTCAATTGTCGACGCTCGTGTGTTGCTGAGCTCCTTGATGGTGTTGGTTATTCCATATAGGACGATATCATTGACGATATATTCACTCGTCTTGATTAGCTTCCTTCTGATCGGCATTGGAATGTGGGTCCGTCTCCGGCGGGCCATATGCAGCAAAAAGACACAAGGAAAGTCGCGGTCATAGACGCCAGCTTCGACACGTCAAAAGACAGGAAAACATCCCCAGTCCTCCTTCCACCGCCACAACGGCCAATCCATCGCCACAACACCACAAAAACACATAAGAAATCAACAACAATGGCGACGTCCAGCAGCACCATCTGCAAAAGCTGCCTCCGCACCCTCACTCGCGGGCAACGGCAACAATTCCGCCCAACATCCGCCCTCCGCACTCTCACCACATCCCCCCGTCTCTCCGCCAAACCAGAAGCCACCCCTCCCCCACCACCACCACCGCCTCCTCCGAAAGCGTCGACACCAGACTCGGCCTTTAGCAATCTCGCCGCCACACTCCGCAAAGCCGCCCCGCGAAGCACCACAGAACCATACATTGCCTACGGCAGCACCGAAGATCTCTTCGCCGAATGCGCCCGACAAGCAGATTACACGGTCCCGCAAGCCCTGCTGCAACCTCCTCAACCCCCACCTCAAAATGCCGCGGGCGATCACCTGGGAGTCGGACAGGGATGGTGGTTGACCCCGAAATCCGAGGGAGGATTGGGTTTGGATGCTACGTTCAATTCCTGGGCGCAGGTCTGTATGCTACACATGTACATTTTGACGGTGCGATTGCGGGCTTTCCCGCCTGAAGTTGTGGGAGCGTGGCATCAGAATTTGTTGGATCATTTCTTCTACAAGGCCGAGGATAAAATGGTCATGTGGCATGAGATGTCGAGTCGGACGAGTCGGAATAGTGCGTTGAAGCAGATTTGGTTGCAGTGGAGAGGGGTGCAGTTGGGGTATGATGAGGGTTTGGTGCGAGGGGATGCCGTTTTCGCCGGCGCCGTGTGGAGGAATCTGTTCAAGGGGCAGGAAGGGGTGGATGTGGGGGATTTGGTAAGGGTGAGTGCCTATATTCGACGCGAGATTTGGAAGTCGGGGAAGGTGGGGGATGAGGTGGTTTATGAGGGGAGGGTCAAGTTTGGGGATCCCAAGGATGTGGAGGTGTCGGGCAAGGCGCAGGGGGTGGGGAGGGCGTTTGATGAGGAGGATTTGAGGGCGCTGAAGGCGGTCCAGGGTGGGAAGATGGAGAAGGAGAAGAAGTGAGCATACATGTTCATGAGAGTACATGAGAGTATCTCCATCCCCAAAGTGCTGCAAGAGGCGCAGGCAGCGTCAGTCTCGCAGTCGACGCTGTCCAAGCAGAGGAACGATTGGTGTATAACTAGAATGTACAACACCCATAGAGCCCCCCTCCACTACGGCTCGCAGATGGACGGCATGGAACTGAACAACAGACTTCTGAACAGCAGGTCTGGATTATCAAGACATCCCACGAGCAGATGTCTACTAATCGCGATATGATTCTTACGTTGCTTTCTCACTTACATGCATCCCTTCCTTCTCTCTCCTTGCGTGGGTGTACTCTCACAACTCATCCACTTTCAAACATTCAACCACCATCCCTTTAATTGCCCTTCTCCGCACCCATCTCAGTGGTGAGCAAAAAAACAAGTCGTATCGATCATAATCAGTGTCCTGAAAGCTTTTATTCTCTTGTCCTTTCCATCCCAGCACAGCATTTTTACGATCATTGAGGCTGAGTGATTCTCGGCTTGCTGCACAAAAACCAGACAAACCTGCTACCAGGTATTGAATTAAGCGCGTACAGCCTCTGCATCCGGATACAATGAGCAAGTGCGAGCCAGAAGAATCAGCGAATCATGGCTGGCGACTTAGCTACAATCGGATAAATAATGATCCAAAACGGAGTTGTAACTCAACAAAAAAAAACAAGAGCCAGAAGTTTACTACGCGCTTGGAGAGAGAGGAGAAGTATGGTGCTTTGTGGATCTTCTCAAAAATCACTGACTTATGCATTCGCTCGTGTTTGGCATTCCTGCTTACATCCTGTCTCCTTTCAGACCGATGGATTGAGAACGAGATTGCTGTGATTCCCTATCTCCACACAGCCCCTTCGTATTACGGTTGTGTGCTCGTAGTAATTGAACGCCGGCCGAAGGGTCTAAGGACAAATGGCGCTACTACTAGCTATCTATATACGCTTCGGCTTTTCGGCTTTGGCTTGGCATTTGCCCTCCTCTATATACTTTACTATTAAATACTATTTAATATTAGGAGGAAGAGTGGGAGGTTTATCGTATCGCTTATCCGAACAGTCTAGTAGACTTATTATTGCTAAAATACGTAGAAAATTATCGAATCTAGATAGGGGAGGGTAAGGCTGTTTTTACGAAGCGTACTTAGCGTTTCAACCTCGTAGTAGTTAGAGCTCGTATTTTCTATAAATGTTTCGATTAAACAGTATCTGTTAAACGTTCTTGACTATAGCTAGAACCGACGCTTTGTCGCATCTACCTAACTTTTAGCGTTCTAGTAGTACTATATTTAGGGAGGTCTTTTTAGAGAGGGTCGAAGCGCATATAGCCAGTAGCAGCGCCATTTGTCCTTAGGCGCTCCGTAAAGAGACCTAAATGACCGTACCTACCTACTCTACACGAACCTATACTCATCTTTTCCACGACATCTCGAATTCGACTACGCTCTAATTTCGGAAGAACTACGGAGCCCCTGTTCGGAGGTAGGTGAATACGTGATCTCGGATACTGTCACCGAACCCTAACTTTTGACCTCACTCTTATTTCAACCTCCGCAGAAGAATTGAAGCATTGAAGCCCGTACGTCCCTTGTATACTATTTAGCAGGTGGCAGGTAGTGGTGTTGTTACCTACTTCCTTCAACAGTTTCAAAGATATATTCACGTGATTACGTCAGAGGTCGAAATTCTTCTGTGGGGCGCCTGATAAAAGGCAGCCTTGCCTACCTTCTCTATCTAGTTTCCACCAAGGTCACTTCCTGGCACGTACGTACGATTTAGTCACTAGATCAAGAGTCTTAAAATTGTACGAGGTGGTTGATTGATTGATTGACGCATCTTTTAAAAACAAGTGGAAGCAAAGAGTAAGCTCTCCTTATCCCTGACGGTCGTGTGATGGAGACGAACACCCCACCTCTTCATCCCGTGCTTAAACCTGCCGAAAACACCTGCCATTGGCCGCCCGAGTTCCCATGTCTACTCGTCGTAGCGTGCGTCCAGATCAACGCCTCGATGTAAGCCGCTTAGAGATCGCAGATCTAAAAGGATGTTAGAGCTCCTGCAGCTGTGCGAATACTTGTGGTGTGTAACATACCCCATCATAGTTTCCATCCCTGTTGCATGTACCGTCCTGGCGGCCATGCTCCCACTCATAGCTGCAGCCACATGCAGCGCCAGGTCTTCCCACGCAGTCGTTGGTGTAGCAGGTAGCAGCGGTTTGATGCACAATGGCGAAGACCAAGGCCATCAAGTTGAGGATAGAGTAACGCATGGTTGTTGAAGTTCAGGGGTGGAGATTTGTAGTGATTGTGATTGTGTCTTGACTGGATAGGTGATGAGGAGTGTGAGAAAGAAAGTGAATGTTGGGTCTAGATGGTTCAATTTGTAGTCCTTCCACCTCACAGTGAAGTGCGTCTTCGTCCCGGCGAGTCAGTATCTTTCGTTGTGATATGTTCCATGTATTCCGGAACGACAGCACCTTCGTGCATCGGAGTGGTAAAACGCTATAACCCTAGTAGCCTCGAACAGAGTGTGTCGGCAATGGCAATCCTCGGAAGCAGTGTAAACCGGGTTCGTCAGCTGCCGTCTTCTAGCGTTCTATCACTCCGATGCACGAAGGTGCTGTAGAGCTAGAGCTCGCCGTTCAGGCCCGAATCCATAGGGGCATAGACCCTTCTTGGAAACAACTGCAACATGTGGGCTTGCGAGGGCTTCATCGTCAGCCAGAAATTGCCATGTACCAGAATTTGTACAAATCCCAACTTTCTGATTACGATACCTCCTGATACGCGTTCTTTGTTCGCAGAGGAGATGAAAATGGACGATATCGTGTATACCGTCAAAGAGCCCGTACCTTGCGCGGCTATTGCACCTCTACTACGGACACCGAAGGCTGGTCCATACAAGGGAAAGTCTGCGGGACATTGCAGTGAATCTGGGCTATTCAGAGCGTAATTTGAGTGCGTGTAGCTGACGCTCTGAATCAATCAAGTGTTTGGTAGCAGTTGAGAGAAAGTGTGGGGATCTTCGCAGAGGTTTTGCGGTTGCGATTGTGCCTGCCCAAAATTCCCAGGGAGAAGCCTGGGCGCCGGGCTTTGCGCGGCAAATTCAGGGAGAATCAGGTGTTGTAAATTTGTCTTACTTTGCTTCTGCATATGGATGCGATCGGGGGATATTCTGGTTCTACAGGAACAGTTCTCTGCTGAAAGGCGAGATTTTGCTGCATGTGCACATGTGTCTACGGAACAAGTGAATTCAATATGTAATGTCCGGAATAGATAGAGAGGGTCGCGGTACTGGCGGGAGGTCAGAACACGTATGTGTTCCCCTCCACTCCCACGCTATCTAAATAAACGAGTAAATCGATATGCTTATCGTTACATAGCATTCTTTTCCCGCTACGTCTTCTCCCGTTATTCAATCCCTCAAACCAGCCAAATTCATAATAGATCCACTCSAAAGCAGTTCTAGAACTTGTAAGWTTTCCCGTCTCTCTAGCAATCCAATTCCGGATCTCGATGGCGACCAGCGAGACGAGACTCAAGGATTCCAGAGTATGCGTCGATTCGATAGAGTTGGCCGGAAGAACGAGCACGGCAGAGATCTTGAGCGCCAGCGCCTGGGAAAGAGTCGCCTGGGCGATATCCTTCGACTCGGCGTTTTTGATCTGTTTGAGTAGTGGAACACCAACAGCATCCTTGCCACCGGCATCCTCACAGGAAGGTTCGATGCTTTCTCGAAGGAGAGCGAATTTCCCGTCCTGAGGCCCGTGACGCATTGTCCATCGCACGATTCTTGCATCATGCCTGTCAAGGCTGCGGAGAGAAGAGCCAAGACTTCTGATTCATCAACAGTCTGAGCATCAATGTTCTTGAGCACTTCTTGCCGCCTGGCAACGCTTCCATCGGCGAGATAAAGTAGCCAATGTTTGATACGGCTGCCAAGTCGATGCTAATGCCTGGAAGGTCCTGCGAGCGTCGCCATTATTGCATGAAAGAATCGATGAAGATGTTTGCTGCCCCGCGTACGCGGCTTGGCCTCGGTTTCCGACGAAAAGGCGATGGACGAAAAGGCGATGAAGAAGTCCAGAGCCTGCCTCCTTCTCAGACGCTCTTGTGTTCATTCTTTCTGTGCATGTTGTGTTGTACCTACCCTACCTACTGGGGGGGTACTTACCCTACCTGACTAGGGGGTACTTAACCCTCTGTATATGTTATATGCGGGGGTCTTTTTAGGGCAAGCCAAGGAAGCCGAACTCCGATTAATAAGCGACGGGCGGGCGGCAATCCAAGGTCTGAGAAGGAGGTATTTAGTCCAGAGCATGACATTGAAGCGAGCTGTGCAGAGTCTGTGGGCCTTTGACCTTGCCATCTCGTGACGTTGTGGAAAGTCCCCCAAGTTGCATTTGCTCGAAGATTGCATCCTGTTCCGCCCAGACTACTATAGCATAACACATAATGAACCAATCATCTGGCAGTTGAACTTACTTACCTTCAAGAACATAGCCGCATGAAGACACCACAGATAGGCGCAAGTTCCCGCGAGATACCTTCAATCAGCTCATGTGCCGACCCCTTCTCGGAGACGTCGCAAGATCGCACAATCATCCTAGTATCTTCAAAATCAGGTCATGTGCAAGATCGAGAACTTTCGTATTGCCACAGGCGTTACGTGATGTGAGGACAATGTTGCGGGCACCGTTGGAAGACTACATTTTGCTATGCTCCGTCCCAGGCCGCCGGTTCCGCCGATGATGCCATCCCGTACGGCTCTGGCCTATTTCAGCCATGTAATCGTTTGATCAGTACTCAGGTGGGTGACCACTGGGGAATCCGAAATGTTGAATGTACATCTATCTTTTTGTTTTGTTTTGCTCTGTCTACATCCTGATAACATGATTCCCGCTTCACGCCCTGACGATGTTGTTCGTTGTGTCCTCGACACCTTTGACAGTCAATCCCGACCAGGAGAACAATCATGTCTCATTCTACGTACTTTAACGTTAACGTAAACTTCATGCGCGAGAAAAGAAATAGAGTACAGGTCGACGTTCTACAAAGAAAGTCTCTTCCTGCGATCTTGGTGCTGCTTCTCCTTGACAGACAGTCTTATCCATTCATCGCTAAATATAACGATGCTATGGGTCCAATGTTCGCTTCTATATCATCATATATCTTTCAACTAATCATCGATCATCTACCTATGTATAACTTGCACCACAAGTAAATTCCAAGGCCGAGAAAACCCTAGTTACCCTATGACCTCTCTACAACATATACGCAAAGTAGCAATATCGCACTCCTACAACGAACCCCTCAAATCCCCTAAGCCCACCGAATCCCCTTTATTAAGCTCTTCACACATCCCTCCCTAGAATTTCCTTTGTCTCCCAAAAACAAAAGTCGCATCCCAATCCGCATGCGGCGAAATTTATTCTTAAAGAACACATCCTCCTAACAGATAGGTCTTCTTTCTCCCCAACAAATCTACACTCTCAAAGTAATCCACCTCAGCACAAACATATATACATAACCCGCCACCAAAAAAAAAAAACATAAAATGACTATGCAATCGGGATTCAACACTCCAACCTACCGCCGCCGCAGTTCTAGTCGACCTCGAAGACCCGAACGACCATTCGAAAGCCCTTATCGTCGCTGCTTCGTTGCACCGTTCGTATACCCCTGCACCTTGTCTCTAATAGACATTCAACTAACAAACCAAAATTAGTCGATCTGCACAATTTGGAGACGTCCCCTCCGACTATCCCGGAGCAGGTGATAATACTTTGCAACAATCTCCTCCCGCTGTCAATAATGGAGAAATATTTGCCCAGCGAGGAGAAGAAAGCCCTACGATAGATGCTTTGATGAAGAAGTTGCAGCAGACGGAGGATCATTTAAAAGGGGCTTTGGTGTGGATTGCAGTGTTAATTTTTGTGATTGTGTGGTTGCTTTGGTCGTAGGATTTAGTGTGATGGAGAGGATGGAGAGATTCTTTTGAAATTGTTCATTCTTTCTTCAACGAGAACTTTTTGACACTAGAAATAAACATGCCGTAGGAATCGAGCCGTGATTGTTCTTTAGATTGCTCAATCATCATCATCGCCTCCGTGATCCGAGGGTGGAAACTCCCAATCCGACGCATTCTAGATGCCTAGGCGGTAGGATGCGTGTACGTTTCGCGGAAAGTGGAAGTAGGGAGATTAAGCGGCTGAGTTGGGCGACACAGATGTCGGTGGTGCCAGGGAGGCCGGTTGATCTACGCTTTCGACGTTCGACGGCAGAGGTCTTTACACGCTATGTTTGAGTTCTTAATCGGGGCGGGAGTTGTCCACTGTTGCGATTCCCGGGGAAGAAGAGGAGGTACGAAAGGAATGGAGAAGCGTGGTTTTGGTATAGGAAAGCCGYACTTGTTCAAATTACTATCTCGCGTTCCGTGTGCTCCAATCTGGCCATGTCTCTTGATATCATCTGAGATGTCGAATTCAGTGTAGTGACATACTTCCGAGATCACCTCCCAAGAAGTAGTTGACGAGCGCAGCTGCCTCGACTCGGAGAGTGATTTCGCCGTCGCCAGCCGATTGTGCATCTTGGTGATGTTTGTGGCAATCGGTGGATTGTGCTCGTGTGATGGTTTGCTCCCGAGAGTTTTCGTGTGCCTAATTCGGGATGTAACGTCATCTTGTCGCAAAAAGGCCGCGGCTGAACACGCGTCGCAGAGTTTCCAAAGTGCTTGTCTGTCGTGGTGACAAAAGCGCCTCCAAGTTTTCTTACGTTGCGCGATCGATGGATGAGTGATGTCGATTTAACAACCCTTTTCCTGCTTGCCATTCAATCAATACCTCTCCAATCCGCATTCCACTATCGCAGTGAGTGTCCGACCTAAATGRCCATCAATTCAATCGTCTGAATGACCTGGAGATAGAATCCACAGGACAATGGCTGCTTCTTCCACCAGTGATGTCTTGCTTTACTTGCTCGGTGGGTATCCCTCCGAGAATTACAAGATCAATAATATCGAGAGTACTGATTCGTGGAATGTTAGCAATCTTCATCCCGCCACTCGCCGTTGTCCTCAAGCGAGGCTGCACAGCGGACTTTTTGATTAACATCCTGCTGACAATATTGGGCTGGATTCCAGGTGAGTCTGCAAACCTTGGAATGCTTATGCTCTCCGAGGGAGATTGATGGAGAGGTGTCTGTAGGTGTTATCCATGCTTGGTATGTCATCTCCAAGCACGATCCTGCTGCCATGTAGCGAGATCCGAGAAATGGAGGATAAGAAGTGTATGAGGGTGGGAGATGGGAACCTTGGAAGTTATGTCTGGTGGGGGAAGAGAAGGCATGATACCCAGCTGCCCGTGATCACGACACAAATCAGTTGTGTATACTAGGAAGACTTCAAGGCGGTATACTTATTGATAGCCTCTTGATAGCGTTACTCCTTCACTTCTAGGTAGTTGTCTTGTCTGGGTGTGATGATGGCGTCGAGGTTCCATGCAGGCACTTCCGCTGCGGGCGGCTACTCCCGCCATTCGAGCTCGTCACCACCGAGCATGTTTCCGAGTTCGCCTCATCATCACCAATCACTCCATTACTCATACATTTCCACCAACAACCCACYACCTTCCTCCCACCAACACCACGAATGGTAGTTCTGGAGTGATCTTGTACCCTGGAGCCGCCTTTCGCCATCAACCCGCTCAATCCTCACCATGGCAGGCCTCCTCCGCCCCCAGACGCTGGGCCGCTCCCCACGCCGCCTTCTCGACGCCGCCACTTTGTCACAGGTTCTCGCACGACGACCGCAATCTCTCCCTCGACCCCTCTACGCATATGCGAGGAGCAGAACGTACGCGACGGGCCCCAGCGGGTCCAAGGAACCACAGAAGGATGACAAGACCTCGTCATCGCCCAAAGGAATGGAGCATTTGTACTCGCAGAGCTCGCCCATGTCTTCGGGTCCTTCACCACCGGGAAAAAAGCCAGATGGTGAAGAAGATGCTCCTCTTCCAGGCCGCACCAAGATTACGGCCCGCGAGGCAAAGGCGCTGGACGACACTTTAAATCTGGTTAAGAAGGGCATGCCCGCTTCCATGGCCGCAGATATTGACAAGGCCATTGAACGGATAAAGAAAGAGGGCATGCCGGTGGAGCTGCGGGAGACGATTGAAGAAGTCGGGAGGGAGGGTCTATCGCCGGCCCGTGCCTCGAAGCTGTGGCGGTTGACGACCACCATTGCACGACAGACGGTGGAGAAGGAGTGGAGTGAGAAGACGGACGGCAAGCCGCAGCAAAAGACTGCCGACGACCCGGGCCCGGCGGGCGCCAAGCAGGGCAAGGAGAAGAGTGGCAACAAGAAGAAGATGCCCGAGATGGAMGGCGTTGCCATCAAGATCGACTTGCAGACCGTTCTCCTCTCCACCTTTGCCACCTTCATGCTCTACCGTTTTTTCGCTCCCAGTGATAACAGCCGGGAGATTACATGGCAGGAGTTCCGCAACACCTTCTTCGACAAGGGTCTGGTGGAGAAGCTGGTGGTTGTGAACGGCAATCGCGTGCGTGTCCACCTTCACCGCGAGAGTGTCGCTTCAATGTACCCCGAGTCACCTGCGGCACAGCCCAACTTCCACTACTACTTCAGCATTGGATCTGTGGAGGCCTTTGAAAGGAGGGTGGATGAGGCACAGGCGGAGTTGGGCATTCCTCAAACGGAGAGGATACCCGTCTCCTACCATGAGGAAGGCAGCTGGGCGAACACCCTCTTCGCCTTTGGCCCCACATTACTCTTCATCGGAGCCATCATGTACATGTCGAAGCGAGCGGCGAGCGGCGGCGGTGGAGGTGGCAGTGGAATTTTCGGCATGGGCAAGAGCCGAGCGAAGAAGTTCAACCACGAGACCGACATCAAAGTCAAGTTTTCCGACGTTGCGGGGATGGACGAGGCTAAATTGGAGATTATGGAGTTTGTGAGCTTCTTGAAGACACCCGATGTCTATCAAAAGTTGGGCGCAAAGATCCCTCGTGGCGCCATTCTGTCTGGCCCTCCCGGAACTGGTAAAACCCTCTTGGCCAAGGCCACTGCAGGAGAGAGTGGCGTGCCTTTTTTCTCCGTCTCGGGATCGGAATTCGTGGAGATGTTTGTCGGTGTTGGTCCCAGTCGTGTACGTGATCTCTTCGCCAACGCACGGAAGAACACACCTTGTATCATCTTCATTGATGAGATCGACGCGATTGGAAAAGCTCGTTCCAAGTCCAACTTTGGCGGTGGCAACGATGAGCGTGAGAGCACCCTCAATCAGATCCTCACCGAAATGGACGGTTTCAACACATCAGAGCAGGTCGTCGTACTGGCAGGTACCAACCGAGCAGACGTCCTCGACAAAGCTTTGATGCGTCCTGGACGATTCGACCGACACATCAGCATTGACCCACCCACCATGGACGGACGAAAGCAAATTTTCGGCGTTCATCTCAAGAACATTGTCACCAATGAGGATGTCGAGTACTTGAAGGGTCGTCTCTCAGCCCTCACTCCGGGATTCTCCGGTGCAGACATTGCCAACTGTGTAAACGAGGCCGCTCTCATCGGCGCACGAGCCAAGGCGGAATCCGTCACCATGGCTCACTTTGAGCAAGCCATTGAGCGTGTCATTGGTGGACTTGAAAAGAAGAGCATGGTACTCAGTCCCAAAGACAAGAAGACAGTCGCCTACCACGAAGCCGGGCACGCCATCTGTGGATGGTACTTCCAATACGCGGATCCTTTGTTGAAGGTCAGCATCATTCCCCGTGGATCTGGCGCCCTCGGCTACGCACAGTACCTTCCTGGAGGCGGCAACGATGAAGTGTTGATGAACGTCAAGCAATTGATGGATCGTATGGCCATGACTCTGGGAGGACGTGTCAGTGAAGAATTGCACTTTGACACGGTCACATCTGGAGCCAGTGATGATTTCAAAAAGGTGACGAGGATGGCAAACGCCATGGTGACCAAATGGGGCATGTCGAATCTGGGTTACATCTACTACCCCGATTCCGGCGAGTCATCGGAAGCGCAGTTCCAGAAACCCTTTGCCGAGAGCACGGCAATGGCTATTGATGCCGAGGTCAAGACGATTGTCAATGAAGCGTACAAGCAATGTCGAACGCTGCTCGAGGAGAAGAAGAAGGAGGTCGGGATGGTCGCCGAGGAGTTGTTGAAATTGGAGGTACTTTCCCGTGATGACATGGTTCGACTACTTGGACCCCGACCTTTTGCCGATGCAGGAGAGTTCTCCAAGTACTTTGGTGGAAGTGGTGAGGCGGGAGGGATTGTTCCCCCGACGCCTGGCGCAACGACTGGAGAGCCTGGTAAGGGAGAGGCTCCTAGTGGGGATTTGCCTCCAGAGTTGGGTGGTGGACCGGGGCAGGCTGCTCCTACCATGTTCAAGAGGCAGTGAAGAGATGATGAAGAATGAGAGTGGAGGATTGAGAGGTCTGGGGTAACAATAGATGGATGCCGCTCCGAATACCGACTGTACCCAACCTGAAACAAGCATCACAGAGCCCCAAGAGGACGTAACGTGCAGTGGTCTCTTGGTTGTATTTACTGGCCACTTTTGATGGGTGGTCAACAAGCATACATTCGTGATGGAGCGTGTATAGAAGGAAAGAAAGAAGGAAAGAAAGAAGGGCAGAAGCAAAGGCAATATTCTAGCCTGGCGTTCCTAGGGGAAAGGAAGGATTGAATGGGTTGAAGGGGCATGCATACTACTGCATTGATTGATTGATTGATTGACTGACTTGCTGTCGGGTGTAGGAATCTATCTATACATACTCCACTACTACCTTTTTTTTATTCATGTGTATTATTACTTGTACTGTGTGTTGATCAATGCTGAGGTACTTAAGAAGGACTTGCATGTCGACGCTTACGATACATCATAGGCTAGGGTTGGTATTGCAGACAACGAACCACCAAAGAATTCTCAAAAACCAGATATAAAAGTTTTTCCTCCCCTCCTTCATCAAAATCCATTCCAATGCTTCTTCTCCTCCCTCTCCACTTGCCTCCTCCCCGCACTACTCCCCCCAAGCATATCCCACGCCTCCCCACTCCCTCCTCCCTCAGCCGGTCTAACGCCCGGATTCCACCCCGTCTCCCCTCCACTTCCTCCTCCCTCAACCGGTTTATTAACCCCAGGATTCCACCCCTGTCCCCCATCCCTCTTCTGCACATGCATCTGTCCCCCAACCAATTCCTGCATCCCTCCCATCCAAGCTCCGACTCTCTCCCACACACTCCCCGCTTTCCTTCCTTTGGCAATGAACATCTTGCGCTCCATCATTTCCCCTCTCTTGTTTTCCATGACGGCAGGTTGTTTCAACGCCAAGATTTCAAAATCTATGAATCCTGCTGTTGTGAAGAGATTTTGTAATTCTTCGGGGGAGAAACCGTGGTGTTCGATTGTTTTTTGCATATCTTCTGAACTGTCATCGTTGTGGTTGTTGTGATTATGAGGAGAAAAAGGTAAAAAATCCACGATAACAAGCACGCCTGTCAAAGATTTCRATCGCTCGGCTAGGCGAGAGAGAGCCAGGGCTGGGTTTTCGAAATGATGAAATCCCAAACCGATGACTGCCAGGTCGAAATTGGAGAATTCGGGTGTGGTGAATTGTTCGGGGACACCGGAGGGGTCGAGGAGGTCGCCGGAAAGGGCGTAGGTTCCGGAACCTTGGAAGGCTGTGTTGTAGAGGGATACCATTTGGGGGGAGAGGTCTATTGCGCGGGTTTGGGTGACGCTGATATTTTCATTGGTTATTATTATTGTTATGTTTCTTGATTGGGGTTGGGATGTGATGTGATATGATATGACTTTCACACATGTAGATTTATGATGATGAGAGGAAAGGAAAGGAAAGGGAAAGGAAAGGGAGACAAACATACAACGGTTCCAAAGCTCGACTCACATTCCCCGTCCCAGCAGCAAAATCCAATAATTTGACTTGTTTTTCATCATCCTCATCCTTCTTATCCCGTCTTTCAGGATCAAGAAGCATGGGGGAAATCCATTCTCTCCTCGCACGCAAGGCTTCGATGATTTGAGCCGAGAGGGCTTTTTGCCAGGGTTTGGTGTCGTAGGTGGAGGCACTTTCGCTGGGAGATGATCTTATTAGCTTATGATTYATTGGTAGGTTGGATGATGGGGAGATGGTTACTCGAATGCTACGCGGTTGGCTTCTGTGAAGGCGGACATTATTGTTGAGGGGGATGATTTTGGTTTATTCACGCCGAGGGAAAATGTTCTGAGATGGATGGGGGTCGAGATGTTTGGGTCTTTCAATCTTCTACCTCCAATCGTTATGGCAAGGTATGTTTCCGCCTCTGGATCGTTTGGATGATGTAATGACTGGGGATGAGTGAGGTGAGGTGAGGTGAGGTGGGGAGAGGGGAAGCACGCAAGATGCAGGTACCTTCCATATTTCTTGCAGATCTCTCCGGTGAGCCGTCCAAAGTCTCCATGCCACATTGATGAAGGAATTTGGAAGGGGAAAGTAGAAAAGAGTTTTGATCATTTCTGTTGAAGGTACTATTATTTCGTACAATCGAACCAAGTTATTACAATCCACCATCACGAAGCTCCCCCATCCACTCCCTCCACTCCTCTACATCACCATTTAGTAAATACCCGGCAAGATGCGCCATCTCACCTTCTCGCAATACCGCTCCCAATCCTTGCCATACTTCCTCTTACATTTCGCCTCGTCTCTCCCCTCACGATGGATCAACAAAATGGCGAAATACAACATGTAAAAGTAGGTAATGGGAGTGCCCCACCACTTCATCCCTTCGACACTCACGATCCTCGTTCCCGGCCAGAGGAGGGAATCGGTCAGTCGGTATCCCGCAGCGAGAGTGGGAAGACAATAGGCCCAGGACATGAACCAGTCTCCCAGGTAATTGATGTGTCGGGCCGTTCCCCACCATCCACTGGTCAACAGTCGACTCCCCGAGGCCGTTTCAATGTACTTGAGGTGGGCGACGCGCGAGTCGGTGGGGTCGGTGCGGAAGCGGTTCTTCTCGTTGTTGGAGGCGCGGAAGATGTAGTAGCCGGAGAATTGCACGGCGAGGATGGCGGCCATGTACCAGGGACCCAGCATGATGGGGTGGACGGCGAGATAGCGGGCCTGGATGGTGTAGGTGAAGGGCACCCACACCAAATCGCCAAAGGAAAGCATGAAGCCGAAGCCATCGGTGGTGAGATCCATGGTGGTGAGGATGGCGGCTTCGTTGAAGAGGGCATCTAGGATGTAGACGGACTGGGAGATGCAGACCATCAGCATGGAATCCGTCACGTATCCGTACGAGCGGTATTGCTTGGCCATCCACGCAAAGTCCAGCACCATCCATCCAATCATTCCCGGGCGGAGTTCCATGAAAGATTTGATGTCGATTTCGCCGAAGAAGGGAAGGTTACAGCGTGGGTTGAGTTCTCGGCCGATGTACCAGTCGTAGATGATGTTGCCCGAATGTCCTCCCGCCGCCAACTCCCGCATTTCATTGTTGCTTGGCTTGACGGAGAAGGAACGGATGTAGACCCAGTTGGCAAGGGCGTAGGAGATGATGATGTTGCAGGTCAGGAGTTGGATGTAGTTGCGGTCGATGAACGTCCACACCGCGAAGTCGCCGCCTTGCACCACGCTGCCCGCGGCGAGGACGACGAAGATGGTGACGGCGGAGAGGAAGGCTGGGTGGTGTTGTTAGTGGTGAAGAAGATGTTGTAATGGTGGATTGCATGCTCACCATTGAAGCGATATCTCAATCTCCCTCCACTCCTCAACTCGGTCCCCTCGACTTCTTCCGCCGGCAACAGCACATACAACAACAGACTAATGCCATACCACGCCAACGTGCCCAACACAGCGGGCGTGTTGATCAATCCCGCCCACCCGGGCCATCCCACCTCTGCCGCCAGCGTATTCAGGCCATTGCTCCATCCATTCTCCACCAATTTCGTGGGCGAGAGGAGGGAAGGCGCGGGACATCCGGAAACATCGTTGCAGAGAAAGGCAAAGGCGTAGCAGCCGATGGGAAGACCAAAGGAGATGAGAAAGGCTCCAATTCTGCAGGCGAGGAAGGAACGCGTCAGTCGGCTTGTGGGTTGAAGATGCAATCAATGCAGGATAGATACAACATACGGTCCACCAAATTCCATTCCATGCGCTTCTTCCTTGATCGCGCGTTTCTCCATCTTGTCTTGCTTGAAAGTGAATCACAACAAGAGAAAGGCGGGAAGGCAGGGAAATGCGCGAAATATATTCGTCGCGTCCATCGTACGAGTTGCACAAAAGCATGTCGTACGATGACGTTGTGCATTTCAAACGTTCCAGCCCACGACCCCTGTCAATCTCCATCAATATTTAGACGGGCCAAGAAAATAAACCCCCTGCCTTGCTTCCCTTTTCACATGCAAAACTCCCGGGCGTCATCATGCAATGTCTTGCATGCCACATTTGTACAAAGCAGCATCTTCCAAGCTTCATAGTTTGCGAAGACGGCAAATTGCTCGCTGCGATCCACATACATTCACCCTCCACTGGAGAATGGCGTGCCATGGCGCAGACATGCGTAGATTTCGCAGCTCAAATGACATTGGCGCACCGTACGCTGAGGCCGGCCGACCGTCGCTGGGAACTCAACAGGTCGGCAAGCGATGTTAGATACGAGCGCAGCAGAGTCAGTTGGACATCATCGGTCGGGGAGTCTTACATATTCCCGCGTCCCGTCGTGATTGTGAGGGCGGAGCCGTTGGTTTGTAACAGAGTGAGAATTAAGAGGATTTTCCAACCGAAAAGACCTTTGCGTGATGGCAGTAACCCAAGGGAAGGAATGAGAGTCAGAGTGTAAGATGCTAGCTCTGTGATTGCTAAAACCAGAAAAGGGGAGGGTGGCATATTGAGACTCAATTTACAGAATTGAGAGGTAGATATCTGGTGAGCGAGGCTCGATTTCCGTTCTCTTCCCAGGAGATGAGAAGAAATCTCATCAGGAAACTGAACTGGTGGCATTGGTTTCGCACTCTTATGATACATGAGATCAGTCCGCATACCTCATAGCGAGAAATAGTTCGTGGTCTACATACGCATTTTCTCCTGATTTCTTCGATTCGAAATGGCAAGATAGATCACCTCACTCAGGGCGCAACAACAGTAAGGTAGCAAGTGCAAATCCATCGATTATCTTTTTCTCCTTCTGGTAGGTCTCGCTCGCACAATCCCTATGTACTTGCCTTCAACGATCACCCATTGATCGATCGTATAATGTAAAGAGACCTTTGCAAGGCGAGAGAATGTGTAATGGCATACTAGTAGTATTCATCTGTGTAATCATATCATAACCCCTTACTACAGAGCTCGAAGCAGCGCATACTGCTTCTGCGAGCTATTATGCTCTGCGGACTGATCCCGCAACGAGCGCCCCTCTCCTGTAAGCAACTCTCAATCCTCAGCAAAACTAGCGTCAAGCAAACTTCCATCCTGACTCTCACTCCTCTCCATCTCCGGCGCAGCGGTACTCTGCGAGACAATACTAGTCGTACTCCCCACCCTCTGCAACTTCTGCCTCTTCTTAAAATGCCCCGCCTCTTCCTCCTCTCCCTCCTCCCCGTCCTCCCGCTCCCTCTTCCCATCCGCCCCTCTAACCGGCGAACTTCCCCCCACAGCACCCTTGACCCCCAAACTCTTCAACACTCCTCCTCCCTTCTTAACCTTCTCCTTCAGCCCCTTCTTCAACAACTTCTTCCGAACACCCCCACCCTTGCCCTCTCCCTCCTCCCCATCCTCCTCAACCTCCAAATTCGGCGTCGCACCCCGACTCCCCTGCTGACTTCCCCCGATTTTAGCGGCCGCCTCCCTCCCAGCTTTCCTCCCACTCAATCCCATACACTGTTCCAAATGCTTCGCAAACCTCGTAATCAACAAACTCCTCTTACAACTCGGACAAGTATGCCAGGGAACATACTCTCCCTTCCTCAGCTTCTCGTCAATCTTACTGGCTTTCTTCTCCCCCTTTGCGACACTTCCAATGCCCCCATCGGCGTCGGGGGAAGGCGGTCCAGTCCCTTCTTCACTTGCAGGTGTTCCATTCGCAGCTGCTTTAGATTGCGCCTCTCGTTCTTTCTTCGTCAAGGGACGACCCGTGACGTCGGATTTGAGGAATGGGTTGCCGTAGATGTCGTGTCCGGGTCGCCGGGCCCAGGGTTTCCTGTCGCAGTAATTCGTCGTCGCTGGGGGTTCCGCTGTGGCGCCACGGACGCCAGGTGCGAGGGGCGGATCTAGTAGTCTGGGGAGTTTGCAAGTTGAACAGTGGGGGAGACGAGTCGTCGGGTCGAGAGAGGCGAGCAGCATTTTGTGAGCGCGATGTTGGTGGATGAGGATCTCGTGGGTGATATTTTGTAGCGCATCCTCGAGGATCTTTTGCGCGATTTCCCGAAGACTTGCGGAGGTGGAAGTCGACATTGTGAGAGTGAGGTTGTCTGCCCTATTGATGTTGCAAGAATACCTAATGTATGTGTGAATGTCCGGGGTTCGGGGATGGCTGTCGAAGCTCAAGGGCGAGCTTCGGCGGATCTTAAATTTAGGCTTGCGGGTAGATCTGCCGGGACGCGAGAGTGGGTCTATACCGATGGAGGGTGACAGGGATGTGGATTGAAGATTGTCTCGTTGTGATCAGATTCCGATTTGGAAAAAATCATGATCAGAAAGACAGCTCTGAAGTCAGAAATGAAGACGAAGTGACATAGATTGAGATGTTTGCGTGGAGCAAGCATCTTCCGCGACGCGCTAATGATCAACACTCCAGCAGATCTAAGCATGGTAAAGCTCCATGGGCGGCTCAACCATCACATCCGGTACATTTCCGACCCCTTTCACGAGGCGAGATGATGCCAACTGCAGACGAACAGCATGTTATCAGATATGGCAATGGAACTCCCGGGATGTCATGTAAGCGGTCGGGCCGAGAATTGTGGGGCTATACAGCCCTTCTCCTCCCTCGCCTCCATGTTCACAACATCCGCTCCGTTTGACATCATCGAAAAGCTTCGGTCTGCTCGCATAGCAGCCTGCATATAACAGTCTTACCCATCACTCACCTCTGTAGCTACGGCGGGTTTCCTTCGGGATTTTTAACCAAGTCAAAAAAGAAAACACAGACTCTCAATCTACATCCCTCAACATCTGGACCTCCGACCTCATCACAATGTTGATGCCATCTCAACCTCCCTCAATAGAAGAACCCTACTTCAACCTCGGCCTCTATTCGCGTCCCATCACAACCACCTCTCTAGAAGCCCAAATCTGGTTCGACCGTGGCCTTCTCTGGACCTATGCATTCAACCATGAAGAAGCAATCCGCTGCTTCGAATATGCCCTCGAATTCGATCCCCAATGCATCATGGCGCTCTGGGGTCTAGCATACGCTTTGGGACCCAACTACAACAAACCCTGGGAAGCCTTTGGCGAAGGAGAACGTATCAACCATCTGCAAAGAGCCAGTCTCGCAGTGACAGAAGCAGAGGCTCTAATAGATCCTATGGAGGACACCGAAACTGAGCAGGAACTTATCAAAGCTCTCCGACGCAGATATCCCTCAAACACTGAAGCTGAGGATTATGAAAAATGGAATCAAGACTACGCGAATTACATGTCTACTCTTCACATCACCGCGAGCCGAGATCTGGATATCGTAGCTCTCTACGCCGACTCCCTTATGAATCTCACTCCTTGGTCTCTATGGGATATTCATACGAACTTACCAACTGAAGGAGCACATACTCTGGAAGTGAAAGAAATTTTAGAGTCTGCCCTCGCTTTGAAATTTGGAAACGATCATCCAGGCCTTCTACATCTCTACATTCATCTCATGGAAATGTCACCTTCTCCAGATTCCGCTCTACCGATAGCGAATCGTTTACGAGGACTGGTTCCTGATGCCGGCCATCTGGAACACATGCCCACGCACTTGGATGTCCTTTGCGGGGACTGGGAAAGCGCAATAACTTCCAACACATCCGCCATTGCAGCCGATGAAAAGTACCTGAAAGTCGCCGGACCATTGAACTTCTACAGCCTATACAGAGCACACAACCTCCATTTCAAAATCTACGCGGCCATGTTCGCAGGGCAGTACAAGATCGCTTTGGAAACAGCAGAAGCTATAGAGCAAGCCCTGCCGCTGGAATTATTACAAGTCGAGAACCCACCAATGGCAGACTGGTTAGAAAGTTTCGTGGGATTAAAAGTGCACGTCTTTGTAAGATTTGGGAAATGGGAACATCTCCTCCGCATACCTCTCCCAGAAAACCAAGAGATATATTGCGTAACCACCGCGCTCTTACACTATGGTCGAGGAATCGCATTCTCTGTCCTCGGAAAACTTGCAGAAGCAAAAGACTCGAAGAAATCCTTCGAAGAATCCCGAGCCAAAGTCCCAGATTCGCGGACCTTGTTCAATAACACCGCGAAAGATATCTTAGCRATAGCCGCCTCGATGCTATCAGGAGAATTCTCCTACCGCTCCGGAGAAATCGCAATGGGATTCGAATATCTGCAGAAAGCTCTCACGCAGAGTGATAAACTCCCTTACGATGAACCTTGGGGTTGGATGCAACCTCCCCGACACGCTTATGGAGCATTACTCTTGGAACAGGGAAAAGTTGAGGAGGCGAAAGAAGTGTATGCGGCAGATTTGGGGTTGAGTGATGTTTTGCCTAGGGCGCTGAGACATCCGAAGAATGTGTGGGCTTTGCATGGGTATTGTGAGTGTTTGAGGCGGTTGGGGAGGAGGGATCAGGGGCTGGAAGCGGAGTTGGAGGGCATGATGGGGAGGACGGATGTTTTGGTTCGGGCGTCTTGTTTTTGTCGGAGGGAGGGAGGAGGTTGAAATGGGAGTTGGTTGGGAGGGATACTGGTATGGTTCAAAGAGGGTATCATCATCTGGTTCCAATTCTGCTCAAGGCGTGCAGGTTCTGTGAGTTCATCGCAGTCTTCCGCAATTGAAATCTGGATCGCACAGCAGGAAGTCCGCGGTCCCTTTCATTTGCTGCAAGCATACTGCAAAAGCCAGACAACGAGTCACCTCAAACAGTAGCGCAATTGCCGACGGAGGAACACCACAGAACAGAGCAACTCATCGCCTTTATGTCAATGTTTGAGTGTGTATTACTCAATGCCTATCAGAGGAAGCATCTAATCATTATCAACTCCATTAACTCCTTGCTAATCCGCAGGATTTTTCGCACCCAATGCCAATGAAAGAAAAGACTCATACGAAAGGATCGTTCCCAACCAACACCCTGCCTGGCCAATACACACCATGATCTGACAAAGGAGAAAGAAGTTCGTCGTCGTCGTCGTTGTCKTCATCTTCAAGATCTCAGTCCAGGCCACTCGTCATGCCCATCCCAAGGACGACAACGTTCAGCGCCTCTTGATAAAAGGGCTGGGCATCTCCTCCCCGTGCACCTCCGCCCTCCACTTGGCAGGACTTCGGCCGTGTAGTTCGACCAGTGTCCGGCCTCTCACGGGTGCGCGATTCTCCTTCTCAGCCGCAACGCTGAAGATGTTCCTCTTCAGCGGCACTTCGCCTCTCAGCTCTCCCTTTCCGGTCTCTCCAGTGTGCACGACTCGTCGTGGACTCAGTCCCAAGCCTTTGTAAGGGCTAGGAGACGCCATGTGGACATCCATGGGCGAGTCTCGCACGTTGAAGTTGCAGTTTGCAAGAGTCTTGGCCCGAGTAAATGGCTTACGGACTGCCTTCTTTGGGGGTGGCTTCATGCGGCGGTTTGCAAGCGGAGAAGCCTCGTTCTCATCCGGCTCTTCGGGGAGTGTGTCGTAGAGAGATAGGCTGGTGAGGTCTGTGTCAATGGGGAGGGAATCCTCGAGAACTTCAGGAAGTGAAGAAGTGTCGGACTCAGGCAGCTTGCTGGAGAAAGAGGCAAACGCTGCGGTGGTTTGTTTGTTGCCCGGAGGTGGCGTGCTGGACCGGATATGGGAAGATGCCGGGTCCAACTGCTGACTTGCCGGGAGGGATGCAAGATGGAGCGCCAATTTCTCTTCCGCACGCTGATCAATGGCCGCTTCAAACTGGGCAAGAAGCTGAGTGCGGTGCTTGTCTGAAGCTTCCTGCACTTTCTGGTCGATGGCGAGCGTAGCACGGGCATGCCACTCCATCTCAACCTTCTTGTTTGCCTCTTTCAGCTTTGTGACTTCAACTTGCAAGTCTGAAATGAGCTTCTGCGCGGCGGTGAGCTTGCCCGAGATGGCATCTCTCTCGCGCACGACCTTGTCCATTTGTCCGAGAGCTTCAGCCTGCTCCAGACGAGTTCGAGCGACCTTGATGTTGGCGAAACTCAACAGCTGTGCGCAGTCCGGGCGCTGACGAGGATCGGTCTTGAGACACCAAGATATAGCATCGGTCAGGTCTTGGCTGTATTGGGAAGGGAGAGGCTTGATACGGCCATTCTTGATCTTCAGCACTAGCTCCATATGGGATCGTGCTTCGAAAGGGACTTGACGAGATGCAAGCTCGTAGATGATGCAACCCAGAGACCATATGTCAGAGTGATGAGAGTAGCGCTCGGCGGCGCAAATCTCAGGTGACATGTAGAAGGGAGTGCCGACGTATGTGCTGGCAAAGTCGTGCGAGGCGATGATCTTGGACAGGCCGAAGTCACCCAGCTTGACGCTGTTGTTCTCTCCAAGGAAGACTGTAGTTCCAGGTCAGTGTGATGATGGATGTTGAGGATGAAGGATATGATGTACTCACCATTCTCAGGCTTCAAATCACGATGCAGGATGACGGTATGGCCCTGCTTGCTCACCAACGTCTTGCCCTTCCGCGCATCACCCTCCTTGCCCGCCGGTGGGGGATCCTCGCCATAGTGGCATCGATACAGCGCGCTGACCAACTGTGCAAAGATGGTCCAAACAAAATCCTCATCCGCCAAACGGTTCCTCTCCTTCAGCTTTCGAATGTAGCCACCCAAATCGCCATTCCCACAATACTCCATATACAAATGTAGGTCATGACTTGACTTGAGATGCTGTCGATGACAGTACTGTACAATATTGGGATGTCTCAGACTCTCCAAGATGCGAAGCTCGGCATGCAATTGCTCTTTTTCCCGATCCGACATGCGCGTGTAGGAAATTTCCTTCCGACAGAGAACCTCGCCATCGCCCTTGCGTCTTACCTTTCGAATCACACCAAAGGAACCCTGTCCAATCTTCTCCAGAACTTCGTAGTCGGCATCGGTCGCCATGATGGTATTGGTAGTGGTGTAGTGGTAGTTGTAGTTCTGGTGTCTGTCACTGCGTGTAATGAGAGTCTAGATATGTCGAGCATAAGAAGCCCTTCCGGAGGTCCTGTTTTCTGAGAGGGAGGGCGATGTTGGCATTGATTGATTGATGCAAGCTGGATATGAAGTGATGTAAGTGGGAGCAAAACGGTGTTTACTTGGTTGTCTTTCCCTGGCAACCGTTGTCCCGCACATGGCCGAGCGGTCGTTACCGCCGGAAGTTCGGAGCTAAAATCGGCATTCTTCGCAACGGGTGACTGTCAGTGGCGCTCATCGTCATGATCGAGATCGCGGGGCTGAGATCGAGCATCGTAGAATCCCAAAAAGGCGTTGTTGGAAGCACATTGAACGGTGTTGTCGCCGTGAGGATTCCGTGTCGTCCGGACTCCCGATCATATCTAACTACTATTCCTAGTGCCCCTCTCACGACAACGCATGAGACATCCGAGCCATGTCGCAGGGTATTCGGAGCAAGCCCCAGCTAGAAAAGGCGCTGTATGAAGAGAAGAAGGAAATTTCTTCGGGCAGGTTGAAGGAGGAGAATCCTCTCGACACGAGCGTGGAATTCCGCAAGTTTTGTGAGGCGTGCAGAAGAGGCGACTTGAAAGTGTGTCAGGAGCAGATTTCGACGGGCATTAACATCAACGCCCGGGATGAGTATGATTATACACCATTGATTCTCGTGAGTGTAGCAGTGAAGCATGACAGATAACAGGGAAAAGAGCTGATGGCTGATGTAGCAGGGTACAGGCATCTCTTTGCGGGCATTATGAAGTCGCTCAGATGTTGCTCGAGCAGGGCGCCCTCTGCGAACGAGATACCTTCCAAGGCGAACGATGTCTATACAACGCCCTGAACGATCGCATTCGAAATCTGCTGCTGCAGTACGATTACTCCAAATCGACCGATCCACTCCAACCGTTGGCGGCTCACATCACATCTCTTCTCACAAGAGAAGTGCCCAAGACGACGGACATCACAGTACATGCTGGAGGGGAGACGTTCGAGCTACACAAGTTCTTGCTGTCTGCGAGGAGTCCATATTTTGCGGGAAAGCTGGCTGCTGCACCCGAGACAACATCATGGAAGCTATCAAATGTCATCCCGGCACAGTCATTCGAGACGTGCATTCGATATCTATACATGAGCGAGGTGGGAGCCGATTTGGGGGATGGCGAAGAAGCAAAAGCGATATTGCTGGGCATCGACAAGCTGAGTCGGCAGTTGGRGATTCAGCAAGTGTTTGAAGATTTGCTAGCATCAGGAGACAGACGACAGGCAAGACATCGCAGAACGGCCGAAGTGGAACGAGCACGCGATCAACTCTCAGCATGGTTTGAGGCGAATGTCGTAGGAAACAAGATGCAGGTCGACAGCGACAGAGCTGACGCTGTGAAATGGGATCGCGATAACAGCATCTTCGCCGATGTCCTCCTTCGAGCCGACTATGAAGACGAACAGGAAGAAGACGAGGAAGCACCCAAAACACGCACCACATCCGGCCCTCTAAATGGAATTCCTATCGGAAACTTCGGCCAGCAATCCCGCTCTCCCTCCCGAAAACCATCCTCAAAGAGATCGGTTCTCTTTCCTTGCCATCGAGCAATGCTGCTCCGCTCAGAGGTCTTTGCGACAATGTTCTCTTCTTCCTTCCGCGAAGCCCAGAATTCTCCCCACCTCCAAATCGTCCCTGTAGATTGCTCACCCGAAGTCCTCGAGATGATTCTCACATTCCTCTATACTGAAAAGGCGGACTTCCCTCTATCCATCGCTCTGGATGTCCTCACTGCGGCAGACATGCTCTTTATCGAGAAATTAAAACAGCGAGCCGCTTTGCTCATCTCAACCCTCGGCAATGGAGGAGCCAGTGTCGTCGAGTCGGAAAATCCTCGCGGCGAAACAACCGCAGAAGAAGAAGAGACTCTAGATATCTATGATGTTATCCGCGCCGGCTGGGACACCCGCGTCCACCGTCTTGAAGAATTCGGAGCAAGATACATCGCCTATCGTCTAGAACGTTACATCGATGCTGAAGAATTCAAGACTCTAGTACAGGAAAGTGCGGCGAGGATCCAAGGGCGACAGGAAACCGATACCGTAGAGTTGGTGGATGACATACGCTACTATTTGAGTGAGAGGTTCCGATTACGGTTTGAAGATGCGGGCTTGGATGAGATGATGGAGGAGACCATTCCCGGTCAGTTCGCACAGTTGGCCACAGGGCATCAACCTGAAGATTTAAAGGAAGAAGAGCAGGCAGTGGAGGCAGGAGACGTGCAAGTGGAGAATTTAGAAGGACATGGAGTGGTAAGGACACTGGATGGAGAGATTGCTGGTGATGAATTCGCGCAGGATGCCATCAATTATCAAATCTTGTTGGGCAAGATTGAGACTTTGATGGAGGGGCTGGGTTTGGATGGATAGACCGACAATGGACTGCATAGATATAGACTGCATACAGCGAGGTGGTCCTGGCTCTGCAGCTCTCTTTCTTGCCACTCATCTCCATCGACTCGCAACGCATACACGAACAAGCATCACGTCCTCCCTCTTATATCTATAGGGAGCCAAGACGTCTAAAGTGTATGCTAGATCAAAGTCAAAATCTCCCGCTCGATTCTGTTCGTTTCTGCTCATCAAATTCGTCCCACTTTTACTACTTTTCTGCGTTGACAGAGCGAGCAGAAATCTAATCAGCTGGCTGGCATTGGGTGCCAACTGACATCCAGCAGAAGATACAATATATCGTTTCTACAAGTAGCGAAATAACAGATCATCACTTTCTGGAAGGTATTGAAGCACGCTTGGCAAGGCAATCGTTCGCTCGGAGACATGCCACGAGGAAACCGTTCAGCAACGATATCGAACGCTACACACGCAACGCGTCCGTTGAAGGACGCAGTGCCTACTCTTGGTAACTATTGAACGTTTCCAGGTGCCGAAAAAGCGAAAAATGACGTTGGCGGTTGTCGTCGTCCTTTCAAAAGGTGGAAACCCTTCSTCATTCCGAACGCTTCCGGCCAACACTACTTACATGTATGCATGCACGATGGAACTGCATGAAAGTGAAAGGCAAGTCCATGGTATTTCGTGCTGTTTACTTCATTCTTACAGTCTGCAAACACTTCTCAACTTACATCCAAACTCTCTGAGCGATCACGCTTGACTTCTCACACAACACCAAAACTTCCGTCTTCTTCGCCATGTCTGAAGTCAAGAAGCCATTCAAGACCCTCGACTTCAAGTGTGCCCTCGTAACCGGCGGAGCAGGTGGACTCGGAAGGGCTTTCGCAGAGCACTTCCTCTCCCTCTACAAGAACGTCATCATCGCCGGCCGCACAGAATCCAAATTGCAAGCCGCAGTAAAGGAAATGAAAGAGAACAAAGAACTCCACGGCGAGATTTCCTACTATATTCTCGACACCGGCGACCTGGCCTCTCTCCCCACGTTCATTTCCAAAATCACCTCCGAGCACCCAGATCTCGACTGTCTAGTCAACAACGCCGGAGTCCAGAGACCTCTAGATGTCAACAACATGAAGCCCGAAGACTTCCTCTCCAAAGCCGACCAAGAGATCGCGATCAATGTCAACGGACCCATCCATCTCGCCGTTGGCCTCCTCCCACATTTCAGGCAAAAGGAAGGCGCCGTCATCATGAATGTCTCCAGCGTGCTGGGTTATGTCCCCTTTTCCATCATCAACCCCGTCTACAATGGCACGAAAAGCATGGTTCACTTCTGGACCATGAACCTCCGTACTCAACTCTCCAAAACCACTGCCGAAGGCGGAAACAGAATCAAAGTCGTGGAGATTGTGCCGCCGACTGTGGAGACGGAGTTACATCGCGAGAGGGAGAATCCGGATGACAATAAGAAGGAGGCGAATGCCGCTGCGTTGTCGATTGGAGAGTTCATGCGGGATGTGAAGCATGGATGGGAACAGGATCGGGATGTTGTGGCGGCTGGGATGGGGATGGGGCTTTCGGATAGTTGGTATGAGACTTTTGGGGCGGATTATGAGAAGGCTGCTTCGGGGTAATTCTTGCCGAGATTATGGAGTTGTTGTTGGTAGCTGTATGCAGGTCATGTATGTGGAAAAGTTGGAGCATCCATAGGGTTAGGGTTTGGGTAGTGTGCTCACTTTTTCTTTCGCTCTTTTGACCATTGTGCAGTGTGCACATTCCCTACTCGTCTGCAGCGCTTCCAAGCGCATGGAGTATACATCTTAATCAAGAAGGGGCGTTATCAAATGTGTTCAGGACACATGGAGAAAAAAAAGCATGCCGAGATTACAGCAGAGAACACGACCAATTCTTTCACAGCACAACGAGCAAGTTATTTTGCGTTCGCTCAACCCGAAATGGATCTACTGTCTACCGAAACACTGACGCTCTTCAGTCAACTCAAAGAATCATACGTATAAGGTCCACCGTAAACGAGCATCTCTCCATCCTCCTTCTCAAACCATCGAGGCTTCCCGTCATCCTCGCGAGCAAACCATATATCTTTCAGTAGATACTGTGTCATGCTACGGCAATCGATCACTTGTACCCGCGGGAGTATCATTGGCGCGTGGGAGATTCTAATCTTCGTTTTCGAGCTGTGTTCCTCACCTGATGCAAGATGGTCCAGCTTTGTGATGAGGGTACGCGATTCACGGATCAATCCGTCCAATAATTGAGTTTGTGTGGCCTTTCCGGAGCACATGAAAGATCCGTGTGTGTCGTTGAGAGACTCGTGGGCATGATCTGACATGGATTGCGGCGAGTGGAGTTTGATGATGAGGCATTTGAGCTTCACATCTTTTGCTTTCACGTTTCGGAGGCCTAGTATGTCTGATGTACGTCAGCCATATTGGGATATCGAACGCGTTGCTACAAGTTACGAGCACTTACCTGGACATAACCGTGTCATCCTTAAACGTACGTCCCGTATCCGAGGTAGCACATCTGCGACCATGTGGCATATGTGATCGTCACCCAGCAATTCCGTTCCATGTGTATCCAAAGTGAGCGAGACCAGGTTGTGGACGACAGGCAGGTTCAGCAGTAGCTTCGATATTGTACCCACATACATGTAGTCGCGATGCGGTATTCGGACTGTCTCATGACGAGGCTCTGATCTTGCCTCCACAATCACACTCTCAAGGGCTTCAAAGCGTCGCAGATCGGAGAAAAGTTCATCAAGGCAGGGCTTGAGCTGAACATCTCGCCACGCATCCAAGGCTTTTACAATCGTTGATGGATCTTCATTCCGGTTGTAAGGCGGTGAATTCCAGGTAGTGTATTCACAAATTTCGTCGGCTTGGGCGGTGGCTTCGTCCCAGGGATGGCCCAATAGATGGATGCGAACCTCCCTGGTATTTTTGTGCATCAAATGCCGGATGGGACGGAAGCCGGCATAGCCGAACTGGCTGCGTAGAGTATCGATGTTGTGCCCATAGAGGTTGACATGTGAGGTAGCGAAGCCAGAGGTATAGATTGGTAGAGCTGCCGTATACCAGACCCTACAGACCGCAAGTCGTGCACTTCCTCCTCCTCGTCGAAGCTCGCGCCCGCCAACCTTCTCTAGAATAAGGATCAAGAGCTCGATGGGAAGGTCCAGCAGCGACGCCATCAGATGAAGTATTGTGTATGTGGAGGAAAAGTTGATTGTAGGGATGACGACAGTAGAAATTGAAATGAGAAAGTTGTAAAGTATCTACTCGGCATACCACCTGGAAATATTATATTTGATCAAGATCTTGGGAGGATCACCCTACCGGCGACTCCGTGAAGGATGTATGGCAAATACGACGCGTGAAGAAATTGCATTGCACGGTGCAACGCGGAATCACCGTACGAGCAGCCGTACGTAGCATGCAGGGTAGCGATTGGCATGCTCCAGTGGCCAAAGGTGTGTGTGCTGCTGAACACTTCACGCTGACAGCAGTGAGGTGTGCCGTCGAAACGCGTTGTTGAAGAGCAAGGTGGTGGCGGAGGCGCACGGAAAGGAGCGTGCCTCCCACGAGGCGAGACGCGGCGATCTCTTGGCTCTTGATCTGCGACCAACGTCAGCTGTCTCGAGCTCAGGAACACCACCACAACTTGTACGTTGGAGAACAGTTGCCCCCATCGAACAGCGCTTGTCGGCAGACCCCGCTGAATCAATACGGCAGTGATTTTGCCCCCCATGGTTTGTCTCCGTATGACATTCCACTCCCACCTCCAACTCTGACCTGTTCCAGTCCCAATCCCTCCGACCGTACCTGTCCTGCGTGCGCTCGACTCTCACAGCAGCACTCTCTCTGTCGAACTTTGCCTCACAAGCCTCCGAACGACACAATGTTCCCGAAATCGAGGCAAAGACATCCCCCGAAGTCGTCCTGAACCCTCTCACCGTATCCCGCAACCAAGAAGAGCGCGTGCTAGTGGAGCCCTCAGTGAACAGCGTGCGGGTCAGCATACGGATAAAACAGGCGGATGAGATTGAGCATATTCTGGTCCACAAATTCACGCGCTTCTTGACTCAGAGAGCGGAGGCGTTCTTCATTCTGCGGAGAAAGCCGGTTCCTGTATGTGTAAAGGCATTGGGAAGTTTACAACGTGTGGACTGACGGGAGAACAGGGCTATGATATTTCCTTCTTGATCACCAACTTCCACACCGAAGAGATGCTGAAGCATAAGCTTGTGGACTTTATCATCCAATTCATGGAGGAAGTGGACAAGGAGATCTCCGAGATGAAGCTCTTCGTGAGGATCGACGACTCGCGGCGTGGAAAAATAAGGCTAACATCTCTTCAGTTGAATGCACGAGCACGTTTTGTGGCGGAGAGCTTTTTGACTCCGGTACGTATCTGTCGAGATTTTGCTTAAAAATGACTGCATACTGACAATCACACCAATGTAGTTCGACTGAGAAGTCAAGGCTAGAAACTGCCGCGTCCACTGAACTGTTTGAGCACTTCGTAGACTTGGGGGGGATATGGCAGGCCAGTAGAGGCCCACGAGCTCATGATGATGATAAAGCCGAAAAGATGTAGAGGCACATCCATGCTGGTCGCAGCGCTCCCTTCTGGACTCCGCTCGACTACAGCCATCACGAAATAGCAAAATGATTCAAATGCTAGCTAGCTACATGGAATGAATCCTTCCGTATGGATTTCATGTTGGTTGAATAGCCCACACCGCCATTGGCGAACAGGTCACAAAGAGGAAGAATCTCATTGCCTGGAAGTCCACTCGTCCATCCGTCCATTCGCGGCATCTTCGCGGGGTGATRTCGTCGTCGCCAGCGCAACGGAACCGGGACCGGGATCTGCCGCGCACTTGCAAATTTGGTATGACTCTATTGCTGCCATCGCCTCCCCCTCCCTCCCCCCTCACCTCTCCGACACACACCGCTTCTCAACCACACTGGCCTACCGCCCTCATCCGGCCGCCATCCTCCTTCTCTTGTCAACATTGCCATTGACTTTGACTGCCAATCATTGTCAGTGCCACGCCACGCTCCGCCGCCATTCCCACACGCCGCCGTCGCTTTAGCAGCACGCGCCGCCTCTGTCTACAGCCGCCACCACAAGCCGCCGCAGCCTTGCCAGCTCGCGCCGCTTCTGTTTACTGCGCTTGCCAGCGCCGCCGACTGTTGCCAGCGTCGCCAACTTTATTCGTCCTTGTCATTGCACAGTGCGACATTGCTTTTCGGAGCATATCCCCTGACATTGATAGATCGTACAACACGCAGAAAGCGATCACAGCATCGCAATCCTTCTGCCCTCTCCGAGATTACGGCAACGACTATCGTCAGCCGCGAGGAACACCGTTCAATTGCACAAAGTGCATTGATCAACCAAGCCACAAGCTGCAACCGTGTGAACACAAGGGCAAGTCTTCTTCCGCCCACCGCTCAAACCTAGCTGTCCATCACTGACGCTGCTCTAGTCTGCTACGACCACTACATTGGCAGAAACTTTGCCCTTGTTGGCTGTCCTTTTTGCTTCTCGGTACGTCTGAGCACCGTCACAAGCCCTCTACATTCCACGACGAGTGAAGTGTGCTCATACAAAAGCCACGATCTCCCACGGTCCTCATCATCAACCCCAGTCGTGCCAGAATCGCTGCGATATACAGCATGCCATCTGCGTTGCACTTGTTGCCGCTGCCTCCACCCTCTTCCGCCCGATGCTAACTTGTGCTTACACCAGATTGCGTCTTCTGAAGAAGAACTTGAACCTTCTTTGACACCATTTGCCGACTCCGCAGTCAGTCCCTTCAGCAGGGTTGTCGGCGCTGAAGCCAAACCCGCTGCCTTGGCAGAGACTTGGTCGGAAGAAAACCAAGCAAAAGTCAGAATGTCGAACCAACAGCCCAACAACAACGGGCAGCGCGACCACAAGTACAACATGGAGCACAACGTGCGTTACGATGGTCGTCAGGTGCCCGGAGTCGAGAGCCATCAGAACCGTCGCCGTGGTGTCGACCCTGGCGGGGTCGTTGACCGCGGACAGTGGACTGCCTTCGGCACAAATCAAGCTCAGCAATACCAGGCCGGACAGAACACGCACCAGCCACAGCACCAGGCAACATTCCCGAACTCGCGTGCCAACTTGGTGCGTCCTCATCAGGGCTTCCAGCCTGTGCAGCAGACTGCCACCGCCGCCGGTGCTCAGCGTGCACACGCACAATACCAGCAAACTCTCGAGCAGGATACTTCCAACATGGCGTTCAACAGCCCGGTGAAGCACCATCTGACTCCCCAGCAGATGCTTGCGGGTTCAAACAGAAACCCGCAGCAGAACTACTGGCCGGGCCAGATGCCGCAGCATCCCAATGAGCTTTCACAACACRGCCGGTCATCGCAGAACCACATGGGTCAGCGGGACCATCATCAAACTCCGCCACAGCACAGCTCTCAGCGTGGTCGGCAGTCAAACGACGCGCGGCAGCTACCTCAATCCCACGCTAGCCTCCGGCGTGGACAGTACCGCGGCCGGGCTCAACAGCAGCAGATGTCTCGCGCTAGTGTCCAGCGTGGACAGTACCACGGCCGGGCCAAACAACAGCACCTGTCTCGCGCTAGTGTCCAGAGTGGACAGCAGTACAACCAGGCTCCTTCGCAGATGCTTCATCGCGCTCCTCCACCGCCTCCTGCTCAGGATTCGCCACCACGAGCACATCRAGGTGCTTCGTGGGAGCCTCATGGTGCGCCACTCCCTCGTACTGGACCCCTTCTTAATGCTCGCCCAGAATCTGCGGCTTCAAACTATACAGTTCGTACAACGGGCACGCAACTGTCGTCCGGAAGCGACGATTCGTTCCAGACGCAGCTTCACCCGGCCGATCGAGCCGMCGAGCCTCGGTTCGTACCAGCGATTCCTACTGGACTCGCAATAAGCAATGAGGAAGCTGATGCAGGAAATGTCGAGCACGCAAACGAACAAGGTGGAGGTGCCCGTACTGTTCGGAAGCTCAAGCCCTTTGTCCTGAGAAACTTGGACCCAGGATATCAAGTGTCACCACCAAGTTCAGTGACAGGTGGCGGGGCCTCAATATCACCGTCGAGCTCAGTGATGAGCGGAGGTGTCCCACTCACACAGGCGCGCTCGTTCATCAACCGATATGCCCAGTCATCTACTGGTACCAGTTCGGGATCAGACTCGACGATCACTCCGAAGAGCCAAGCTAGGATCAACCGCACTCCCTCAGAGTCAAGCTCGGTGGAGACTGTGAAGCCTAAAGTCGTTCAGACCATCGCTCGCATTGAGCCCCGGGAAATCTCGAATAGACCCAGCCATCCTTCAGCACCCGGCCTGGCAAAGGTGATCAAGGACGGTCTGACGGAGGACCCAGGAGAGAGCATGAAGCTCAACCGGAAATATACATATCCTTTGAAGCTTGTGGTACCCACCTTTGGCCCGACTCGCTTCAGGGACAGCAGGACGATGGGCAATCTCGACGGCGGCAAAGTTTCAAAGCCTCCCAAGCCCCCTATCTGCTCCAGCGCTCCCAAGATTGACAAGGCCCGCATTGTCCACAGCGGACTTGGGCCCTCCAAGGATCTTCCCGACCCTCTCTGGCTGAGTACCGTGCAGCAGGGATTGTGCAATCCAGCGGTTGAAGAGCTCATGGTTGATCTTCCGTTCTCCGAGCTCCATCGCATGGTCGCGCCAAGCAACGCTGGTGTCATCAAGATTATCCAAATTCCTTACGCCACATGTCGACAAGATATAGTTTCATTCCTCGGTAGAAACGCTCAGATCATTCGGCAGCCTCAAGATTCCCCCTACCGCGCCATTCACATCCTCATGGAGCGGGAGAGCGGCAAGAGCATGGAGTGCTACGTCGAGGTGGCCAGCGACGCCGAGGCAGCCTTCATCGTTCACGGCTTCGACTGTCGTGTCAAGGCCCGCAAAGCCCCAAAGATTGGCCAGCGTACCGTTCAAGTTCTCTACAGCTCACAGGACGAGCTCATCTCTGAGCTGTTTCCACGCGCCAAGCATGTCCGCTGGGAGGGCGGCAAGCCCATTGTGGATCTGACGCCGCGTGAGTACCATGAGGGAGTCGAAGCTGCAGGCTTCCAGGGATTCATCCACCCCGAAGAACTCGTCCATACGCTTCGGCATGCCACACAGATGTGGCGCTCCAAGTATGCATTCAGCTTMCCGGCCCGTCCGTACGAGACGATCATCTCCATCTTGTACAAATACCCTTGGTATGCCCCGGAACATGTGCTGATTGACGAGCGCGAGCAAATCTACGAGTGCACCCTCAAGCTCATGGGCGAATTGATCAAGCAGATTGGTACGCATGCTGTGTCCAGCACTTTCACCTATCGCCCAAGCGACCCGAGCCCAGCTCTCCTCCGGGAGATGGCTGCCGCTGCTCTGGCGTGCCCAGGCTTCACCGAGGTGCAGAAGGCGAGAGTTGTCGGCTACTTGGTCAAGGACGGCTATGGCTACATGGCGGTTGGAAGAGACATCAATGTGGATCTGGGTGGCACGCACGAACTTGCGGCAATCTGGCCGTTCATTGCGCTTTCCGTCACCCCCGGCGCTGATATTGAGCTTGTCAAGGTACGGAGTCACTTCTTGTCTGACACTTCACTTTCATCCGCTAACTTTGCCATGTAGTACTACGGTCAAATCTTCCAGGAAGCCACCCGCACGGGCGCCATCGTCCCACCTCTGCCCATGGGTGATGTCAACATCGATTACCAGGGTCAAGACAACCAAGGAGGCCTTACGCTCGCTGTTGCAGCCAAGATCGAGTACGCCCAGATTGAGGAGATGATCAAGGAGGCTGTGGGCGAAACAGACGACGACGGTTGGAGCAGAAATCTCAGGAGTCGTCCCAACACTCCTGATGAGCCCGAAAACGCCGTCCGCCCGGCACTCACATTTGAGCAAGCGATGGATGAAGCTCATCGCAAGAACCCAGGCAGCAATTGGTACACGACCACCGCTCCACCTCGGCAATCCAACTGGGTTGAACCCGATCCTGCAGATCGGAAGGCTCAAGGCATCATCTTGCTTCAAATCATGAAGGACGGCCAGGCTCGTCGAGCGAACGACAAGGCTCAAATGCACGCCACTGAGGATGCTCGCAGACAAAACATCGCTCAAGTCGTTGGTGGAGTCGGAGGCAATCGCGGCTTGGATCAGACTGAGCGTCCTACAGGACCTCGGGCTACTGGTGGCTACACCATGCAACAGGCCATGGCCAATGCCGAGAAACATCGGCGCAACGACTTCGCCCAGTCAATGGCTGGAGCTCGGCATGCTCGTGCCCCTCAAGACAGCACTCGTACCCGCGAACCCCTTCACGGATACCTCAGCAGTGCCCTTCCTGGTCCCTTTGGTGATCAGGGTAGCTCTCAGACCCCAGCTCAGAACGCCCAAGGCAGCACCCGCGAGCCCCTGCACGGCTACCATAGCAGTGCCCTTCCTGGTCCCTTTGGTGATCAAGGTAGTTCTCAACCCCCGGCTCAGCACAGCCAGAGACCATCTCCGCCTCCTGGAACCGAGCGCACCGCCCGCGGCGGTGTTCGGTCCAAGTTCGATTGGTAGATCGGTGTTGCTGCGCTTCTCCCGCAGTCGACGATTCGCCCGCGAGCATTGTCAGCCTCAGCGACACCCCATCGTTGATCCTCTGTTTCACAGCCCCACAAGACCGAACTGAAGAGATGGCAAATCCCCGACTGCAAACACGAAAACAAGATAAAAGAGACTCCCCGCCAAAGGGAGTGACAGATGAGAGAGATTCCCCTTTGCACCAGCACGAAGAAATGATGAGAGATACCCACTGCAGATTCCCGAACGTTCACCGATGACCTGCCACGAAGAGACGATAGAGATTCCCCTTTGCATGCACGCAGAGTTTATGCAAGACATTCAGGAGCCAGAATGCCAAACAGGCGCCCATTGTCTTGGGAAGGATGTGTTAGCGATGGCTTGTTGCTTCTTTTGCGGCCTCCTCTTTTGGATTGGCCAATATTGTACACAGCAGGTAGAAGCATAAACGCACGACTTGTTGAAAAAAAAAGTTCTCAACTGTGACTCCAACTGAATGTAGTTGAAACATCCGTTCTCATCTGTGRTACTTGCTTCTGCCTCCCTCCTGTCCCTCTTATGATTGTACTTGCTTCACGTAGATAATTGCCGAGATTATTTTGACTGCTGGCAGTGTCAAGCCATCGTATCAGCCATTGTACCGTTCCATGGTGCCAGAATGGCCGTCCCTTTAAATCACTCAGAGGTCAGGGCACGAACACGTTTTGCGAAAGGCACCAGAGTCTCGAACCATGCATTGAGCTGCCGCAGACGCTGCTGCTTCGTGAAGCCCGTGTGGCACCTGAACAGATCAACGATGAGCCACCGGCGATTGGCGGCGTGCTGACCAAGATTGTGCAACCGATGGGACTTGTGCACATGCTCTTGAGGAGCTCAGCAGGCCGTCAAGAATTCTTGAAAAGGGACGTGCTAATTGACAACATTACATCCAAGGGGAAGAGATCCCGTGGAAACATGACACACAAATCAGAAGAAGAGAACAGTGATACATCGCTACCAATCCATCGTCTTCTTAAATGCTCCAAATCGCGCTTGCGTATACTCATACATCACTACTGCTTGGGCTGCCTCATCAAGAGCGTCAAATTATCCATGAAACCCTCCACCACAGCCTGGAACCCATTCTCCTGCCCTGAACTCAAAAGCTTCTGTTGCTGTCGCAGCACATTCGCATCCAGCTCCAACTCCAATTCATACTTCGGTCCCAGTCCAGGCGTATCCACACGCGTGAGATCTGTCTGACAAGCTAGATGTCTGTAAGAGACACGATCCTTCCTCCGGTCAGGTTGAGCGGGTTTGTCGTGTGTGGGATTGTCTGTGATGTCAAGGGTGTCGAGATCCGGCTGGTCGAGATTAACTTCCAAATTCATACTAATTCGAACATCATACGAGTCGAACGGACTGTGTATCTGAAGCTGAGCGAGTGAGAGCTTGACAATCCGGCCTGTGACTTTGCCGTCCTTGTCCCGCCTGGAAGTCCGAAGCTTGATATCACCTCTCCTGTTGCGCTTCATCAAGGCCTCGGGCATAAGTTTCAATCCAGCGTCGTTGAGAGTGCGGAAAGAGTCGGTTTCGCGGGTGTGGGTGTAGTCAATCTTCTTTCGGCCTGGAATGGTTGCGGCATCTTTGGTGAGTCTATTGAGAAACTCATTCATCTTCTTGTGCGCCGCCTCGAGCATTTGACTCTCAAATTGAAACCTCTCATTGACCCTCGGGTCAAGCACTGTTGCGGAAGTGACTGGAAGCGCCATTCTATCGCCGGTCTGCTTATCGATTAAAGTGCCTATCTTGGCTTCGATTTCAATGGCGCCTTCCCGCGGATCCAGTCCGATGTCTGCGTTCTCGCTGAGGTTCACATACAGCCAGTCCATGACTTGTTTCACCAGAGAAGTGATCGGAACCTTGCCGTCCATCGACCTCTCCCAATTGGGATCCAACACGCGCCTGGCGAGGATGAGATCGTTGTCAAGTGGGCCATGAACGTTGCCGTTCAAGTGTGCAGGTTGTGGTCCATTCTGCTGCGGCTGCGGCTGCAGATGCATCTGCGATTGCGGTTGCGATTGAGGTTGTGGAGTGCGTGTTGCATTTGCGGGAACCGCCTGCTGGGCACTGTTGGGKACAGCATCGAATTCCTTTGCACGCGGGTTGCTGGGGTGGAGATGGGCCCAAATCGGACGTTCGAGATACTTGCGGCGACCTCGCTTTGATGGAGGCTCCGCGGCAGGTGGCGATACTGCAGGTCTCTTCATTGGTGCATTTGGAAGTGAATCTGCYAGCTGCTGTGGTTTCTGATTTGTAGATGCTGGGACAGATGATGTGTGATTTTGTGGTGGTGGTGGTGGTGGTTGCTGATGTTGAGAAGGGGGAAGATTTTGGTGCATTGTACGCGGACTTGGCTCGTGTTCAGTCGGACTTAGCAAGTGATGCATGTCCATCTTCTGAGGTTGGTGCTGAAGTGGAGGAGGTTGCGAATGATTGTAATTATTCGGTACGCCGTTTCTCGCGGACAAAGAGTCTTCAACTCCGGAATTGACCGGAGGCTGTGCGTAGTTCGGAGCAACCGCTGGCACACGAACTGGTGTACCCATCTGGGACGCCACACTCGCACTGGGTTGCATGGAGCTTCGCGCGCTATAGCTTTCCTGCTGGCTGCTGTGTCGCGATCCGCTCGATGGTTGACGCGCTGGTACTTTTGTCTTGGGACTAACGGATAAACTGCGTTCACGCTCCGCCGAACTCATGTAATCGCTTGTGCTACGTCTGGCTGACGAAGGCCTATGATAGTTTGCGCTGGGAGATTCGACAAGGCTTCCAATGCTGAGGTTGTGCTGGGCAGGAGAGCCAGTAACCATTCCGTTCGAGGCACCAGAATAAGTCCGCTGATGGTATGGACTGGACATGTCTAGCTGATTGGAATGGCGTCCCGTCAAGGGCGGCGGGGGCCCAAGCGGCGTGGAGGGCTGCGAGCGATGAAAGGAGGAAGGGTAAGCCTGTTGCTGCTGAGGTGGTGGTTGTCCCATTGCCGTTGCCATTGGACTTTGGCGTACCGAATGCGGCGTATGACTGTGATGGGACGGCGGAGTGGGAGACATGGACATGGTGTGCTGCGCATGTAGGCCCGGCTGTTGATACTGCGAGGGTGACGGCTGAGCAAAATGGTAGTTCTGACTAGTCGGGCGTGCTCCGGGCGTCGTGGCAGTGTAGGCATCGTATGGGCGATAAGAGGGGCCTGAGATGGGACTTTGCGCTGGATGCTGATGTAGCTGTTGTTGTGCTTGAGGCGGCCCTGGAAAGGGATATTGGGAGCCGCCTGGTGTCTGCGAGGGCGTCTGAAGTGGTGTCAGGCCCCGGTTTCGCGCTTGGCTTGCGGACGTTGATGGCGCATGATCGATAGTGTGTCCTCTTGCAGGCGGCGATGCCTGGGGCGCCGCGCTCCTCCTCTCCTCCGCCGGCCCATCGTTCAGCATCGACGACAAGTCCATCGTGTCGCGCTATGTATCGTCCTGCACCTTGTCCTACTCTTCCAAATTCCCCAAGCTACCAGTCTCACGACGCGCGTAGCGATGAGCTCGCGCAAAGTCTAGCCATACGAGGGTCGTCGCGATGGATATGGCGCAGTATTCGTCGATGCCCTGACAGAAGGTGACGCGTCTGACGGAGTTCACAAGGCCCAATCACGGGCGAGCGCAATGCGGAGAGATGAAGGTATGGATTGCTATACTGTGCTGTGCCGTACTGTCCAACTTTCGAGGAGGAGACATGTACAAAGCCAAATGTCCCTTGGCGTGGAGGACTGATCGTCGCAACGCGAATCTACCCACTCGAGAGATGCTATTCAAGACTGTGACGGAATGAGTGACCAACACGAGAATCGGAGTGTTGTTGTAGTGTCAATGTCAAAGTCATCCTGACCGCGACATTGGCCGTGCATCTCACGCGTAAATAATACTACGCAAGCTTCTTTAAGCTAAAATGATGTAGCGGGAAGCATCGTGGCCCGGCAAGTCGACCACGGTTCACAATGCCGGTCATGCAGAAGACTGCTGTTTTCTACCCGATAGTCGCGTCAATACGGTCGGTGTACCCGTGTGAAGAATAAGACGTTCTGCTGAAGATAGGAGGTGATTGAATAAAGGAGCTTCGCGACTCCATGCTCCTGAAATGCTCCCTCTCTCTCTTCTCACTCCACAAGTCCAGGCGTTTTCGGATCTTGACAGGCATCGAGTAGCTATGGTAGTATTTTAGATCTCGWTCGGAAGCAGTGGCAGTGGCATAAGGTCTGGAGCTAGAACGGGAGTCACGCCGCCTGAGCTTACTGAACTGTGCAGGATAGAGTGTACCTGTAGTTGTATTGCTTGTGTTTACGCAATTGAAGGGAGATACAAGAACTGCTTGAGCTGTCAGCCATTCGACAGCGGAACATGCCTCCATAGTAAGTATGCACGAAGAGATCCAAAAGCCCAAGCATGCTCAGAGCGAAGACCGTGGAAGTGAATGGTCGTTCATGCTCATATCCGTTTTTGGCGGGTAGAGCCGTGATGACGGCGCCTGCCCTGCAGGCGTGCCGTGTGAGCTCGCCGTTCATAAGATAGACACATCGACACGACACGACGTTAACTTTGCCATCAGTGCACCATCTCAATCAACTTTGGTGCTGCCGTGTATTATTGTCCCTTGTTCAAACCTGTCCTTCTCGACCCTCTGCCAAACCCGGCGCGGACCTCCCATCCCCGCGACTGCTCGTCGATCACGCATCTAAGCATCAAACGCCATCAGAGCAGCGGCTTCATCAACAACACCCACCACCGCCACCGTACAGCACACCACAACGCCTGCATCGACCACGCGCACAATTCACATCATGGTTGGCTTGACGTCCGCTGCTGGGCTTGTCGGCTTCCTCAGCGAACCCGATGCTGCGCTGCAGGTCTTCGCCCTCGAGCGTTTGAACGATGACATTGACAGTGTATGGACAGAGGTCTCTGGATCCATCGGTCAAATGTACGTATTCTCCTCACACGCATCTCCTTTGAATCCGCCCATAGTCAGCTCTCCGGGGCTGGCGTGAGCTTGGTTGATGAACTCAATGTGGTGCAAGGACGTACGTAGCAGCTGACAGTTTCGCCGTTACAGAGAAGCGCTATACGAAGACGACACCTTCAGCCATCGCGAGCTGGCTGCCTTGCTACTATCCAAGGTCTACTATCAGCTGCAGGAATATGATGAGTCGATGGTGTTCGCGCTTGGCGCAGGCAAGCTGTTCAACCTTGACCACGCCGGCGAGTACGAGGAGACAATTGTTGCCAAATGCATCGACACCTACATCGCGCTCTGCGCACTTCATAATCCACCGACTCCAACATCAGCCTCTGGACGCCGTGGTTCGGCCGATTACGATGGTGCTGCGCTCGCCGCTACAGCCTCTCCCACAACACCTTTCTCGCAATCCGCCCTCCCATCGAAGTCTCTACTCTCTCGTCCCGAAGAGCTCGATGGCTCGTCTGCGTCTGGTGGAGGCAATGCCGGCGTTGCCGGCTCACATCCCAACCCGCTGACTTTGCCAAACTTGGTCAAGAAGAACTTGCAGGGCATTGTCACGAGGATCTTTGAGAGCTGCTACGAGGTCGGCGCATACAAGCAGGTTGTGGGCATCGCGGTCGAGGCCCGCAACATGACAGTCCTGAAGGAAGCTATCCTGCGATCGGGCTCCGATGCGAAGAGCAAGAGCAAGAAGGCGGCAAGCACAGGCAGTCAAGCTGAGGATGTTATGGAATATGTGCTTGATATCTGTATGAACGTGGTGCAGGAGCGCGCACTCCGAAACGAGATACTGAAGCTGATCTTGGAATTGCTCAATGAAATCCCCAACCCGGATTACTTTGCGATCGCACGATGTGTTGTCTATCTAGACCAGCAGACAATGGCTTCCAACATGCTGCGACAGCTGATACGGAAAGGTGACGGCAAATCTCTGGCCATCGCATACCAGCTCTCGTTCGACCTGTACGAGAACGGAACGCAGGAGTTCCTTCAAAAAGTCATGGATGAGCTGCCAGAGGACGACGCAGAGGAATCCAAGGCGAATGGAAGCGCTGTTCGACCAGCGACGCCGCACCCAAACCAGACGGAGGAACCAAACGAGTCAGACCAGTTGCTCTCCGAGCTCAACGATTCCGCCGGTGCTCCACAGACTTCCACGCTTGTTGCGTCAAGAACGAAGCCCAAGCCTGAGACGGAGGATCAGTCAAAGGCATTTGCTTCAGTGCGAAACATCTTGCGAGGCACTACCAGCATTGAACTGAATTTGGAGTTCCTCTTCCGGGCAGCACACACCGATAAAGCGATCCTCAACAAGATCCGAGACTCCTTGGAGGCACGCAACAGCATCTTCCACACCTCCGTCACCTTTGCCAACGCATTCATGAATGCTGGAACCACAATCGACACCTTCTTCCGCGACAACCTGGACTGGCTGGGCAAGGCCGTCAACTGGAGCAAGTTCACGGCGACTGCGGCTTTGGGTGTGATCCATCGGGGAAACCTCAACAACGGCCAGCAACTATTGGCGCCCTACCTCCCGAAAGACAATGCGGTCGCAAGTGCCGGCAGCGCCTACAGCCAAGGTGGCTCGCTTTACGCTCTTGGCCTCATCTACACCAACCATGGCACACACGTTTTGGACTACCTTCGCAGGCAGTTCAAAAATACACAGGAGGAGGTTGTGCAGCATGGCGGCGCTCTCGGCTTGGGTGTCGCAGGAATGGCTACTGGGTCCGAGGAGATTTACGATGAGCTCAAGAATGTTCTTTACGCCGACTCTGCTATTAACGGAGAGGCCGTTGGCTTGGCTATGGGCCTCGTCATGCTGGGCTCAGGCAATACCAAGGCACTGGAAGACATGATTCAGTACGCGCACGACACTCAGCACGAGAAGATTGTGCGAGGTCTGGCTTTGGGCATGTCACTCATCATGTACAATCGCCAGGAGGCTGCCGATGAGCTCATCTCTGGTCTTCTGGAGGATGCGGATCCGGCACTTCGATACGGAGGAGTCATGACTGTCGCGCTCGCCTACTGCGGTAGCGGCAGCAACAAGGCCGTGCGGAAGTTACTTCACCTTGCCGTCTCCGACGTGAGCGACGATGTTCGGAGATGTGCAGTCATGAGCTTGGGCTTTGTGCTCTTCAGGAAGCCTGGCAGCGTGCCACGTATGGTGGAGCTGCTCGCCGAGAGTTACAATCCTCATGTGCGTTATGGAGCAACGATGGCACTCGGCATTGCATGCGCTGGTACTGGTCTCGACGAGGCAATCGACCTTTTGGAACCCATGATGAAGGACTCTGTCGACTTTGTGAGACAAGGCGCTTTCATTTCGCTTGCCATGATCATGGTGCAGCAGAACGATGCAATGAACCCCAAGGTCAGCGCGCTTCGCAAGCAACTTCAGAAGGCTGTCGGTGATCGTCACGAGGATGCCATGGCCAAATTCGGCTGCGCTCTCGCGTTGGGAATTATCGACGCTGGTGGACGAAACTGTACCATCGGCCTGCAAACACAGACTGGCAACCTCAACATGGCCGCCATTGTTGGCATGGCTGTCTTCATGCAATACTGGTACTGGTTCCCACTCACCCACTTCCTCGCCCTCTCCTTTACACCAACATCCATTATCGGTGTCGATTCGAACCTGGAGATTCCCCGCTTCACATTTCACAGCAACACGCGACCAAGCATGTTTGACTATCCACCAGTGGTTGAGGTGAAGACAGAGGAGGCTCCCGAGAAAGTCAAGACTGCGGTACTATCCACCACTGCGCAAGCGAAGCGAAGAAAGCTAGCAAAGGACAGGCAAAACCGGACAGAGAGCATGGACGTTGACGCTACCCCGTCTACTCCCAAGCCCGATGCCGATGGCGAGAAGATGGACACCGATGATGTCGTCATCGAAACCAAGGCTGGCGACGACAAGGAAGACGACAAGGAGAGCAGCAAGAAGAAGGTCGAAAAGGAGAAGGTGGGCTACGAATTGGAGAACATGAGCCGTGTTCTTCCCGCACAGACAAAGTACATCAGCTTTGCCGCGGATGGGCGGTATCAGCCAGTCAAGAAGGTAAGAACATCACTGAGCAGTACACTCGGGATATCTTTGCTAACATTTACGCAGCCCACTGGTGGTGTCATCCTTTTGGAGGACACACGACCTAACGAAGCCAAGGACCTACTAGAACTCAAGGCACGCAAGAAGACTGCTGCTGCCGCACCAGCACCAGGCGCTGGTCCCGCACAATCCGCGAGAGATGTCACCATGGAAGACTTCCTCGAGGGCAACACCGGAGGTGCATCTGCGGCTGCTGGAGTGCTGAACGCTGTGGATGAGGACGAGGATGGAGAGGAGGCTCCTGTCCCGGACGAGTTCGAGGTGGATGAAGATGATGCGGAGGTGGAAGAGTAAGACGGCAGGGTAATCATATGTCCTACGCTTGTAATGACTAGAGCCGCGAGTCCGAAGCGCATGTAGCTCTCTGCGGATGGGTAGATCTTCGTGTATGATTAGAAGTACCGCCGTGAAGTACATTTCATGATTGCTTTCATGTACTGTAGGACAACTTGGCAGCAGGTCGACACAGCAGGCATGTGTCTGTCATCTCCATGCACGATTGCTCTCGAATTTGGCGCTCTCAAAGTTTGGTGCCACAGCTCCGACACGGTTCCCCAACCGGGCCGCCTCGCCTGGGTCGCCTCTCACGCCGCTGTGCTGCTGTGCTGCCCGAGGTCATCAATTTCTCACAGCGCACCGCACCCTCTCGCCGGGCTCTTTTCCTGTCGCAACCACGTGTCGCCCGGCATCTCAACTATCCCATTGCGAAATGTGGAGTTTGCCGCCACTTCCACAATTGGACAGACCCCGACGGTCAGCAGACGATGGGGCTGCAGCTCCACCCACCTCTGGAGTCAGTGACACGGTTGGGGACGTGGAACCCCCTTGTTCGAGCTTCGTTTTTGCGCGGGAATTGACGGGCGGCAGCAGAAGCCTCATCCTCGACGTGGAAGAGTGTTCATGCAGCCGAATGTTCGCCGGATGTTCTATTCCACGACGCCGAAGAGAGACCTTATAAARGTCATGTCCTCTGCGCGACACGGAGCGAGGTACGAAAGCGTCGTGGACTTGTGAATGACTCGAATAATGGGCTGCATGTTCTGGGCTGTAATTTGCGTTTCGAGGGACTCCTTGGGTTCACGGCAGCATCCAATTCTTTGCGATCCTTGTTTAGAAGTGCAGCTGCAGCTCCACATGGCTGGCGATCATGGGAAGCATCAGGCGGAAACTCGGGATGCTTTCCCACGATTGGGGACAACCTGGTGTCGATGACTGGAGCTCCACACCCACCGACACGGACATCACTCATCCAGACCATAAAACAATAACATCAGACATCTGCTCGACGAAGCCCTAGATGCTCTAGATGTACTGCCCCTGCAAGCGCCCAGCCCTCAGATGGCGGCTTGCCCTCTACGTTCAATGCATTCCAAGCCCCTGTACTCTACTGCCGCTTGAAGCGGCGTAGGGAGGAGATCCCGATGCTGCTGTGTAACGGCTTCTACCTGCGCGTCCCGTCACTTCTCGCGCCCAAGACGCATGTCCTTTCTGCTTCGTCACAGCCGCCTGAGGCGTTGAGTATCCGGCTGCATCCACTACATTGAGGCGTCTCCGCCGATCGATTATCGTKGTCCCGTTTTGAGATCCCAGCATGATCCTGGTCATGATCCCAAACTCGCACTACGACCAAGAAGGTACCCCGTGTTTCCCGTCTGCTCAGCAAACCTTATCCTCGACGCGAGGTGGCTGTCGGTATGTGCTCTTTGACCGACCTGCTCCGTTTCTTCACTCTCTCTCCTCTCGCCTGTTGGATCCACGACACTATACATCTCTCGGCAATGTTTGGACTACATCGGGAAAGTGGATTTGAGCAGCAATAACATCACTTGCTGCAATGCGGATCCCACCTCTGGATGTCATTTTATCGTGGCCGGCCCCAAACTATGAACATCCCACGACCAGAGGGGAGGCCCTCCTCGTTGTCATCATCATCTTTTCCATCTTGGTCGTAGCAGCTGTTGGTGGACGGTTTTACTCTCGGTTGAAGATAAAGAAATGGTTTGGCTGGGACGACGTCTTTATTGCTCTCGCACTGGTACGATGAAATTCGGTTTGCCATTCCTTGACGCTTTCTCTGACATCACATTTAGGTTTTCACACTCGGGATGAACATTTCTGTCATTCTTGCGAATAGTGTATATGGCTGGAACAGGCACTTGTGGGATGTAGAAATTGACATGTCAGTTTTCGACGAAACACAGCTCGACACCCAATGGCTGATGCTCAACCCTTACAGGTACCAGAATGCCGGAATTGTGGCTTTCTGTTCCAAACTCCTCTTTGTGCAAGCTGCTACATTCACCCGGATATCTCTCATCCTGTTCTACTACCGACTGGTGCGAGACAGTGGGATTCAATGGTTCACCCATGTTCTACACGCAAGCATGGTCTTTGTTGTCGGTCTCGAGATCAGCTTTACCTGTGTTGGAATATGGTTGWGCTCGTATGTGCTGAGTCTTAACAAAACGGTCCTCATACTGATTGTGGTCCAGACCCATCCAGTCTTACWGGACATTCCCACCGATTGAAGGAGGCACATGTCTGAATGAAGGGACAGCGACCCTGGTCGTTGGGGTTTTCAATTGTGTCGCGGACCTGCTCGTAACGTGCCTCCCGATTCCATTGGTTCTCAGGCTACAAATGCCACTGAAGCATCGGGTTGGAGTGTGCTTTTTGCTTGGGCTGGGCTTCATTGTCACAATCGCGGGTGTTGTAAGGACATGTAAGTTCTGCGCAGCTTGGAACAATTCTCAAGACGCGTCWCTGATCTGACTCAGACTTCATCTGGAAATCGCTAGTGGACAGCTGGGACACGACATGGTACTCTTATCCACTATGGATTGCCGCTGCCGTTGAGATTGATCTGGCCGTAGTGAGTGGCCCAAATGATGCTTGACGTATAGCGTCGTTAACAACTTACAGATCTGTGCTTGCGCTCCCGCTCTAAAACCACTCATCCACAAACCAATCGTACGATTCACCAGCCGAATATCCTCCAAGATCAGCTCAGTCATCCGTTCGAGGGGATCGCACTCGCACAGTACCGGAGACAAGACCGGCTCCTCAAGATCTGCGAATCAAAACGTCCTCCCTTTTGCACAAGGAGACGAAGAATTTGGCATGCTGCAAAGATCCCAACATTCGGACAAGTCTGTGATGCAGATTACGCAAAAATGCGCGGATGATCTGGAATCCGACGAGCATGATAGCAGTCAGAATCCGTGGAGTTTCCGTCGAAACAGTGCTCACTTTCCACCACTTCATATTGTAAAGCGGCAGTCGTTGGAGCAGGAGATTTCATATCTGGATCCGCGGAAGCCTCCGGCCACGCCGGTGCGTAGCGAGTCCTTTGACTTTCGGTGATGATGACTATGATGATGATGAAGATTTTGGGAAAGAGAGCACAGTAACAGAATAAAAACGGGTGTTGTATTGGTACGCAAGAGGGATTGGGATTGGGATTGGGATTTTTGAAAATGATACCCTTTGGTCTGGACATGGAGTTATGGGAGAGTCGCTTATACTGTATTGTAGTTGCGATGGGGATCTTGTAGATGCGGGATGGATATGCACAATGACTCGTGCTGAATGAAACGAACTATCCACAATCTATTGCCCACCTTACAAACGTTTACCCTGATGCACAACCGCCAATTTCTTCAATCTGTTCGACTTCCAATCGACTTGCTTCAGCACAGGCAATCCGCTTCTCCTCTTGCTAGCTCTGACAGGTCGTGTGTCTCTACCAAGATTATCCGTCCACTCTCCACCACTCAGCAAATGGGACAACGGTCCTTGCTTAGCCAACAACTCATCAAAAGTCCCCTCCTCCACAATCTGGCCTTGATCGAGAACGACGACACGCTCCGCCATTTCCATCATGTCTCTATGATGCGTGATGATGATGATCGTCATCTCGTGACTGCGATCCTGCACCAAGTCTGTGAGTGTATGTCGAATCAGATTYGCAGATTCAACGTCCAAAGCAGATGTGGCTTCATCAAGAATCAGGACAGAGGGCTTGCGGACCAAAGCGCGTGCAATGGAAATTCGCTGGGCTTGGCCGCCGGAGAGACCAAGTCCACCATCGCCAATGAGCGTATTGTAGCCTTGGGGTAAACTGGTGATGAAATCGTCGATTCCAGCCTGTCGAGCCGCGTAGACTATGCTTTCGGGGGTATTGTTGGGCGAATCCGCAGGCAGACCGTATGCGATGTTCTCTCCAGCAGTCGCGGCGAAGAGAGTTGGTGTTTGCGAGACGCTGACGATCAGAGCCCGCAACGAAGGKGTGTAGATGTGCTCCATATCGCGGCCGCCAAAGGATAGATCGCCAACTCGCGATGTGGGCATTGAGGCGGTGCTGTACAGGTCCAGCAACAGATTCGAGATTGTGGACTTTCCGGATCCAGACCCTCCAACGATCGCTGTCGTAGTTCCCGGATGTAGAACAAGATTGATGTTTCTCAAGACAAGAGCGTCAGGGCGCGTAGGATACGCAAAATCCAAATCATCGAACACTATGTCGCCGATTGTGACGATGCGAGTGTCTCCCAGATGCTCATGTGAGTCCTGGGGTAGGTTTGAAAGACGAAGAAGCCGTATTGCCGTGTCTTTGGAGGCTCCGACCTGAGGGATGTATGCAAGGATCCCACCGACACTGGTGAGAGAGAATATCAGTAGCGTGAACACCATTATGACGTCTGTGACAGATGCACCCGACTTGACAATCAAAGCTCCCACATAGAAGATCATGGCCGTGCTGAATTCGCCTGCGCTGTCTGAGAGACCGTAGAGAAAGCCGCAGTACATGGCACGCTGCATACCGAGTCTCAGGAGACTGTCCGTTACTCTTGTGTACTTTTCGAGAAAGTATGGCTCTAGGGTAAGCGCCCTAACGGTCTTGATATTGGTGAACGTCTCGTTGAAGATTGCTCCAGCTTCTTCGGATGCATCGTTGCATCGATGTTCCCACTTCTCACTGACGGCAGCAAAGAGTCGCAACGTGCCCCAGATGTACGGACAAATGGCCAATGCTGCAAGCGTGAGCTTCCATTGCGCGACGAGAGCCCAAATGATGGTGACAATGACCATCAAAGACGCAATCCAGACCATGGCGGCAAATCGTCCGACTAGATTGCGCATCTCCTCTGCGTTACGGTCCAGACTTTCGGTCAAGCGTGAGGTCCCGTTCTCCTGCTTTTCAAAAAACTCACGTTCCTGGTCCAGGATACGACCAAATGCTTCGGCACGGACGTAGTCAACCCATGCCTGGCTGATGCACTCAAGCACCATGCGGTACATGTACACATGGAAGCCATCCACGAAGGCGATGGCCAGCACAATCATAGAGTAGAGCAGCGACTTGCTTTTGCCACCACCAGGCATGGTATATGTACTCAGCAGCTTCGAAATGACGAATGCAAAAGTTGGACTGCACACAGCGTGAATTGTGGCACACCAGAAGCCGATTACAAGCCACGCTTTTTCTCGCAGGTTTAGGCTTGGCCACAAGGTACGGAAGATTTCCACAAGCGTTATCTTCCGTTCCGTCTCGTCGGCCACGTCGTTGGCCTCCAGCGCCGCCAAAGCTGCCCGTGGACCCGCTGGAGAGTCGTCATCATTATGGTCTTTTTGATCGATTGGCCGTCGTGTACGATTGATGCCCATCGAGCGTCTTCGTGCGTTGGCTGCAAAGGTTCCGGTCTGGTCAACCAGTTTCTCCATCGCTGCGGTCCATCGTTTGGAATCAGGAGGTGTGGTCGGAACTTCCCCGAGTGATTCTGGTCGCTCAAGATGTGACTCGCGCCTAGGTTTGGTGGCGACGGGCATTTCGGGCGTCAGTCCCATTCGTATCCACGGAGCCGCAGATGTATCTCCTTTCCTCCGAAGCATTCCAGGTACTGGACTGCCTTCTTGAAGAACACTGGGAAGATACGAGCTTCGGTTGGCTGCGTTCTTCTCTCCAGCTCTTAGCGCAGCATCTAGAGGGTCAAAGAATGAGTTTGATACTCCAAAGTCGGAAAACGACTCGAGTGAAGATGACGATGCCCGCGATGGTTGAGAATCAAACGATACTGTCTTGGTAATGGATGCCGCCGTTTCGGTGTGATCGTCCACATTGAGGAACCCTTGGAAAGGTGTGCCCTTCAATTTCTGCAATTGACTGCGATGTCCTTCTTGTACAACCCTGCCTTCTTCAAGGATGTACATGTAATCGTCGTCTTGAATCTGTCCAATGTCGTGGGTTATGATGATAGTTGTCTTGCCTTTACGCCACCTTCTTATCGCATCCATCATCAGTGTGCGACTAATTTGGTCCAAAGCGCTGGTCGATTCGTCCAGAATCAACACTGGAGTATCTCGTAGTCTTGCCCGGGCCAAAGCCATGCGTTGACGCTGCCCTCCCGACATTGAGCCTCCTTTGAAACCGACCGCCGTGTCAAGGCCATCGGGCATCTCTCCGATCATGAGCTGCAGCAAGGCGAATTCTGCCGCTTCCATGACTTCGGCCCTTGTAACCTTTTCATTGTCTTTTCGACCGAAAGCGATGTTGCGGAAAATGGTATCGTTGAATAGCATGCTTGTTTGCTCCACCAAGGTAATGTTGGAGCGCAGCCAAGAGGTATCGAGGGACTCCAGCGGAGTACCGTCCAGGAGGACCTCCCCCTCAGATGCTGCATAGAAACGTAACAGCAGCTGGCCGATGGTGCTCTTGCCGGAGCCGCTACGGCCAATGAGGAAGGTTAGATCTCCGCCCTTGAGGTAGAGAGTGACATCCCGTAGAGCAGGCTGATCCGGACGCTGCGAATATGCAAAGGTCAGGTTGGTGACATTAATGTCTCCTTTGCACGAACTTGGCACTAGAAGACCCTTCTCCCGTTGCAAGCCGGGCCCTTGGAGAACCTGAGCCATGACCACACGGAGCGTGGCGCCAGCAGTGCGACCTTTTTCTAGCACAATCATCTGCGGCAGTATACCTTGTATCGCCTGGAATGCACCGATGGCCGAGAAAAACGTTGTAATAACATCTGCCGTGCCAATCTCGCCCTTGCGAATGAGAACGCCACCGTAATAGAATCCTTGGACAAACATGGAGACCGAGAGCAGAACAACGAGGGCCATCTGAAGTGCGCTTGCATGTGCGACCCAGGCATACCAATGAGCAGCTCGTTCAATGCTGTTGGTGTATTTTTTATGCTCTATCTCCTGTCCGTTGTAGCACTTCACGGTGTCAATGGATGCAAATGCATTTGTTGTGTACTTTTGCGCTTCGGTGAGATGGTCTTGCTGCTTGTTAATGCTGGTCTGCATGCCGTTGGAGCACAGTACAAGCAGGAACATAATGAGAGGAACGGTCGCGAGTGTGACGAGCGTGAGACTCCAAGACACAACAAAAGCCTGTACAAGAGACAAGATGGCAGTCGACAAGGAGAGGAAGATGCTACCCATGGGCTGAGCGGCGGCAAGTTGCAAGTCTCGAATCTGCGCCTGCAGCCTAGGCAGCATGGCTCCAATACCGTTCTTGCGCATGTCGTACCACTCGATCTCTTTCTCGAGGAGTCCGTGGAACAAGCGATCTCGAGCACTCTTTGCTTGCAGCTCCCCAAAGGCGAGCCAAATACCGAAGTCGATCGTGTGGAGCAGCCAACTAGCGGCTGCTATGGCGACAAGGTAGATTACATATGTCGTCTCCTTGCGCATGAACTCGTTCTTGTCGAGCCGCCCCGAGGCGTAGTCAGTGAAGCCGCCATAGAGCTTGCCGATGATGAGTGTTTGCGCCGGGCTTGCAGCACCGGCCAGAATTGCGCACGCGACCCCAGCCATAAATAGTGGAACCTGTCGTCGCGTGGTAAAGGCGAAAAGCGAGCGCCATGGCGCCTTGACAGCTGGGACATCATCGTCCGCGTTGCCACTCGCACTTGAGTCCGCGGCGGATTGTGCAATACTGTCTTTCGATGAGAGTCGCTTGTGTCGACGATGGCTTCCGGATGCTTCGTCCTGCATGGCCGCAATCCCATCAGGCAAAACTCGTATTCGCGGAGGTGTCCGGATGTCGCGTGTTGATAACCAGTCGTTGGTTGGTGAGGTGGGATGTGGCACGGACCCGCTGTCAAAATCGAAGTGAAGCTGCTTCTGGGTCTTACGGCCAAAGGCACGAAGAATGTTGCCACTCCTATTGTTCTTTTCGCCAAGAAAATATCTTCTATCTACACCCATTGACTGCAATCACTGTGATCGAATCCGTCCTTTGGTCAACCACATCGATTCGAGCCTTTACTTAACGCACCATGTGCCCAGTGAGTACACTCTCGAGTCTCGCGATTTCTTGTTTGACTGACCGCAGATTTCGTGTGGCTCCAGCCAAGTGTCAGAGTCATACGGGATGTTCTCGATCTCATCCGGGGTACGTACTGAGACACGATGTACCCGCAGGACATGCATCTATGGTCGTCTTGAAGAATCGGATCCACCAGTGTTACCGCCGACGCTGGAATCACGCTGCCGATAAACCATCCTAACGAGAGGCAATTTATGAAGATTTCTCAGCTTTCTCAGCATTTGCCTTCTCGTAAATCCAATCGTTCAAACCGGCACGATTCCTGTGCACTGTCAGCATATCAAACCCACAAGCAAGCTCGAAGATTGAGACCTACCGTGCAATCTCGACTGCATAGAACTGCATACGCACAGCTATACCCATGTCAGCCACAGTCTTATCACAATGCCTTTGTGCACTTCATACCAAAGATGGTTCCAGTCTGCCCATACTCTGAAGCTGCGCTTTCGCGCAACATGGTGCCAAAGTTGTAGTCGTCCACCTTGTTCTCGTAGACGTTGATGAAGTTCCTCCACTTCTCCTTGCCGGCCTTGCTCTTCATCTCATCCTCATCGATCGTCCCCTTGAGGTCAAAGTCTGGGAACTCCCTGTTGAAGTGCTCGAGGATCTCGTCGTCGAATTTGGTCAGGCGCAGCTTGGAGCCGGGAAGCTTTTCGAGAATCGACCAGTATGTTTCCATGTGCTCGACGACTACAATGAGGTCAGCCTCTGAGTTCTCCACACATGCGCTCAATTCCTCCTACCCTTCACGGCGAACTGCTTCTCGATTTCCTCGTAGYTGTCAGCATCTTCGGCCTTGAGTGGAACGCCGCCGGGCGCTGCAAGAGACATCGTGAGAAATGTGTGAGTGTCGTGTGAACAGTTTGTTTCGGTTGTGAGAAGGTTGGATTTGTCTCTCACTCCAACGTGTGAGGATGATGTGGGTGGGGTGTCGAGGGTTTGCCGTTGTCAAAAGATTTACATGACTCGGATGACGAAATTGTAGCTATCCATTTCCGCCTCAACCCTAACTCTAGGCATGGACATGGACGCCGATGCATATGTGACTGTTTACTTATTACAATCGCATCTGACGAGTTTGCACGACTGTCAGAGCTCATGCCATCCCGAACGTGCGATTAACTTGGTGGAGACTCATTTCAAGACGAAGGACGCTAAATCGTAATTGTGATTAGGTATTGATGGATACTACTGCTACTGTTGAGGTAGTACAACATATCATAAAGCATCTGCCCGACGTGCCACCTGCATCCTGCCCGGCACTTTTGATTGCCCTGACCTGGCCCACTGCATTCCCCATGATGAATGCTCAATCTGTAACCGACACCCAGCAAATTGCTCCCGAAAACTTCATACTCCAGTTTTCATTTCCCCAAGCTCCTGCATATGCCGCCCCGCGCGTAACACAAAACCCGCTTATTAAATGCAACAACTAGGGTATATTCGCTCGCTTAAAGTGGCACTGAAGCGACCTCTGCTGGCCATGACCTCACCTCGCTCCTCACTCCCTGGGCATTCAACGCTCCTCGTACCATGATGGTCTGTCTCTCGATCTTGAAACCGTACACTCCATATGGAGCTGGATCAAACCGCAATTCGTTCACTGTCACAAATCCATGTCGCTCGTATAGAGGCTTGGCGGTGTCCGTGGCTTCGAGGTAGCATTCCAATCCAGCATTGTCGGCATCGGCGAGGATCTGTTCCAGGAGCATTGTACCGGCTCCGCGGTGCTGGTAAGATGGCTGAGTAGCGACCATGCCAACGTCTGAATGCTGTTAGTAGTGCAGAAAAGTCGCCCCCAACGTTCCCATCACTTACAGCAATGCCGTGCAGTGCCCATGTAATCGCGTCGAAGCTTTTCGTTCAACGCGAACCAGTCGCGATTCATGACAGCCTCTCCCTCGTGCCCGCTATCTGCCGGGCTGGCAAGCTCCTCCTCGCTGTAAGCTTTGATTTCCGTCTTGGCCCACGAAACGATCAGGTTGGTGTCGGTGTCGATTACTTTCCGGAAACAGTATTCGCTGGAAGGCACTCGTCGAATGGGCTTCCGTGAGGTTGCCGTCTTGGCCCGTCTTTTGGATTGTGGCACCTTGCTTATGATGCTTCGGTACGATTGGATGGCCCTCTCGAAATGAGCAGGCTGATTGTAGTCCCGATAGGAAAGTACGTGATTTGTCTTCTCATTCTCGAAAGCAAAAAACTCAATGTCGWCCAGTCTTGGAATGTCTTCGGGTTGAGCTTGAGAGACTGCAAAATGGTGTGAGCGCTTTCGAGGCACCGGCGAGAGACTGTCACGGGCTCCATCAAGGATGAGAGGAGACATGGCAGGTGGTGGGTGGGTGGGTTGGTTGCAAAAGAGGATGGTTAAAGGATCAAAGGAAGGAAGTGGGTTGGGGACGGTCCGAGAGTGTCAGTGAGGCCAGGCACATTGGACTGAGAGATCGATGAAAGAATTGGTGGGTGGGCAGTGAGGGAAAGATATCTTTTCGCAAGCGAAGTGATACATCATAATAAAGACAAGGAATCTCCGCCCTCGCAAGCTGCAGTGGCGTAGCATCCTTCAAGCGGGACCGTTCGGCAGGGCCACGGAGTCACGCGTAGTCTTGTTCTGAGGAGAAGTGTCAGCCTCGTGAGGCATAAAATAGGCATCCCACGTTCGAGGCCCGTTGCGGAGATGGCGAACCGCGGAAGAGGCTCCACATGACACATGGGGAGGTCATTGAGGCGTGGATATCAGTCACGGTTGGGCCAATGCGATGGAGACAGGTCACATTGAGGCAAGAACCGCTCAGCTTACGAGTCGCCGTGTTACCACTTCGATGAAATCGTACCGTCGCGATGGGACGGTGGGTTGAAGTTGAGTGGAGCAATCGGAAGTCGTCCATATGCAATGCGTAGGGCGGCGCAAGACGCAGATGAGCACGCGGCGCGGCTGCAGGTGCGGGCCAAAGTTAATGAGGGCGCGAATCAGACCTGTTGTCGCCATCGTGGCCAGTTATTGGCTGGCAGGGGAGACGTGACCGGGTCGAGGATTGCACGCACGCAGAAATCGGGAATCGCTGCCGTGAATCTCAAACTGGGAAGGAAACGCTCCCACTCTTTTTGCCTTATTAGCTGACCTGACCCACGCCTCCCCCCACGCTTGCCCAATGCTCTCTAGTTATACACATCCACGATCCCTGATCCGCAGGTCATGTACCTTCACTACCTACTCACCAAGAGCCTGCCGGAACACGGAACGACCGTACAGGGTCTTGTGTTTGGGCTCGAGTTTTGGACAGGTACCACGACGAGGAGCAGGGATCGTGGCCTGTTGGACGACATTGACGATCACTTTAGAGCCGCAGGAGTACGGTGGTCTTTTAGCGACTTCCCTGCAACAACCCATAAATAGCTTTTCAAAATGCACTACTACTCTTAGCTTTACCTCGGCGCCGGAGTTAGAGTATTGCAGCGTTTCCTACGCTATTATATCGTATTGTATATAAGGTTTCGAT